TCAGACTCTGCTTACATGCCTGCAGAACCTGGCCGCGCAACCGGATCAGCAAACTCAGGCCAAAACCAAAGGCTGGCTGAACAACGAGGGCAAATGGGTATATCAACGTTGGGACCCCGAGAACCAGACCCTCACGACCGACGCCTCAAGAGCAGCAGTGACACACCAAGAGATCGTCAATCATGTTACCCTGTTGGTGACAGCAGTGACGGAAAAGGACGTGATTCATCGCTTCAATGCGACGAACGGTCTACCGGCCAATCCCGAGCAAATCACGACTTTCCTCTTGGAAGTGGGACTGAGGGCCACGGGAGTCGAGAAGGTCTGGGCAGCCCTCGAGTTCCTATCGAACTCGACGGCCCTACAGCTGTGTGGCATGCAACTCAAACGGGACAATCTCAAGAGGAGCTCGCTTGCCAACGACGTGCAGAAATTGCTGCAGGAATACACAGGCTCTGCTTGATCAACCGTTCCCAGCATTGCTATGCCAACTCATTTGCCTTTGCACTGCTGTGGTGTCATCAGCTCCTGAAGGTGCCTGAGGCACAGCCCTTTGGCACCAAAGTGCAGGCGTGGAGAGATGTCCTCTACCACTCAACTAGTGTATCATTGTTCAGGCTGCAATCATGGGCCTCATTATGGCGTGGGTGGGAGCGGCCATCGGCACAGCACGATGTCTCAGCCTTCATGACCCATGTACTTGCGAAGATGCAGCCACCCATCCTTCAAGGCACCTGGGAATCCCGTACTTTGGAAGGGGGTGAAACATATCGCGAGGACTCTGGCCGAATGCATTCTCCCATCATTCTGCACATACAACCGCGGCATCAAACACTGCAGGACTGTCTTGATGGATGGCACAATCAGGTGCAGCCGCATGCTCTCTGTCAAGCCTCATCCCTGTGCTTTGTACAACTGGCCAGGTATGATTTTGATAATGGGGTGGCTGTCAAGAACAGCCAGGCTATTACGATTCCTGACTCAATCTTCGTGCCGATTTGGGGCCGACATCTCACGACCTTCAGAGCCAGATACACTGTAGCTGCCGCTATAATGCATCATGGACCGCATACTGCTGCTGGCCATTACACTGCAGCACTTCTGGACCCAACCACTGAGCTGCACAGGGGACGATGCTGGCTATCAGATGACAACCGTCGTCTTGGGGCCCAGACCTCAATCCCCACATCGGCCATGCATCAAGGATACGTGTTCGCACTGGTCAGGTCCATCTGACCGCCTTGCATCGAGTGGGGCACTTCTTGAAGGGGATGCGATGAACACTCGTTCACTCTTTTATTCTGCCGAGCCTGTTACCAGTGCACCGCCAACCGAGTGGAGCCTTTCTTTATAACCAGACCGGCTTGCAGGCACTAGTGCCGAAGCCACTTTCTACCGGGCCCCAAAGGGGTGCGCCAACCATAGGCGCCGACAAACACCATGTCGCCGTCAAGGGACGCTTAGCGAAGTCGGATCTTTGCTGCGAGGGAAGAAGAAGAAGTAGTAGTAGTAGTAGCGGTAGTAGTGGTGGTAGACGTAGAACAATGGACGGTGGACAGTGTCGTGTATATTCCCTCTGGCAACAATATATTCACGACATCATTTTTGAGCTTGCCCTGCCCCACCCCCATTCCAATTTGCAATCTGTTTTCCGGCTGCTTGCTGCTCCTGCTTTTGCTGCTGTTGCTGTCCACTGTTCACTGTTCATGGTCTTCAATGCTCACTTTAAATCCTGCTTTCAAAGCCCCTTTAAGGCTCCCAAAACGAAAAGGTCAGAAGGTTAGATACCAACGAACGGAAGGTCAGTTGCTTTGAACAGGGATTCTATGTGTGGGTGCTCTGCTGCCTCTGGCTCACAAGAGGGCATCTTCTACCAGATTGAGGAACCGGTGGCTGCCACACAGGCCCGCCTCCAAAAAGCCAAACGGAAACGCCTCCTTCTTCGAAGCCTTATCGCTGACGAGACGGAATACTTCGTCCGGGAGGTGGACGACAACATTGCGGAGGAGCACGATGGAGACTGGGTCATCGCGGTGTGCATGGAGATTCGCAGGGAGATTGGCCTCTTCCGCCAGTACGACCCTTACCCACGGGACGGGCTACGAGATGCCTTGGTGACGCCAATCCCGCAGACCCTGGACGACCGAACCGTGGAGAACCCCCACATCATGTGGATGGACTATACGCCCGACTCTTCCGAGCAGTCGAGCGCGTTAAGTTTCAGGCCGCGGAGGAGCTCGACTTGGGAGAGCGGCTGATTGGGCCGAGCGGCCCCAGGAACGCACGCGAGACGCACACCTTCGTCACGCTCCAGCCGGACGGCTCTACAAGTGCCAGCCCGCACCCACCCGTCCAGGGGGAGCCCACTACGACAGCACAGGCGGTGGGCATGGTCTTGGATGAAGAACTTGAGGGCACACCTGGCTTCCTTCCCTCTCGAGTCCAACGGCACCTTATACGTGTCATGACCCCCATGAGTGATGCCGGAAGAAGTTTGATGCATGACGCCCTAGCCCCCTGTCTGAACAGATTGGGGGATGAGTTGGAGGAGCTGATGCTTTCCCTGCCACGGGGGAGTGGCGTGTCGTCAGCGTCATCGCCGGCTGCGAGTTCCTCGACTGGACCACGACGGCCGAAGCCAAAGGCCCGACCTTCGGCTGCCCGATCTCGATCTCCAGCGGGCACGGATACCACCTCGGCAGATGGGCCGACGATCCCAGATGCAGGACCCCCAGTCGACCTCGACTCTGAGTATGTGGATGTCGTGGTGGAGGAGGGAGACTCGGACGATGAACTCCTTCTGCAAACTAGTATGAAATTTGGGGGAGCGGGCGCCTCTGAGGACGACGCCTCTTCCTTCATGCAGGATTCCGGGGTATGCCAATCCAGGACAGTCCGAGATGTGCCTGGACAGGACCGGGCACAAGAATGTGGAGATGTTAACGCCAGCCCTGGCGCGGGACATGGTGACGATCCTGCCGGCCAAGACGGTGATCCCAGGGGAGCACATGTACAACCTGATCGGCATGAAGCTGGAGAACCTGCACGTGGGGAAGAAGGGGTACCCAGAGCCAGCAGCAGGTCGAGGTCGCCACGGCCTCATGGTATGGAGGCCTTTCGTGACACTCGCTGGTGGCCAACATGTCAAAACAACCTCGCCGTCTTACACAACTCAGGGGGAGGAGGAACCCGTTTCCTGCGGTACCTTCAGCACCTGATTGAGGGTCGGGGCATACAATCCTATGGTGGGTACTGTGAACCTGTGGTGACCTATCTGGAACACCTCTGCACAGACCCGCCTGGCACAAGCCCTCTGCTGCAGGATGTGGAGCTTGCCGTCCAACTTGAAGGGCACATTTGGGAGCAATGGACCCAAGCAAGGCTGCCCCCTCCTGGAACACCATTGGTGGAAGCAGGCATCTTCGCTGCGGTGGATGGAATACGACCTGGGAACACGACCTACCACATCCTCAGAAGGACCAACTTGGCGGACCTTACTGCAGTACCTGCAGAGGGTGATGACTGTGATGAGGCGGAAGAGGATGAAAGTGCAAGTGGGACTGCAGAGTCCACCTCCCTGGTCCAATCTGCCTTGCACTTGCAGACCAAGGGAGGCCTTGTGCAGGTAGTCCAGAGCATTGACATCCGGCTGGTGGACTTCTCGCCGGCAGTACGAGTTCGCCGAGCCATCCTCATGCTGGACCGGCTTAGGGCGTATTATTGCTCCACCGGGGCCAGGCGGCGCATCCCTACCGCTGCAGAAGGCTTGGAAGCGGTGCTCACAGCGCATGCCGTCTCCGACTCTGGTGAGTGTGCAACAGGGGAAGCGGACAACGAAGACTCCTTATGGGTTAACTCCTGGTGGGACCAACTGCGTTCCCTGCTCCCCAAACCCGAGGATGACATCCCCGATACCTTGCTCCGCGACACCATCTCCACGGACACTGCGGAGATTCATGATGCAGACAGCAGGGCATCTACCTTGGCGTGGCATGAACAACAAGAACTCTTGCAAGAACTCGATGATGCACGCAGGTATGATGAGTACCTTATGGAGCGAGAGCGGGAGGAGCAAGATGCTGCTGACGAACGAGACCTGCAGGCGGCAGCTGTGGCCAGGACTGTCCACACGGGGGGGACAGATGGAGTCCGACCGAGTGGGTCGGCATACCGAACTTGGGAAGATTGGGCACTGTACGATGAGATGTATGGAACTTCCCGGCCACCGGTAAAACGAGCGAGAGTGACGGTGGAGAACTTCGGTGGCAAGGACCTGGATGGCCCGAGCAGTAGCACGAGTATGTGGGTACCTGCCACAGGGAGTTTGAGGCTCACCATCAACTTCCCGGAGGAGACGACAGTCCCCACGTCACCGGAGGAGACTCCTGGAGGCATTGGTGAGATGGATGCAGACCTGGAGCATGCGACCGATGGAGCCGGGGGAGATGAACCTGAGCTGAGACAGTGGCCTTCGGGGGTGCTGCGTGATGGCGATGGCACAATGGATCCGAGTACTGAGTCGGGAGGTTGACTGCACAGCCTGCATACTGAGGTCTTCCGAAGTTGAGAGTAGTGGTGAAAGGGCTCCGAAGCCACTCCGAAGGGTACTGAGGCTTTTGCTGGGCATTATCCCCCAAACTATGCGTTCTGTTATTGTCGAATTCTGCAGTGCCAATGTACCGTCGGAGGGGCAGCTACACACCCCCAGCGGGAGACCGCTTTCGGAATGCTTGTCAGACGGAAAAGGGGCGTCTAAAAAAAAACCCTAAACCCCTAAATTCCTAAACCCTAAACCCCTAAACCCCTAAACCCTAAACCCTAAATCCGAAGCCCACAACTCTTATTCAAGAAACCCACCAGTCTGAAGCCCAAAGCAGAACAACTAGGATGCCCAGTAGTGCCCTTATTCCTTTTTTGTAGTCCTAGGTTCCTTATAAAGTTACCCAATACCAAAAAGAGAGGCCTTTTTACTCCTTAGGTTACTGGGTATCCTAGACAAGGTGCAGGTGCCGGCAACCGGGGCCGGAGCACCACCGGCGGTGACGAGGCAAGGGGAGACCGAGAGAAACCCAGTACAGGGTCGGCAAGAATTTGTAAATTTAGGGTTTAGGGTTTAGGGTTTAGGTATCCGTTTCTCTATAGTCTGCTTAGGACGTTTTTTTTATTTTTGTTCATATAAAACCAAAGAGAATGTTAAACATAATCTTATTTTTATTATGGTTCTAAGGGTATACCACCCAAGACCTAATTCTTACGACACCGATATTGCAGCCTTGCAGCTACCGACTTTTGCTTAAAGGGCTACATGGCTCCTAGTAGGATTCTAAGGGTTATTATCTTGTATAGACTTAATTTTGCGGTTTAGGAGTTTGGGTCCGCGGATTCGGGTTTGGAGTTTTGTCTTCGCAGTTTGAGAAGTGAGGGGACTCCGTGCCTTGGGCATGAAGAAGCATGCAGATCCGACTGATCCAGCTTTTTCTGGCGGACACTGTATTGATTTCGGGTTTAATCGCATGCTGTCTCAATGTGGGCGGATGTCAAAATTATGGTGCCTTTTTTGGTTCCCTAATATAGTACGGCACTTAATATTTAGGGTACCCCAAGGAGGGACCATAATTTTGACAACCACCCATGTGAAGTTGGTCTTCTGTTTGCTCTACGACAGGGACACCACTGGGCATGGGGCCGATTGCGATTGAGTGCTTAGTTTAGACCGGCAGAGACTCTGATGACGACTACTACTGCTAAGCTGCTACTAGAGCCAAGGAGGATCTTTGATACCAACAGAGACGCCAGATAGTATCGAAGTCAAGCCTGCTAAATCCTCCAAGCGTACGCGTCCCACGCCTACTAACTGACATCTTTCACCACTCCCGCAAGCAGAATCCCCAAAAGAGGCGGGACGTAGCGTTCCTCATCCCCGCGCCCGTTATTGCCGTTGTGAGGGGGATTGGTTTCACCACGCCGCAAGCCATCAACGACTGATCCAAACATGCCGTACCCTCAAGCACCCCCAGAAGCATAACTTAGGCAAGCACAAACGTAAAAGATGCATAATCAAGATGGAAGACCACACGAGAGAGAAGAATTCCAACGAAAAGGACAAAGCATAAAATGCACAAGCCGACAGGAGCTGCTCTCCCTCTATGGCCCTGTGGACGAGGCATGATGCCCTGCTTTCCAAGAGAATGTAGGTTTCATGTCGGTTCCTAAACCCAAGACCTCAAACCCTATACACCCTAAGACGTAAACCCTAGTTACCAAATTAGTCCTAGACCCTAAACCTCTAAGCCCAATCCTTAAACCTTAGTCGGGTTGATCGTGTCTTGCAGGGTCTTAGGGGTTCAACACTACCTGTTGTAAGGAACTAGGTATATAGATATCGGGAAAAGGCACCCCAAAACAAGGTAGGCTTTCCAGGATCCAGGCAGGCCTATCCCGATTCTCGGGCTTGGCGCAAGCCTGTGGTTTCGTGATTGCCAAGGGCTGTGTAGGCATCCCGACACCGCATAAACAGACGCATTCCTCAATTACTGTTCAGCAGGCCCTCTTGAAAGACTTCAGTTCAAGATCAGACACAATGTAGCACGAGACCCTGATTAAGAAACCTTGGGTCTTTTTCAGGGTCCTTAATATAAGCCCTATTGTGGGGCTGTAGGCCCAGGGTTTCTTAAACAGGTTCCTACAATATACGACCCCCAGCAGCCCTAAGCCCGATCTTGGGGCTCTGAGCTTGGAGTGCTATGTTCTGAGTTTGTTAGGGTTTAGGGTTTAGGGGCTTCTTAAGTCTTAGGGCTCGGCACACCCTAAAGCGAATTCCAGAAAGTTGGAATATGGAATAATGGCAGGATCCCCTATAATTTACCTGAAAGGGAGTAGGACAATGATATTCCAACTTTCCGGCTTTTACTGTAGGGCTCCGCACACCCTAGGTAGTTTAGGCTTTAGAGATAGGGTTTGGGGGCCAGAATCTAGGGTTTCAATATAGGGGTTCTGAATACTGAGCACCAGTGTTCCCTCATTGTCCCTGTGTGGTTTTAGTGTGTTATTGTATAAAGGCTCCAGGTTGTAACGTAGAACTGACAATGCTTTGTTCTCTTGTTGCCGCTGTCCTCATTCGGGTTGGGGATACCACTGTTAAATCTTTTGGCTTGGAAGGCAGGGTGGCCAATACAGGGGCGTTAACAATTACGACGGGGTTTTGGGTATGTCAAACCAGGTTTGGGCTGTTTTTTGAGGCCCCGACATTGGGTTAGGGCTCCTCGATGTTTGCTTATCGCATGCTTCGACTCAATACGAAGAGACCAACTCCAAATTTACTACAGCTTACACTGTGGACCGTATTAAACTTAAGACCTCTGCCACCGGTCACCATGAAAGATGCGCCCGACCTTTTTCAACTCCACCCCCTGCCCCACCCCCGCTGTCCCACTGATCCTACCATCTCGGTTTAGTAGTTGAGCGATTGGTGGTTTCCTACAAGTGGGGTCATCGCCATCAGGATACGAGAAACAAGCCACTCGAGCCTAAGCCCTAAACCCTAAACCCTAAAACACCCATCTCTTCGCTCCACAACTCTGGCATGACGCGGTCCCAGCAAACGGCAGAAGTCGGAGGTCCGATGCACGGTATTTTGGATCTGTACGTGCATGTGCATGTATATACATATATATCTAGATGTATATATATATATATATATATATATACATACACATGTAGATACACATTTACACACGGAGACCTGGTAATTATACGCATTTACCTTTAACTTGCTTCACTAACCCGAAAATACAGAAAGCCCCTCAAAACGCCCTGAAAATCTCCGCACCCATGCCAGTCCCTTGCTGGCGACGATGCACCGGCCTTCGCCCCAAGAGTAAGTTCAAGGCTTCTTTGTTTGGCAGGCCTTCGTGCTCTATCGGGTTTGATGCGTAAACCACATTTAAGTAGGGCTTCAACGCGGCTTGTATACCACTTGTGATAGGGTTGCAGTAGGGCTTGTATACCACTTATAGTAGGGCTTCACAGGGTCTTTACCAGGATTTGGTTTTGTATACCACTGAACAGGTTTTTGCAGGGTCTGTACAGGGTTTTATTGGGTTGCTTAGAGAGCTGTTTTATAGGGGTTCAGGATTTAGCTTTTGCAAGGAACTTGTAGAACTGTGTAAGACTCTTATGCGGATCTTTCATGTAGTAATCCGAGGGCAGCCTTGAGCTCCAAACCCACCATGCTTTAGTACATGGTTCAAGGTACCGAAGCTATTTCAGGTAGGCAGACATCCAGACAATCACACGCACACGATCCCTCGGAGCGGGAGTTAACGAGTAAAGTTGATGAAGTATGATGCGGAGGTGAAGCCACGAAATGTCGGAACAGGTCTGCCTGGGAAGCCAGTCACTTCTTGAGAAGCCAAGAAGCCTGGATCCTAGACGACAAGACCTGCACCGGCGATGGGGGAAGAAAACGGAGTTCAAACACGACAAACCTACCATACCCTATGCCCGACTTTCATCCCGTGACGAAAGATATACTACAGTGCTTTGAGCAATTACTAAACCTTTTCTCCGGGTTCAGTATGATATTTGAAAAATGTAAAGCACAAACCTCCGAATGAAGCTTCACTTACCATTCCCGTCCCTTTTGGGCAGACCTCTAAACCCGAAACGTTCTCGCTCCAGGCCGAACCGGAGCTTGACCTGGAGTTGGAAGTGGATCGCCACTACCTCTGCGAGGCAAGCGCTACCCCGAAACTCCATGGACCCATCTCGCTTACAACATGCTTCGGCCCTGAATGAGTCGACCTTGTAGGAACCCCTTTGAGGCGGAAGAGTATACAGTAGAAGCCCGAAAGTTGGAAACCCAATAGCCTCAATCCTTAAGACTAATGTAGAGGGAGTACCAGCACTGTTTGGTCTTACTCCGGCATTCCAACTCTTTGGGGTTTACTATAGTATGTAGGTACATGGACCGTTGGGGCGGAGGATGGTTTGGGGTTAAGACTTTGAGGTGTTGAAGTTCAAGCTTGAGGATTTTGGGCTTAGGGCCCTAAGCTGTTCTATTGAGCTTAACGCACGTGGGTTTCCAGGTGTCGGTCTTGCAGCTCTGCTTTTGGGGTTTAGGCTTCCAGGCTAGCTCAGCAGTGATTCTTTGCTGATTTGGCTTTATTCGTTGAGCTAGTGCAACACACTGCGGCTCTTAAATGCTTGGTGAATTTCACAGATCCTTAAACCCGGGGCCCTGAGCCTTAAACGCTACTATTCACTTCTGTATAGTTAATTGGCAGGGATCTTTCTAGACCCCAGACTAAACCCTAGACCCCACTAATTAGGTATCTAGTGTTGACAAAATCTAGCAGGGAGATCATAACCAGGCACGCAAGTTATTCTGCAGGTGCTTCTGAAGGGTGGTCGTGGAGAATCATCTGCTGCACATCCAGCGTCGCCAGGTGCTGAGTCTCTGAGTCCTAAAAAGTGGCTTCCAAAACTGAGGGTTGGGTCAAGGGTATAGGGTTTAGGGTTAAGGGTAAGGGGTTGAGGGTTTTGGATGTACAGGTTTTAGGGCTGAGGGTTTAGAGTGTGGGGTTTAGGGTGTGGGGTGGGGGGGGGTTTGGTTTCGGGCGCGGGGCCCAAACAAGTATTCTTTACCGTAGGAATTCAGGCCCACTGTCAGCACCAAGACCTCACAAGTAAGTAAGGAAGTTTGATAATGCAGGTTCCGAACCTAAGAGATCTTAAAAGAACATTATAGTAACGACTCTACTTGTCAGCGGCACTCTTGTAGGCCCCCCGTTCTTGATGAAACGTCGCAGCAGTCCGAAGCTCTACTGCTGTGCAGTCGTGTCTGCACCTCAAAAACGAGTGTTGACGCATGATATTGAAAAAACCCCAAACCCTACTTGAACGTTCATGGGACTTGTTTGGCTTAGGGGTCCCCTTTAAGGGTAGTATAAGGGCTCTATAACAGGGCTCCCTTTAAGAATTAAGGGTTTAGGGTTTACTTCAAGGCTCATGGGACTTAGTAAGTAAGGTTATAAGTAGGTTATCATTAGGATAACCGGATGACCCCACTTAGGGGACTTATAACCCCAATAACCTACTTACTCAGTCCCATGATCCCTTAAGTAGCCCTATACCCTAAACCCTGAACCCTGACAGAGCGTGGGGTTTTCTGTTGTTTGCACTGAACGCATCTCCAAACCATAAAGCCTGGGTCCGGAGTCGAACATGGAGCTTATCCACAACCTACGTAGCACCAGTCTTCTTGCAGAAACACTGCAGCTGCAGTGATTATTCTATACCATGTAAACTTACAGTACGAAATGCATGCCCTGTGCCAAGCCTTACGCCAGTCATATGAGGTGTAGGGCTGTAAATTAAACTCCCAGCTTTGACACCAAAGCCCAGCAAACCGCACACCGGCATGTCAAACGATCTGGGACGGGAACTGGAACTTGGTAACCCATTCGAGTCTTTCTTTTGTTCACCCGCATGCTCCAAGGGTAGGTTTCAGAGCGCTTTGCGGGCCAGCGATATGGTTGGCCGGAGTTGCGCGGTATACGGCTTGGCCGTGGTTTGGTAGTTTAGCCTGACCCTATTATAAGCCCTGAACCCTGCGGGGCAAGTCAAGTTTGACCTTCCAGGCTCAGTCTAACTATAGATACCCCGAAGAGTTGCACAAAGCAACAGACGACTTGGCCGTCATGAGGGTAGGGAAGGTAGCTGCCGGTATTGCTACGAACTACCCCAGCTGGCTTTGGATATGTTTCCAAAGTACAGTTGATTGAGGCTTTTGATGGATAGAATCATGGAGGGCTGTTATTATCTTTAGATGTCGAGCGGGTGCCTAAAGATTCAAGCCGAGGGCCGTACGCCTTGACATTCACCTGGACGTCCCACTAGTCGTATATCCTGAACCCCACCCAGCTTCAAACGTCGCAGAATAGCATAGTCGTAGAATGGTATAATAGTACAAGAGTATAGTAGCATAATTGTACATGTAGTAGTATAATAGTTGGAGCTTAAACTGTGCTTGGAACCCTAACCCGTGAATCCACAATCCAACCCCAGCGTTTCACGTCGCTTTGGACTGAGGCCCTTGGCCATGCAGCGAGTTCCGTCCATCAGCCCCAACAACCGGTGCTAGACTCGGCATTTCTTAGCAGCACCCATTGGCCCCAAAGTAGTCCCTTTCTGCGGTTCATATATAGAGTTCTATAAGGTAGTCCCAGAAAGGAACTACTATGGGGCCTGTGGGTAGAGTGGTATCCTTCAACCTGGTTAGGTCGCACTAATCCTTGCATAGTGCGAAAGCGCAAAGCCAGCAGTCCCCGGCATTTTAGGGTTAGGGCACTGGGCTGTAGGGTTCAGGGTCAGGGCTTTGTGAGGGTTCAGGGATAGGGCTTTGAAATTTGGGGTTTAGGGTTCGGGCTTGGGACTTTGACTTTGTGGTTTAGGTTTAGGGCTTAGACTCAGCGTTTGGGGAGTAGAAAAGACATTGGGTTTTGGGGCTTGTGAACGACAGGGTTTATAGGGTTTAATTACCCAGACGCTCTAAACGCTGCATCCGCGGAAGCTAAGCAAGAGCCTTGTGGGCTGTTTCAGTTAAGGGCATTAAATCCTTAGCCCCGTCTAGAACCTCATATAGCAGCCTACATAATCATGAGTACCATGCCTTACAGCTCTTGTACATAGTAGACTGTACATCATGAGGCTACACCCTCCGGATCCGACTCTATTCATTAAGGCCCCGTTTATTGTCCAATACAACCTTTGTGGAACCCTTTAGATTAAAGGAACCCTCAACCGAGACCTATTCTGAATACACTTTCCTGTAAGGGAACACTTCAAGGATTCTTATTCCAAAACAAAAGACCCTTTTAAAGCAGCTCTTAAGGGAGCCCTTTTCTGATTTTTCATGCTCTTATATTAAAGAACCCTATCGAGGAACTCTTAGAGGAGCCGCCCTGTATCATGGAACCCGATTCTAGGCCACTTTTCCTAAACCATTAAGGCCCTGTTTCAGCCTAAACCCTATACCGTCCTCTCCTGGCCTGTTCAAGCCTTCTTTCCGAGACCATGCGGGATCAGAGGGAAAAGGGAGCAAAACAAAACCCTAAACCCTAAACCCCTAAACCCTAAACCCTAAACCCTAGACCCTAGACCCTAGACCCTAAACCCTAAAGCCTAAACCCCAAACCCTAAACCCTAAACCCTAGACCCTAGACCCTAGACCCTAGACCCTAAACCCTAAACCCTAAACCCTAAACCCTAAACCCTAAACCCTAAACCCCAAACCTAAATACAGCCCCCCAAGGCGCCGCCGTGACGGAATCGACTCTCCTCCTGTAACTGCAGCGCCGGGATGCCTTGGGTGAGAACTTTGGGGATTTTTGGTTTTGAGTTCTGAGGTTATCTAAGGTTTAGGGTTTAGGGTTTAGGGTGAGGTTATCTAAGGTTACTAATTACAAGACATACAAGGACGTCTATGGGTCTGAACTTTGGAGATGTATGGGTTTTGGGATTAAGGGTGAGGTTACTACTATAAGGGTTCCATGAGGGTGACTTGAGAGGGCTTCGTGGGTTTTGGGGGTTCATAGGGTGTGGACTTGAGACTTCTGTTTGTTTGGGTTGAGAGTCGCACCTCCTGAGGTTGAGGGCTTTGCGGGTTCAGGTTTCTCTGTTTTTTGGGTTTATGACCGGGTTATGTGCTGCTGGGGTGAGGTTGTTGCGGGGTTTCCCGCTTGGGGATTGCGGAGGATGCAGTTTACAGTTCTCCGGAAGAGACCAGGTGGACGTTCGGATTACGAGTCTCCGGTTGAACTTTGAACTGCTTGCAGCATCCTCTGCTCGAGTAGTTTATCAAAGGGGAAAAGGCGGGACCCTTAATAGGGACCCCTATAGCCTAGAATGGGGCTATATAATGGGTATATAATAGCTTTATTATATAAGGGTATGTACCTAGGGGTCCTTATTAAGGGTCCCTCCTTTTACCCTTGGAGTTTACCTTCCAAGATTCTGGGACGCACATTGGCAGACCCCTCCACCCTCATGCAATAATACCGCTACCGCTACCCTGTTCCTGGTCCTGCTCCTGCTCCTGCTCCTGCTACTGCTACTGCTGCTGTGACGTAGCACGTCGCCACTGTAGGAGAGTTGGTGATCGTGGCAGGGGCTGTGGCTCGACAGCGACGTTCCGGTAAGTGCAACCCGAAAAGCACGCTGAAGCCCACGGTTCCGTTCAGCGAAACACCAGAAAGGTTGGGGGTCTATGGGTTTAGAGTGTAAGGTTTCAGGTATCGGAGTGTCAAGGGGTACATTAAGAAAACCTGTAGGGGGCAATGTTACGAATCTTCGCGCCCATTCGTGAAGTTGCGTTCGAGAAGCGCAGAGTGACGAGGGATCCGTAGCTAGACATGATAGATGTGATGTGGGATTTTCCGTTGGCTCTCAGGCATTATGTTTGCGATTTCGGCCACATCCCTTTGGGACAGATCAGCGCCTTTGCGGCAGAATTGGGAGTCTAGGTTTCAGGTGTGTGTAGCGGTCATTCGTAAGTACAGTAGGCATGTTCTGGCGGATGCTCGCTCACTTTGATTGCGGTGAAGATTTCTGGGTGACCCTGAACTCAAAGCCTTCAAATCCTAACCCTAGACCCTGCATCCGGAAAGAGGTGTCAACAAAATCTTGAAACCCTTAAACCCTGAACCCAAGACTCTTCAACTCTAGATCCTCAGACCCTAAGCTCTACGTTATGCTTCCAACCATGTGGAGGGGGTGCTTCAGAGGGATTCGGTTCAGGCTCTAAGGGGAAGGGGGGACGAAGGCGGAGACACAATTCGGCGTTATTCCTAAATGGTTTCTAACATATTTACGTATGGCATAAATGCCAACCGAAACCCTAGTTTAACCGCTCAGTTTCCATATGAATAGGGTCTGGAGGATTTGAGTTTGAGTAGAGGAGTGCCTCTGAACCTCCAAGCAGGACCCTTTCTAGAAAGACATAAACGTAAGCAGGCTGAATGATTAGTAGTCCCACTCCTGGATTTTTTCCTGTATGTGTGGACTTATGTCTGTATGCGGGTATGTATGTAGGTAGCTAGGTAGGCATGCGTGTGTGTGTGTGTGTGTGTACATGCATGCATGCATGCATGCATGCATGCATGCATGCATGCAAACATACATACGTACATGCATACGGGTATTTTCATATACCCCAAAGCCCTAGGTCCAAATGTGGAGGGGCCTCTGTTGAAGAGCAGAAGTCCTCCTCTGCGGAAACCTGGCAGCAGCCACCGCAAAAGATCCTGCATCCTGTCTCAGCATGTATAATTTGAACAACCGAAACAGGCCAAAGCCCACAGTCCCAATCGCATACGGATTTGATTGGGAGTTCCAGTATCTGTCCAAACGTTGAAGGTTTCGGGCTTTTTGTTCACCCTCCTTCTCGGGAGCGCTGAGCCTCAGCCTTCCACCGAAGACCGCTAGGCACCCGGAAAGTGAACATCCACAACTGCTGTGCGGAACCTGCCCGGTGCTGAGCTGCCTGAGCCCTTTCATGTAGGAACCTGATTAAGAAACCTTGGGCCTTCATTAGGGTTCTTTATATGATTCCTGCTATTCGGGGGTTAAAGGGCAAGGGTTTCTTAATCAGGTTCCTACATTAGCCACTGGGTTGGGCGTTGAAGGGTTTTAGGAGTCTGGGCTTTGGGTTTTCCAGTGAATACTCACAATGGCAGATGAGGAGCTGTCTGTACAAACTCACATCGAGTCTTCCTACTTCTCAACCCAGACCCTAAACCCTAACGCCTAAGCCCCAAAACCCCAAGACCCTAAAGCCCAAAACCCCAAGACCCTAAGCCCTAAATCCCCAAGCCATGAACCCCAGAAGCTCCATTTGCCGTACCGGTCACACCGAAAGTTCTTGAAGCCCGAGGTCCAGACCCCACGCCTTGCAAAACGCAGGGGTTTTAGGGTTGGGGGTTTACAAACCCTAAACCCTAAACCCTGGGTTTGGGGGGTTTACATGCTTTTTAGGGTTTGGGGTTACGTGTTTTTTTGTCTAGGTATTCTGCTTTTCGAGACTCGAACCTTGGTCGAGGGCTCTCACAGCAAGCGGCCTAAACTCGGAACCGAACCCCCCACCCCTTCTCAAACTGCGGCGGCATGGGATCTACCCATGCCTTAACTCCTACACTGTACTACACTACACCCTGACAATCTTGCACCCTAAACTCAAATCTTAATCACCCCAATCCCTGAGCTTCGCCAAAAATCTTAACCGTGAAGCTCCGAAAGCCGTACATCCTGGCGCATAGGATCCCTTACAAGAGCCGTTAAAGGGAGCCTTACCCTGAACCCTACAGCGCTCAGGTCTCTCTCTTCCTGGACAAGAAGCTCTTGCGAGAGAATGGCTTCCTGGTTCCGAGCCTGGAGCGATGGTTCGGTTGGGGTTTAGGGTTTAGGGATAAGATGATATGGGAGTTTCCGAAAATTCGGGGTACCTTCCTTTGGGGTCCTTATAATAAGGATCCTACTATTTGGGGTACTATAATATGAAGGTCCCTCATTTTCGGAAACTCCCATGTACGAGGGCTTGAATACGAGCATGGGGTGCTGAGGTGTATGGAAAAGGGCCACCGTAGACGGAATAAGGTCCATAGAAATTAAGTGGCCCCCACTTGCAATCCCACTTGTTGGCGGCAAGATTGAACCCGATTGAGAAAGTATTATACTACAGTTTGACAGCGTTTAACCCTGTTCGGGCTTGTGGGGCTACAGAGGGACCTCAGCACAACTACCGTTCTCTGATGTTACCACTATCAGTGGGTGGGATCCTTGCCTACGGCATGATCTTTCGGGCCAAACAGTGGGGCTTAGACCAAGGAAGCCTGACCTGATAGTAGCCCTTACAGCAGCCCTCATAGTAACCCTTATGGTAGCCCTTACAGTAGTCAGTAGCCCTTTAAGGTACTCTTTTAAGGAACCGCCATTAAAAAAAAAAAACTAAAGCTAAGCACACCCTCTGAGGTGGAGCCGGACTCCATCAAGCCGCTCCAACCGGGCAAGAGCTGTCTGCTCCAGGTGCTCAGTTGAGGATCTATACGGGTTTGTAACAGGGTTCGATGCGAATTCTGCAAGGGTTCCAACAAGGGTTCTAGGTAACCGGGTTCGATGAGAGTTCTACAAGGGTTCTAGGTAACAGGGTTCGATGAGGGTTCTACAAGGGTCCAACACGGGTTCTATAGAGGTTCTATGAGGGTTCCATAAGGGTTTCTATGAGGGTCGTATGAGGGGTTCATAGGGTTGGTTTTATGGGCTTTTGTGCGAGATGTTTTGGTTTGTAGGATTTGGGATTTATGCTCTGTCCCGGGTTGTTATAGGCATTGCGTATGGCTCCATGCGGGTGCTTGTTTGCTTTTCTTTGTATGAAGGGAGTCGGCGTGGGGGTGGGGCTTCGGGCTTAGGGCCGTGGTTTGAGGGGTTCAAGGATGCGGCCAATTTTCTTACATTATTCTCACCTCAGAACCCTGAAACCAAACAAACCCCAACCCGCAAATCTTAAAGCCCTAGTTGCGGGTCTTGCAAGGAAGCTCTAAACCGGATAGCAATCTCAGCCTCCAGCCCCAGTGTTCTTTAGCACCCAAATCTCATGCCTTGCAACCCTACCCCAAGCCTGTTCCGTTGAAGCACCCATCCTTAAAGAATTACAGACATCCCTAGCGATACAAGTGCCATATTGAGAGTTTTGGGGTTATGGTTGGAAGGTCTGGGATCCATCACTGTAAGGGTCACGGTTAAAGATGCTCTGCTGGCTCTGCCATTTTTTTTGCAGAGTCACTGTTTAGGGTTTAGGGATGGGGTTCCGCATGGCTGGTGGACGGAACCTACATGATCCGCAGTGGTGGGATGCAAGAATGTTATGATAAGTTAGGCTTCTTAAGGCAATGCAGAGCCATGAATGTTACAACCCCATAGACACATACACAGCCCCGGTCACCCTACAAAACTCAAGAAGCTTTCTATGCTCAGATACAACTTTAACACCTTGTATGCTACAGCTCAGAAGGACCCTCCTTACGCTGGAGGAGGTAGGGTGTTTATACCCTTAATGAGGGCTGCATAAGTCTAATAAAGGTCAGCCCTACAAAATAGAAAAGGTAGTAGTTTCGGCCCCTATAGTACCCTCCTAAGGGTCCTTCTGAAAAGCCCTCGCCAGGTCTCCGCCACACGCGGGCGTGACGAACCTGAAGGCAGGTTGGCGATTAAAGCTTGTCAGGGTGTTTCCTTGGGCTGACTTGGCTTAACAGCCAGAAATTTGGAGCATCCAACCCTAAACCCCAAACCATTCTAAACACTTTGCACTTATCCGACTTATCCTGACGTCAGGTTTAAGGTCTAGGGATTCCAGCATTGATCGTCTTAAACTAACTGAGAGCTTTGGGTTTCGGGTCTATGTCCAACATAAGGCCCTACATGTTTCGAAGAGAGTCTTAGTGCATCAAACAGAGTTGAAGATGCATTTTCGTTGCCGTGGTGGAACATGCCTTCAAACATCACCATGAATCAGCGAAGCTACTGTATTCAAGGGCTTACTGCGTCGAAGACTGCACGTACATTTTCTAAGTATCGGTTTGGGATAATGTCGGATAATGTTTCACTCCCCATATTGATGATGGGGACTGTTGAAATCGACACCTAGCTTTAGAGAACTGAGGCTTTAGCTTTCTGCCCGCCGTAACGGCGTATTATGTTGTGGTCCGGTTCACGGGGTAAGTAGTCCGACCTTGAAATCTGGCTCTTCGGTTCACAGAAGTCGAAGCAGGACCTTCAAACCTTGCGTTAAAGGTAGCGTGTCGGAAAGCCTGTTCATAATTCGCTTTACTACAGAGCTTGTTAGAACCAAAACGAATTCGAACGTCCTTGTTCAGCCGTACAGCGAGCTGGTACTGACCTGTTCCACTTCTAGTGACCTCTGCCTGCCAAATGAAACTCACAAGCACCCTGCGAACATAGACCGTGAATCCTAGACCAGACAGATCCCCAGATCCTGACCTCATATAAAACCTCTAAGCCTCTAAGCCTCCAATCCCCAACTTAAAATCAATGCCTAAACAACCCTTGGAGCCCAAAGATCTGAGGAACGATGGAGCTTGAGTGGAATCTGCCGGTGAGGTGCGGTGGGTGCTCAGGGCTTAGGGGCTTCACACTGCGACACTGGGGTTTAGGGGGTAGTAGTAGTACTGCTGCTGCTGCTGCCGCTGCTGATACTACTTCTTCCACCTCCTCCTCCTCTCACTACTACTACTACTACTACTACCACTACTACCACTACTACTACTACTACTACTACTACTACTACTACTACTACTACTACTACTACTACTACTACCACTACCACTACTACTACTACTACTACTACTACTACTACTACTGCTACTACTACTGCTACTACTACTACTACTACTACTACTACTACTACTACTACTACTGCTACTACTACTACTACTACTACTACTACTACTACTACTACTACTACTACTACTACTACTACTACTACTACTACTACTACTACTACTACTACTACTACTACTACTACTACTACTACTACTACTACTACTACTACTACTACTACTACTACTACTACTACTGCTGCTACTACTACTACTGCTACTCCTACTACTACTACTACTACCACTACCACTACCACTACCACTACTACTACTACTACTACTACTACTACTACTACTACTACTACTACTACTACTACTACTACTATTACTACTACTAATACTACTATTACTGCTGCTACTACTACTATTACTGCTGCTACTACTATTACTACTACTACTACTACTACTACTACTACTACTACTACTACTACTACTACTACTACTACTACTACTCTACTACTACTCCTACTACTACTCCTACTGCTACTGCTACTGCTACTGCTACTGCTACGACGACGACTACTGCTCCGACGGCTACAAGGTACTGGTACTACAAGTACTACTGCTGCTGCCGCTATGACGACGGAAGGACACTGACGAGCCTGACATTATAAGTTGTTCTTATGAAAATTTTGAAAAGATCTACGAAGTCCTCACCGCTCTAGTCAAGCCCAAGCCCTGACGCCACAGGAAGACAGAATGCGACAGCCTAAACTGCTGAAGCCCTATCGAGTTATCGTATCAGAACCGTTTGGGGAATCGGGCTAAAGCCTCAAAGCCTAAATCGTAAACCTTAAGCCGGACAATCGAGGCCATAGGAACGCAACGGACAGTCAAGGCCGTAGGACCGAAAGCCTACAAGCCTATCAACACCACATCCATGCTCCATCGAGCCAGCCAGCACTATCCGAAAATTGTTCAATCCGCAGTAACTAAGCCTCGAACATCCTACTGCACATGCCTAGTCCAATCCAAGGAATATGCTTGAAGTCGAGAGATGATCAAGCTTCTGGTGATCTAAAGACTACACAACGCCCCTGCTTGTTCGAATATGAGGCCACTTTAAAAGGAGCTTAGTGAAGCCTGTATCCACCCCCAGCCCCAACTATGCCAGACCCTAAACCCTAAGCCCTAAACTATGCCAGGGGTGGACCGAACTACAAAGTTCAGCTCGTGGCAGACTTCGTCTTGCCTGACCTGGTTCTCTCGACCGAGTTTGGCCCTCGTGTAACGGGTATATATGAAGTAGAAGAAAGATGGTTGCACCAGATTAAAGATTACCTGCACTATTTTGGTGGTTCTTCATATTAATTATGGTATAATGGGCAAGCCCTATTCTAATTAGTAAGGCCCCTATGTTAGGGGTTGCAGGCTTTTAGGTGTTGAACTGGGCTTTCGGGTTTGGGCAGAGAAGGTGTGCAGCATATGGGTAGTTCTCTAAATTGGGGTCAGGGTCCCTGTTCGGGTTCGTGAAAAAGGGTGCCGTGCTAGTATGGAACCTTAAATCCTGGACCCTAAACCCCAAAAGGGGGCCCTAATTTAGAGAACTGCCCATATGAAGATGGAAGCTCTATGCGAATTAGAGTTCGCCTCGGTGGGACGGAGGGTGCAGGACTTACCCCAAAATCTTAACCCTGAAACCTAAGCCGAGAAAGTCCCAGCCACGCTTTGAACATACACAAACCTAAACGAAGAACGTTGAAAGCCATTTTGATACCATACACTGCCCTTTACCACCATGTAAGGGTCGCTTTAACACCACTCAGCGCCATGTTCGCAGCGTGCGCAGCCGTTGAAGCACCATGTCATAAAGCAGGTTTAGCATAATTATGAAATCATGTTAAGCCCTAAACCTAAACCCTAAACCTTCGTGATGTAAAGTCTAATGACTCTGACGGCGCGGAGTTTGGAGCCACGCCGCTGCTCAGGTTCATCGACTTTGGCCGCATTATCGTCGGTGGGGAACCCGGCACGGCTTAATTTGCTTGGGGTTTGTTGTTAAGGGTTGAAGGTCTCAATAATTAGATCGTTGGACCTAGGTCCTTGCGGGGCTCCTTACAGAGTTCTGTTCCTTAGGTTCTATACGGGATCTACAGTGGTGTAGGGCTTCGTAGATCATGGGAGCTGGTAACTTGAAGTGTTCCTTAAAGGGGTCTATCAGGGATCCAGGGGCGTAGGGTTTTAAGGATCATCCGACTGAATGAGTAACTACATGTCATAAGCATGTGCATAACTCGTTTTAGCCCCTGTTGCGTGTTGCACTTGTTTCGAGTCAGAGGTGGGGATGTAGGGTTCTAGACGGGATTCTGCGAGCATTCCTGAGGGCTTCAGGGAAAGTTTAGGGCCTTAGGGTTCGATGGACGAGACCCCTGCATCAAGTTAGGTGCCCTAGACTACGGGTTTTATGGGATATTCTCCGATGGCGGATAATGCAGCAGGGACGCAGAGTTAGACTTACAGGTACCGTAGTTGGAGTGTAATAGTAAAGGTACTTGACCATAACCTGTTCTACATTCTTATATATGTAGTGTTATTCGCAGTCACTTTGCTTACAATGCATTTACTTACCCGCCCCTCCCAGCCTGTAAGTACTTCCTGCTGCCGCAGACCCACTCGAGGTCATCGGAAGCGCGTGATGCTGATGTTTGAGAACACGAAAGCCATCCCCGTGGAGTGGGCGCGCGCCTCTGCATCAGGGGACTCGGGGATTTGTCCTACGCTTACCCGAATGGTGGCTGTCAGGTCCCGTAGTAATGGAAGCTAAGTCCACTGCATGAAGAGGCTGCGGAGTTATCCAGCTGTTACGTGGCTCTGAGGTCCGCCGTAGGAATGGATGTTGAGGCCACATGACAGGTTGAGTGGTTTCGATGCCACTTAGATCCGCGGTTCAAACGGTGAAAGCGGGCACCCTTATCTAAACCTAACATTCCACTCAACCCAAAACCTCTAAATTCGAAACACAAGACCCCTAAACCCCCAAACCCCGACAACCGATAAACCCCAAAATCCCTGAACCCCGAAATCCTTTTACGCCCCTGCCCTAAACCCCTTAAACCTAAACCCCAAACATTAACCCCAAGAGTCATTGCGCTTTAAAGAAAAACATTAACCGCTATAAACCCTGAACCCGAAACCCTAAACCCGTCGTGCAGACTCAGGCACTGAAGGTGTCTAAGGGTGTAAGGGCCGCTTTCCCTTGGAGGGACTCTGTCTTGCAGGCGGAAAAAGGCGTAACAAAAAAAAAACCCTCAACCCTTCGTCCGAGAGGCAAAGGGCATCCGCAGAAAAGGAGTTAACAACAAACAAAACCCTAAGCCCTGACCCCAAAGCCTAACCCCTATAAACCCCAAACCAGACCTCAAACCTCTAAACCCCAAACCTTCAACCCCCAAACCCCAACGCCTAAACCCTTCAACCTTAAACCCCTAAACCCAAAACTAGTCCCCTGAACCCGATTGCGACCCAGGCCTACGCGGAGCCCAAGAGCCACATCGGCCGATCGTCTGAGGCCTTCGAGACGAGAAGTCTACGGTTTAGGGCATAGTTTAGGGGTTTAGGGTTTAGGGCATAGTTTAGGCGTCTGGGGCATGGTTTAGGGAACTTGACTAGAGTTTAGGGTAGGGTTTGGGGTTTAGGGCGTTTAGGGCGTTTAGGGCAGTGCATCGTACGGTTTCGGGCATGGTGGGGTCCTAGGTATTGGGTTGAGAGGTTGGGGTCAACGGCTTGGGGCGCAGTACGGCACAGGGCGTAAAGGACTTGGGAGCAGGGACAAGATGGTCTGCAAGACTCGGGGCTTCATGCCTCCAGGGAGGTTGGTGGTCGTGGTGGGGCTTTTGAGAGGTTGCACGCTTGTGCTTAGCTTATACTTTGAAGGCCTTGGCACTGACTTTGGAGAGGGCTTTATAGTAAACCCCAGAAAGTTGGAACATGGCTTTAGGAGGATTAATGCTAGGATCCCCTATACTTTACCTTAAGGGCATGAGGATAATGATGTTCCAACTTTCTGGCTTCTACTGTAGGTTGTGTACAACAAACCACTTGCCGATTCTGTTCTGCTCGGCTTCAGCAGCCTTGCTAGCCGCATCGGGCCCCCCGCCCGAGGAAAAGTTTGACTAACATCCCTGAAACGTACGGAGAGTGTTCATACATACATATATATATATATACACATACACACGCATAACTCAGTAAGTTGTTTCGTACATATTTATGTTTTTCGTATACATACACATCATGTGCATGCAAACATATGTCCGTCTGCCTATTTTTAATTTACATGTATGTCAATGGAGGTGTGTGCGCATGCGTGTGTGTGTGTATATATATATATATACACATACATATATGTATTATATGTATATATATATATATATAGATATATATTGTATACACATTGTTTCATAGACACACACACACACACAAACAGACACATGCGCATGTGCTTCCATATGCATGCATGCATGCGCTAAGAATCTGACTGTGAGCATCCTTACCTGCTCTCAGATTTGATCATGAAATCTGAGGGTAGCTTTACTTAAAGGCTCATGGGACTTAGTAAGTAAGGTTATAAGTAGGTTATAATTAGGATAACCCCACTTAGGAGACTTATAACCCCAATTATAACCTACTTACTAAGTCCCATGATCCTCTAAGTAGACCCTAAACCCTAAACCCTATAGATCCCTCTAAGGAAGCCGATAGATCCCTTTAAGGAGCCCCTTAAGGGAACCTTACTTACTAAGTCCCATGATCCTCTAAGAAGGAGCCTCAGAGCTCTACTTTCTCGGGTGGCTTAATCATACGGTTGATGATCTAAGGGATCTATAAGGGTACCTTTGAGGGGCTCCTTTAAGGGATCTTTAGGGGCTTTAGGGTTTAAGGTTTAGGGTTTAGGGTTGATGATATAAATCCTGCATTACCCATCACAAGGAATATACCATAATTCCCATAGTTTAGGGTCCTGAGGGTAATGCAGGATGCATATCATCAGCCGTATGCCTCTAACATGGACCTTGACAACGGCTTTTTTGGGACAGATTCAGATTCATGTACAGTCGGAATCATGTAGGGACTGTGACGATGAGGAAATATGAATACTCCTGGTTCAGATCCCCCAAAGGCTCGTAACCCATGGACAACAACCATTTCATACTTCACCACAAACCACCCTCCCCTAGTCCTAACCCCCCACACCCTAAACCCTGAACCTTACACCCTACTTTAGCCTACCAAATCCTACTTTTGTCTAGGTTCTTATTATGAACCCTCATATGGAGTTTTTGGGGACCCTACAAAAAAGTAGGGTTTGGTAGGTTCAGGTACCCCCTAAACCCTAAACCTTACACCCTAGCTGTCTGCAGGCGGAAACTAGGACCCAGAGTAGGCCCTTATTCCCTTTTTATGGGTTCAGGTTCCCTTATAAGCCCCTATAAACCAAAAAGGGCACCCTTTTTCTTCCTAGGCTACTCTTAGGTTTAGGAAGCTTGAAAAACAACCTTAGGCCCGACCCCCTTAAAACGTAAGAAGTCTCCTTAAAGGCTCATGGGACTTAGTAAGTAAGGTTATAAGTAGGTTATAATTAGGATAACCCCACTTAGGGGACTTATAACCCCAATTATAACCTACTTACTAAGTCCCATGATCCTCTAAGTAGACCCTAAACCCTAAACCCTATAGAGCCCTCTAAGGAAGCCCATAGATCCCTCTAAGGAGCCCTTTAGGGGACCCCCTACTTCCTAAGTCCCATGGATCCTCTAAGTCCTCGCTCAGCCGGCCTTTGACCTGACTCCTTCCAGCGGAGTGTTACAGCCTGGGGAGAGGAAGCCGGTCCCGACCTGTTTTGGGGGGTTTAAGGGTTTAAGGTTTAAAACAGTTAAAAGGGTTTAGGGTTTAAGGTTCAGAAGGGTTTATAGGGTTTATAGGGTCTAGGGTGTAGAGTTTAGGGGATTTCAGTAGGGTTTAGGGGATTTCATTAGGGTAGAGGAAGCCCGGCCGGACCTGTTTTGGGGGGTTTCAGGGTTTCAGGTTTAAAAGGTTTACAGTATTGGGTTTATGGTTTAGGATTGTAAGGCTTAACAAGGTTCATAGGGTTTAGGGTTTATGGTTCAGGATTTAAGGTTTAACAGGGTTCATAGGGTTTAAGGTCCAGGGTTTAGGGTTTAGGGGATTTCACTATGGTTTCGGATTTAAGGTTTAGGGTTCGAGGTTCTGTATGCTTACGCTATGACCTTTTCACACGGGGTGGTGCAGAGTTTCAGCTTTTGCTTGGTTTTCAGAGTTCGGGTCTTTGGGTTGACCTTCGTTTGGGGTTGGAACCTCATTGCCTCGAGTGTGGGTCTTAGGTTTTTCGGGTTTCAGGTGTTGGCCTGGGATGTGTGATTGGATTTCTGTGCATGGGATTGAGATTTCACGTAACATAGTACATGAGTACTGACGTTTTAGGTTTCACGGGGATTACAGTTTTCAGGTCCTAGGTTTTAGGCTGAAAGCCTTGGCCAATTCGCCTTCAGCGGGAATTGGAATTTAGCTGGCAGCGACCCCAGACTGATCCGGGGCTCGGCACCTCAACTGTGGAGTGTGATAATTAAGGGAATAGAAGCCAACCCTCGGCCAGTTTCGAGAAGGCTCCTCTCGAATCGCGTGCACTCGGATGGCTATGTTGAGTTGGTGTTGGCACTCTTCCGAGCTCGGTCTTGGTTCTTGAGCCTCACCTTGGGCGCTGTCAATATCAGGTTCGAAATCCTTGCCTCCAAAACCCTACGCTACAAAACCCAAGATGCCCAAACCACGAATCTAACAAATCCGGGCTGCCAGGGTGCTCACTGCATCCTTTGCACCCGATGCTGCGCAAGTCTTCACAGGCGGAGTGTGGTGTGGCAATTCGGGCTTCGTGTTGGGGGGTCTCGCTTTCCACTAATCAAATCGTCAAGCCTAGCATGGTTGAGCTTTGCTGAGTTTGCTGGCTACACGTGCATTGTTGTGATCCCAAACCTTGCGTCCCAAAGCTCCAAAACCCTTTGGCCCTGAGTCCCCAATAAGCTCAACGTTGCAAAGCCCATGCCCTGCAAGGCACGCTGCAGATCCGAATGCGCGACAACCAGCGCCGGAAGTCGATCGTTGCGCCTTGCAGCTGTTTACGTAGAAGCCTGTGAGGCTTCCTCAAACGGTGCTACAAGGGTTCCTCAAAGGGTGCTAGAAAGGTTTCGGCTTAGGTGGCTGCGCTAAGGCTGGCTTGAACTTGTTGCAGAACCCGTTAAGGATTTGAGGCTCTAGGGTTTGGGATGTTGGGTTTAGGGTCTTAGGGTTTAGGATCTACAGGTTTAGGGTTCAGGGTTTCGGGTTTTCGGACTAGGGATGTGGTTGCTGGTTCTCGTCCAGGGTCTTGGAGGTTGGGGTTTAGGGATATGCTGTGGACGGCAGAGTACGCAGAGCTACTCCAGAAATCATGACTGTTCGGGGCAGTGCCTGATTCGGAGATCGGTGCCTCGTACTGAGGTGCTTAAACCTCTCAAGCCCGGACACCCTGCCCCCCCAAACCCTACCTACCTTCCTTACAGCCCTGAACCCGAAGGGTTCTTAATATTTAACATGGATCCTATGTCCAGCCTTTTGTTTTTAAAACACCAACAGCTGCTTAATGTAACCATGACTTCTGCAGCTCCGGCGACTGAAGTTATGTGGCCTTGGCGTTCTGAAGCAAAGACTTGCGAAGCCCGAACGGTATAGTTTAGGGTGTCTTTGTATGTATGTGCGTATGAATGCGTGTATGTATATGCTTATGTATGTATGTGTATATCTTTTTCTATGCCTCTGTCTACAAGATAGCCCGACACTGCCTTTGAACCACGATCCCACCTGCATAATAGAGGGGCCTAAATAATTACCATCACTATTTTTGGGGGTTCCTGATTATTATTATTATAAGTACAGTATAATGGCACCCCCAAAACCCATTTTTCTAATTATTGAGGCCCCTGCATCTTAGAACCCTCTTTTTGATCCCCTTTAGACCTCTTCAAGGATCCCTTCAAAAGGAACCCCATGAAACGCTTCTAGACCCCTTTGAAAGGAACCCTTGGAACCCGTGAAGGAACCCCTATTCTAATCATTAAGGTCTCTACCCAGAGGCCCCATAGTAGTTCCTTTTGGGGATTACCTATTAGGATTCTATATATGAGCCCCAAAAAGGAACTACTTTGGAGCCTTAGGGTAAGGTCTCTATATTACAGCCCTTCAAGGTGACGGGTCGCGGAGATGTTCTACGCTTGGAGGTCCGGTGCGGCACCCAAGATCCCGAGGTTTCATATCCTTTAGGTTTTTTAAAAAGGGACCTCAATAATTGGAATAGGGTTTGGGGGCCCATTATGCTATAACTTTCATCTCCAGTGGTTTTTGCCACATGGTATGCGACGGTTATGTATGGTAAAGTTTCATCTCCTGTAGGTGTTAAAAATATTTAATATAGGGACCTTAATAATTGGAATAGGGTTTTGGGGCCCATTGTGGTATAAGTATAATCAGGAACCGCCAAAAAGAGTATTGGTAATTATTAAGGACAATATACTAGGGCCAGGGGGCCATTCCATGAGTTATTTTCAATGGGGTTTGGCGGCGTTTAGGAGTTGAAGGATTAGGGCTTTATGGCTGTAGGTTCCTCTAAGGGCTAATTACAGGAGCCTGGTAGCATTGTAATCCAGGGTTTGTGGGGGGTTTCTGGAGGTTGCGGTTTAAGGCTCCTTCTTTTCAGCTCTTGCGTTTTTTGGCCTTGGTTTGAGGGTGCAGGATATGTATCAGGTATTCGTCTGTTCACTTGTACAAATCTACATGTATATATCTGCAATTATACTGTCGCGTTGCACACGTGTGCAGCCTTTTGTCTAGAATAGTAGTAGGCATGGGTTATACAGTTTTCGCGAATTTACAGGCACCGGACATGTTGCGATAACGGCTACATAGCGTAGTTAGACTGCCTATATACCTCTGCTAACTGCACCCCCCATCCCCCCCCCCCCCCAGTAGGCTGTGATGATCTGTCGGAATCACGTGTTTATCGTTTAAGTTGTTGTTGCGGTCTGCAGTCTTGGGCCGTAGTAGGGGCCTTTTCCATCGAAGTGATATAGGGGCCATAATAAATACCAATACTATTTTGGGGCTCCTTGCTACAATTTTTATACAATGAGCTCATGCTCAAGTTCAAGTGCTGGGAGTTTGCCTGGATGCATTTCCTGTCACGGATTTTCACAGGCGCGTGTTTGTGGTTCGCGCAATGTTGATTAATTGCGATTCTATACTTGGAGTGTTATGTTGCGGAGACTAGTAAGACTGGTAGTGACAAGCCCCTAACACAACCCTCCTTTGCATGTTTTGCAGCATTGTGTTCAAGGAAACCGAGTGCAAATAGTTTTCAAAATATGGACCCACACCATAGGCCCGCTAATGGGTTTCAATATTTCAACGGCTCCAAGACTTTCGGGTTTACGGTTTGCCGGGTGGGGGATCTAGCTCTCATTAGACTGTGACGGGTGGGCACCTTTTGGCGATTCCTGTGAGCTATCATGTTCTGTTACCGTGACCTAAGTCCTGAGGAATAGCGTGCTTGTATGCAATCTCATAGTAACTCTAGTATGCCTTAACCTTTCAACTTTTACCAGTAATCTTGCCGGCTTTGCAGGTCTAGACACCCTCCGTTGCACTATTTGCTTGCGCTTCGAAGCCCATGTCATCCCTGAGCATCACGGCTGCCCGAATAAATCCACAGGCTCTACTCTACTTGCAGGTTCATGGGTAGTTATAAGGAGGGTTGTAAGTAATTTCTATATACGTATAACTCATATGACTGGCTTTATAACCCACCCATGAACCTTGCAGTATCCCCAACCCCCAAGCCAACCAAGCGTAGGCCGTAAACCCTGAAAAACCTACTTAGCAACCTTTCGAAGGCCTACATCAAAACCACATAAAAACCCTACAGAAACCTATTAGCAACCCTGTAGGACTTAAACTGCCGAGCAACTTGTTGAAGCTTGCTCGCCTTTCTAGGCCCAGCCTGAGCTACACGCTTGGCCCTGCCGGGCGCTCTTGGCGATCTGAAGTAGGCTTCATATGCAGGCGTTGGTCGGTGAGTGTAAATCGTCATCAGCTTAACAGCCCAACATTACGGGGCCTCCTAGGTGTATGTTGGGTCGTGTTGTTCTTTTGACGAGTCGGTGTACCCGTACGACAAACTCTACTGAACGTAAGCTTGTCCGCCGTCGGTTTTGTTTCGGAGCTCGGGTACCCCTTCGACCGGAAGCATGAATCTGTTCGTATGTGTGGGGTGCTCTCTAAATTAGGATCCGTTTTTGGATCGCCGTCACTGTGCAACACGTACCTTGAGAGGGACCTGAATATAAAGACAACACTCCAAAATTTAATTCCTGTGGTTTCACCCGCTACTTGGAGGTTCGTGGCTAGTTTCTAAGTCGGGTTTTAATATTTGTAGGCAGCCTGCGATTCTGCAGGTCACCGCAAGAGTCTATCTTCGGGATTTTTTGGAGAGCTTGTGAAGCCTTGTGCCCCACTTCTAACCCCTAAACACTTGGGTGGTTTGCAAAATCGGGATCCCTCTTTAAGTCCTTGTTGTAATACGGCACCTATTATTTAGGGTACCCAGAAAGGCCTAAACCCTAAACCCCTAAACCCCTAAACCCAAACCCCAAACCCCTAAACCCCTAAACCCTAAACCCTGAACCCAAAACCCCAAAACCCTAAACCCCTAAACCCCTAAACCCCAAAACCCTAAACCCCTAAACCCCTAAACCCTAATTTTGACAACCATCCACTTGAGGTCATGCCGAATGGCGAGGGATGCTCCGAGGAGTTCTGGCGGGGCCCTCGGGGAGCGAGGGTCGGCTGCAGGGTGTAGAGTTTAGGGTTTAGGGGTTTAGGGATTAGGGTTTAGGGATTAGGGTCGAGAGTTTGGGTTTCGAGGTTACTTGGAGGTTCATGGGTAGTTATAAGTGGGGTTATAAGTTAATAAGATTAGGGGCTTATGGATTACGGTTTAGGGTCGAGAGATTGGGTGTTAAGATTAGGGCTTCGAGTTCAGGGTCGAGAGTTTAGGCATCAGGGTGTAGAGTTAAGGGTCGAGAGTTTGGGTGTAGAGTTTAGCAAAAGTTAGGGTTTAGGATTCGGGGTTCAGGGATGAGGGTTTAGGGTCCAGAGTTTGGGTTTGGAGGTTGGGGCCTTGAGTTTAGCGTTTAGGCTGCTCACCAGACATCGGGCAAGAGACTGCACCTCAAACGGGGCTTTCAGCTCCTCTGCGCCTGCAACTATCACAGGGTCTTGCGGTAGAGGGCACTTAGGGGCTTCCGGTGGGCTTTGGACAAGGTGTTTGGGCGGTTGCTTCAGCGCTTTGTAGGGTTTCCTGCAACCTCGCGGAGTTCCAAATTTCCGGCCAAGATGATTTAGTACTGCAGTCATGCACGGGCCAGAATAAGAACCCATAGTAGTGCCACGGAGTGTTCATACAGCATAACCACCCAAAAGACGGCCATGCCAGGCTGAATCCCAAATAGGATCTAGAGCTACGCTCTCGAGTGTACACTTGGGGGCATTGGGGTCTTGTGGGATGTGAGGAACCTTGAACCACCCTAGACCCTAAACCCTGCTTTTCTGCGGATCGAAAAGAAAGCCCCCTTAACAACAAGAAGCAACGAAAACTTTAAACTCCCCAGCACCAGACCCTAAGCTCACGCTCTCGGGGATGTACCGAGGCTCGTCAACCCCACCGACTATCCCATCGAGGCAGCTTCAGAGCTTTCTATGGTCAGGTTTTGGATTAGGGTTTGGGGTCTATGGTGTGGGAACTTATGGGGCTTGGTTTTCATGGTAGGGGAATGATGGGGTTTAGGGTGCCTGAAACAAATCACGCCATGGGCGTTTGAGTCTGAGGATGTAGATGTGAGAGTTGAGGGTTGAAGGCGGCTGTCTTTATGCCGAGGAGAGAAAGAGCGGTGTTGCGAATGGAGTTCATATGTTCCCACTAAAACCTCCAGAAGCTTAAAAGGCACAATCAACCAACACCCTGACCCCAAAACTGTGCTAAAACCGAAACCCTGTGGAACCCTTTGTTGAACACGCTTCTGAATCCCGTATATCCTAAAGCCTACTTCAGGTTTCTGACCCTTACGGCGTTATGGTTCGCGGGCGTGGGAGTCAGAGGTCGTGACTTCTAGGTCCGGTAATGACATAATGAAAGCACTGCGAGAACAATCTCTGCCCAAAGCATGTGATGGCCGGAAGTTTACATCAGCTGTATCTTGGCACGTTTTGCTGTCGCGTTGCATCGTCATCCAAACTAATGACAGTGCCAATCGAACCGCCCATCTACGCACTCGAAGTGGCTCGCTGATGTAAGCATTGAGCTAGTCCGTGTGGTTCTGATTCATCCCCGATCGGGTCCTCCGCCAAACACTTTGAACAAGGATGATTACAACCAGCGTTTTCGCGACATCAGAGCTGTAACGGATGCTGCGCCGCGATGTTCCTCAGTCCCATGGCCTGTGCGGCATGGCTTATCATCTTCGTGTATCGGAAAAATGTTTCTTAGCTGGGCACTTGTGATTACAAGACTCTACTTGAAGGCTCATGGAACTTAGTCAGTGAGGTTATAACTATACGTTATAATTAGGGTAACCCCAGTAAGGGGACTTATAACCCCAATTATAACCTACATACTAAGTCCCATGATCCTCTAAGTACGACGAGAACCCTTGCAGCCTGGTCAAAACTTCCTAAAGCGGTGCCACTGCACAAGTGCAGGGGTTGACAGACAGAACACTTCGGGAGGCAATACGGAACTGCAACCCCAAAAAGACTTGCCGATTCAGGGCTCAGGGTGTTTGGTGTCTTTGCAAGTTTAAGACTTTTCGTGTTTTCGAGCATGAAGGGTTTGGGGTCTTAGGGTCTACTGTAGGGCTTTGCAGTGATACTTATTTTCGTTGTTTTCCTCCAAACCCGGAACCGCAAACCCCTAGCCCCTAGACCCTCAACACACAACCCTGGGCCCTCCACCGCTAAACCCGCAGGTTTTCAGCACCGAGTTCGATGAGAAGTACTTGGCCGAGGACCTCTTTGGCCGAGTTCAGTCAGGGTTAAGGGATAGAAGCCTCAATAACTACCACTAGTTCTCTCGAGGGCTCCCAATTCCAATGATTGCGGCCTCTACTTGAAGGTGCAGGGTTTACGGATCTTCCCCACAGCCCACAATTAGGCTGTAACTCTACGCCCCAAAACCCAGAACTCAATGTTCCGAAAGCCCGAACTCTGCATATACCTTACATATGCCATGCCCATCTCAGTCCCTACAATTCTTTGATTGTCTAGGAGCGGGCTCTCGCAGACTACGATGGCTACCACCGTGGCACAGCAGAGGCGCGGGTCTCAGAGCCTCTAGAGCCTCTGTGATGCAGGATGGAGCGCTTTGGGCCGTGGTAGTAGTACAAGCGGTTCAGGGTTTAGGGCCCCAGGTTTAGGATGAGGGTTACGGACAGCAGCAACAGCCGGATGTAGAGCAGCAAAACTGGCAATACTCTTTACGACAGTGATGGTGTGTTATGGTTGAACTAGTTGTACTGTAGCAGGGGCTGCTATCACTAGTTATGCAGACCTTTGCAAAATAGTCTAAGTCACCCTAACTTATGTTCTTGTACAACCTTGCGTTCCTGTCTATTACTATGAGCTTGAGCACCAATGCATTCTCCATCTTTTCCTTCTCCACACATGATGAAAGATTCTAAAACTATACCCTCAACCCTCCAAGATGTGGGCTACGAGGTACTTGAAGGCCCATGGGACTTAGTAAGTAAGGTTATAAGTAGGTTATATTCTAAGTTTAATTAGGATAACCCCAGTTAGGGGACTTATAACCCCAATGATAACCTACTTACTAAGTCCCATGATCCGCTAAGTAGCCTTTGGTTCCGAGGTGCCGCTCCGGCAACCGGGCGATGGCATGTGGAAGCAGGCCGGAACTGTGATTCAGCCTGCCTTCGGCAGTTTTGGGCTTCCAGTTTGGGATATACCGAAGCCCGAACCCCACAGTGATTATGGGTTTGGGGGAGTTGATGTGGGGTTCAGGCGCAGCTGAAAAGTTGAATACTAGTTTACCGCAAGAGCCTGCAAAGAAGGATTCTAGCCCTGCCGTTGTCATGTCTCACATTTCTGTAGATGCATGATCGTACCAAAAGCCTAACACCCTAGTCAAAACATTCGAGACGACATTCGGGCTCCGTGGTGCTCGGGACTTCGGTTTCAGCTTCAGGAACTTGTAAGCCCCCACGCCCCAGGCGCCAGTCTTCAATCTTCAACCCGCCCAAGTTTAGGGTTCAGGGTTTAGGGTTCGGGGTTTACGGGTTTAGGGTTTGGGGTTTACGGGTTCAGGGTTTAGGGGTTTAGGGTTTGGGGTTTAGGGTTTTAGGTTTTGGGGGTTTAGGGTTTAGGGTGAGCTTCACACCGAAACCTTTCCGTTGCTGCCCCCGCTGCTCGCAGCAACTCCTCCTCCTCCTCCTCCTCCTCCTCCTCCTCCTCCTCCGCTTGCTAGCCCACCATCACCACGGCCACCACCTACAAAACCTTTGTAAAATGCTAACGGAGCATATGTCTCTATATATATATATACACACATACAAACAAACAAACATACAAACCAGAAAGCCATTTTCAAAACACTCTTAACTCCCGTCAAATCTCGCCTTTCTCACGATGCTGCTGGAGGTTGCCAGCCGAGTTGTCGAGATTCGCAAAGCGCGGAAAGAGGAGGCTCACGGTTTATCATAATATCCCTTAGTTTTCGGAATATACCTTAAATATCCTTAAATCATATTGGGGATCCTACTATAATTTACGGCATATTCCTTAAATAAGGGAGATGGGAGTCAAATTGGATTCGTGTTTCTGTTTAGTAGTATTTCTTTTGGTATGAGTATGAGTGCGTAGTACTGTTGTAACTACTTCCGAATTATTGCCTCTATCTTGCGCATGGCTCTTGTGATCTCGATGGTTATAATATGCCTATCAGAATTTAGATGTTCACTCCTCCGTCAGTGTCGTAACACTAGTTGTACATCAGGAGTACAGGCATTGGATTGGGGCGGGTGTGGTTGCTCACAGTCTTACAGTTTTGGCTAGAATCGCCTGTGTTCCACAGTCCACCGCCGACCGTGTCCGCCCGGGATGCGAAATCCTCGTCATGGGCTTGATAAAGCGCGCTCACGCCGCAGCGCTGTGCTTATTTTGAGGTGCTGTTCTGCAGGAACCGTGCTCCTGCCACAGTGCAGCTCTGCTAGTTGGTTTTGAACAATTTTTCAGAAGTTGGCGGCGATTGTCTCCGAGTTTCAACCCCTATCGCCGAACCCCAATGCCCTAAAACCCCAAGACCCTCCAGCCCCCATCCCCAACACGAACCCCGTAAAGCCTTGTAAAACCCGAAGGAGCCCGTACAGGAAACCCTTCCGCGAACCACGTAAACGATAACAAAAACCCTAGAAAGACCTTGTGTACTCTACCAATACTCTAAAGCCCTTGAATGCCTCAAGGCCTAAAGCCCCAAATCTCAGAACCCCAACTTCCCTCCTTTCCCTAACCCAACAGAAAAACACCAACAAAAGCACACCAGCACATAACCTGAAACCGGGCCCCCTCCGTTTACAAGACGAAGACCACACGTCAGGCGGAAGCGGCCAAGGCGGCCAAAGAGGAGGCCGCTATGTGAACAAATAAAGGGCTCGTACATGGAGGTTCGTGTCTAGTTGCGGCTAGTTTCCTTATTAATGGGGTTACAATGGTTACAAGTTCCGCAACATAGAGTCGGTACTACCTGCATGCTAGAATATACCAACCAAAACCCATTCTAAGTACATATGCCCCCTGGTATGGGGATTGGGTTGCAAGATGTCCTTATTGTTGGCGGTTTTGCGGCTTTGGGCTCTGAGAGTTGAGGTTTTGTGGTGTGAGGGATCCCAACGAACCCTAAACCCTCTCTGCAGGGGAGTGGCTGAGGTCCTCTGGTCAGACCAAGCGGTGAAACGTCGAGAGCTTCAGATGGGGGTGCAAGGGGTGAGATCTGGTTCTAGATTTTGGGTGCTCTTGAATAGAATACACTCTACCTTAACCTACCTAACCCTACTTTTTTGTAGGGTCCCTATAAACTCCATATTAGGGTTCATAATCAGAACCTACAAAAAAGTAAGGTTTGGTAGGCTAAGGTATAATGGATCTTACAACGCGTCATCGAGAAGTTGGACTAGATTACTTGTCTTGCAGCCTCAGGGTTAGGGAGGTTAGGTTCGTTCTTCCGCTCGTCCACAACTTTACGCGTGAGCAGTATCTCTTGGAGTACTGCATCTCCAGCTGCGCCGCATTCTGCACAAGATGAGTTGTCGCTCCAAGAAACCCTAGCCCTAAACCCCAACCCCTGAATCCCTCCTCCGTCCAAACCTTAAACCCTCTGAGTGGGCTTTAAAGTGAAAAGAAAATGAAAGGAAATCCTTGCTTGAAGGTAGTCTTACGTGCACAGAAAACTTGAAACCTTAGGTACGGCCCCCACTCAGTAATAGTTGAATCATATGCATAGTATAGATATAGTAGTACCTTAGTAGACTCTTACTGTATGGGGGCCGTACCTAATTGAAACCCTTTCAAAGGCTCCCTGAAACGCAAATGAACCCCCCCCGACATGCAGAGGAAGAGGAGGAGCAGCCGCCGCCGGAGGCGGATCCTGAGGCCGGGATTGTTAGGGACCCAAAAAGCACATAAGCATAAGCATTTTATGGGGATATCCCTACCTTATTGGGCTTCATTATAAGGGGGCTTATATGGGAGATCCCTATCTTATGTTTTGCTTTTGTGCCTTTTTGGGGGCCCTAGATTCGGTCCGTGCACCTACCTGTGGCTCGAAAACCCTACCCTTGAAATGGCCTAAAACTGTTTTACCAAATATTTACATAGAAACCATATAAAGGACTCCAAAAAAGGGCAGGCTTTGTCTGCTACTGGTAGTGGCTGAGATTCCGTGGGTATTAGGGTCTTTGGGCTTTTGGGTTCAGGGTGCGGCTTATGCTAAGGCCCTGTGAATCGGTAGCAAGCTGAAGGGGTGCGGATCTGATCAAGAGTGGCATCTTTTTGAAGGGGTCCTTGACTCTCTGCAGAATCGATCCACAACATGGTGGGTCAGCGGCCTAGCAGTGGAGTAGGGTAACCTTTAATTAACCTTTTTGGGGTAGTATAGTCCCTATATAATCCCTATATAACTATCAAAAGGTTAACGTTTAGTTCCCCATGATACCCGACAAGTAGGGTGATCGCTGGCAGGAAGGATGAACTCCGAAAGCCCCGAACCGCCCAAGCCCCTAAACCCCTTGCGTTCATTGCTTTCCCGTCTCAGCCCAGGACGGCCCGAAAACCGCTGTGGTAAGGATAGGCGCCTATCTACTCACAGAGCTCGACAAGTTAGCAACGGTGCCCATGCCGTTATGCCGAAACCTCACCGTGCGAACGGTCTTAAACCCTCCACCCCAGACATTCTCAGACCCTGAACCCGTCTAAAACCTTCGACCCTCGTCACTTCAAGCTACTATAGTTAATCACCAGGCCCAAAATCCAACATGTGCAAGCTTTCACTGTTATTTGCGGTTTCAGCGGTAAGAGCTGGAAGCTTGATGCCCTGCTAGCAGGCTGAAGCCCTGGAAGCGCGTGCTGGAGCTCAGTTGCTTCTGCCTTCGGTTTTGGGTCCGGTTGATTCATCTTTACGGATCAGACGTAGAGGTTAGGGTTAAGGGTTTGGGCTCTGATGAAAGGAGGGATTAACATACATCCCAGACCCTACATAAGCCCTGATATTGGGACTACTATAGGGATCCGTTCCCGCATTCCTTACCAAGAACCAGACAGCGCATGGTCTGGACGAAGAGTTTGCCGGCAAGGGTATGGAAGAGCACAACTTCAAGGCTCTGCTTCCCCACGACAAACACTGAACAAGGAAGACTGGGCTCTTGCTAAGGAGCTTAATTTAAGGTACCATAGTAGGGATCTATCGTAAATAATAGGGTTTCTGTGTTATGGCAACGCAAACTAATTCCCTTAACAAGAGCCCCAGACGAGGAAGAGCTCCTCCGAACGACATTGCCGTCAAAGGCGATGAAACCTCCAGATCGCGAGTGGCTCGCCACTACGAGGGCCATAGATATCTTAACCCTATGCTTCCAAGGATCTTAAAGTCAGGGCCCTAGATCCCGTAAGGACCCCATAAGATGGTCCTTGGAAGCATAGGGTTAGAGACGAGGTTACCCAAAGGGTCCAAAGTATCTTCATAGTAGAATGTAGGGTATCTATATCAGGAATTACTATTATGATTTTGGGAAGTGTTCCCCATAACAGTACATTGGACCCTTTCGGTTACTTGAAGGCTCATGGGACTTAGTAAGTAAGGTTATAAGTAGCTTATAATTAGGATAACCCCACTTAAGGGAGTTATAACCCCAATTATAACCTACTTACTAAGCCCCATGATCCTCTAAGTAGCAAGGAAAAGCATAGCACTTGGGCCGCTCCTGCCCTCAGCTGCTACGACTGCTGACTCGCTCCTTTTCCCTTCGGATAGAAGCCCTAAACCCCTAACAGGGATTAGGGTTCCCATAATAGGGTTCATATTAAGGAATCCCTACCCCAAGAATCTTAAACCCCCCTTTCGGCCACCCATCATGAACCTCGAACCCTAAGCCCGAAGCCTGAGGTCCATAAACCTTAGAAACGAATCTCAATGGTGAAGACCCAGAAAACTACGTTACATGTTATGTAGCGCCGTATATAGTAGATTATCTGTATGCTAGATCTTGGTCAGTATACCATATCGGATATTTTGCATATGTTCTACTATACGGTGAAGATTTGGCGCATCCTCCGGAGTCCCTGTGTGTGCACTGATTCTGCGACATGCCGTCCGAATGACTGTAGACCAGCGTGTATAGCATGGCATGTATGATATGCGTATGTATAACTACATAGAACATACGTATATATTTTAATCAAGGTATATGATAAATACTGATGGTATGTATGTACGTATGTATGTATGTATATATATGTATGTATGTATGTATGTGTGTATATATATATATATATATATATATATATGTATGTATGTATGTATGTATGCATGTATGTATACACGTGTGTATATGTATATTTACATAAGTATCTGATGAACTATACCTTGAACACCTAGCATATTGGTTGACTTTTTTGTGTTCGTGGAGTATATGTTTAGCGTTTTGGAGGCCACGGGTGCAAGGGTCTAGGATGAGGGGGTTACTTGGGTGTTAGTATACAAATGGTTTCTAGTGACGAATAGAGGGGTTGATCCAGAAACCAACCCTCAAGCCACAGAAATTTATAAGCCCCAAGCCTTCGAAGGAAGCCTACACCCTAAGCCTCTGCACATTAAGTATCCGTACAGGTGCCGCCGAGGAGCTCTTGGCACTTGAGGCCATCGCAGAGCAGCCAGATCCTCCAGAGGACCCGGGCCTAATGTAGGGGCTCAGTAACTAGAATAGGGTTTTGGGACCCATAATACTATTCTAAAGTAAGGAGCCCCGAAAATCGTATTGGTAGCATTAACGCCCCTGTATGCTGAGGTCTTTCAAGGGTGTAGTAAGTACTTCTGGAATGGAGCTACAGGGCCCAGAGGGTTCCATGAGGGCTAAAGTTCTATCTGGGAGCCCCTCATTCAGAGACCAGCGGTTTTCTTCTTGTTATTGTTCTAGGGCTCTGAAGGTGGATCTTGTTGGTGTAAATTTACGGGATGCCAGATCCTCCAGAGGACATTGCGATGGATCAGAAACCCTGTTCACTTGTAGGGCTCTACTGATTCTAGGGCCCTCTTCGGAGCTTCTTCGAGCGCAGTGTTTAGGGTTTCAGGTTTTAAACCCCTAAACCCTAAACCCCCAAATTTGGGTTCAGGTACACCTTGAGGTTTAGAGGCTCGACATTCCCTCCTGAATCAACGAAGTGCAAGCTCCACGGCCAGGTCCACAAGGGCCCGGGTCCCCGAAACAGAATCCGCATACCTTGCACAGTGTAGGTACTTGGGATCCTTTTGGCTTGCAGGGTTCAGACCAGGCGATTTTTGAAATATTCCCATCCTAGCAACTGCGGCCGTAAACACCACAAAACAGATCCCTAACTCTGCAGACCCGAAACACCACGTCCAAACAGCAAAGAACAAGGAGATGGACGCATCGGTGTATCCTTACCGCGTCAACGGCCCGGACCGCGCAGCTTGAATCGCACACCCAGCGGCTCTAGGGTTTAGGGTTTAGGGATTGTTTGTTTGTATAGTAACGTTTTATAAATGCATTTTTTGGGGCTTTGGCTGTTAGGGCCTGTTGCTCTGCATTTTGTGTTTCAAGCGCTGTGGTTTTCTGTTTTTTGGTGCTTTAGCTGTAAGGGTGTGACAGTTTTTTCAAGCGGGTTGTTGTGTTTCCGGCTTTAGGTTTCCAGTCTGGGGAAGGAGTGGGCCACGCGAAATGCCAGACGATCTTGACGATCTGCGTAGTCGAGGAGGTAACCTTTAACTTCTCAAGGGTCATACAATCCCAAAATAGTTCCCTAATGTTCACAAAATGTATCTCACACAACTACAAAACTTACCCGTCAGTTCTCGGACAAGTGGGTGATGGCATCCAGATTCACCTTGGCAATTCTCAAACTGGCACTTGATATGACCTACACTACTTTCCCAGTTCCTCGTGGTAGTTCAAGGGTATTCATAGTACACTATACTCCAAAACCCTATTCTAATTATGAAAGCCCCTGTGTGAATCACCGGCCCATCCCGGAATGCAGCCACTGGCGAGGATGCCCTTGCTTCCGTGCCTTAAGGGCGGAGGGTTCTTATACAGGCTGCTTAAGGGGTTTACAAGCGTGGCTGAAAAGGTTCATCTAAGACTCTAAGATTGCTGTGGAGCTTAACTGGGTTTTAGGGCTTCGGATTTGTTTTTTCGGGGTGTAGTTTGGGTTTAGGGTTCTGCGGTGCTGCGCACCGTGTAATTGCCCATGCAAGCTGAATTCTGCCAGTGCTCTAGTAGCCCCCAATGCACAGGAGTTGTGGCTGCTTTCTTGAGGAACCCTAAAGCCTACCCGAAACCCTAAAATTTAAAAGCGGAGTGTCCCCACAAAGCAATGAATTAGGGGATGGGTGCTCACCCCTAGACCCTCAGCCTTGCAATCTGGTGCCGCAAACCTCTAAAATCTAAACCTTTGGATTAAACTTCGTGATCTCTTGGGTGAACGTCTCATGAACAGGGAAGCAAAGCCAACCATAAGATCTTGACATAGATCGTAAGGGTAGCTTCAATTAACTCATCCATTAAACACTGAGGCTCCGCCCTTGCAGGCCACTGTAAATCATGTCTACCGCCACCCTAAAAGCCCTCCCTTGTAGAAGCACAAAAACAGTCAGATGAGCAAAGAAATAGCGACAAAAAGCAAAACAAACCACCACAGAGCTTCATAAAGAAGGATATATATATATATATATACACCTATACTCTAAAAAACAAGCCCTAGGCTGGTCCTAGACCCTAAAGCAGAGCGAAAGGGCGAAGCAAGGCTAAACCTTGAACACAAAACCATAAACCCTAAACCCCCAAACCCGAAACCCAAAACCCTAAAGCCTGAACCCCTAAACCCTAACCCAAACCCTAAACCCTACACCCTAATTCTGACAACCACCCAGGTGAATGCCATCCTTGTCGGGCCGCCCAAGCGCCGCACTCAGTCAAAGGAAGGCCAAAAAGGTTGACTTAGGGTTTTGGGTTTTTGGGATTTAGGGTTTGGGATTTAGGGTTTGGGTTTAGGTTTCGGTTTCGGGGTTGAGGGCTTAGGGTTTTGGGTTTAGGGTTTATAGGGCCTAGGGTTTAAACGGTCTAGGGGGGCTGTATGAGGGCTGTAGGCTGCCAGGAGGGCTTTAGAAAGTTTGATATGGGTTTATGGGCTTTGATGGGGCTCCTTCAAGGGTTCGATAGGGGCTACAACGGCTTATGGTAAACCTTAGAAGCTGCCCCCCACCCTGTAAATAGTGACTATAAGGATTATATTAGGGCCCCCTATTTAAATTCCTATTGTACCACTATTACAGGGTGGGGGCCCCTTTTAAGGTAAACCCTATAAGCCCTGAAGACCATGGGGATCCTCTGCTTCGGGTTCTAATGTGAGGGTCGGGATAAAGATTTCGCGTATTCCTTTGGGTTGCGTACTAATACCATACTATACTTACCTTTGGTTAGTAGGGAATGGAAGAATGGTAGTAATAGTAGTTATAATTGTACCCCATTCCTCCATTCCCATATTAACCAAAGGTAAGTATAGTATTCCTCAGAACACCAGTCTAATAGTCAAGGCCTCGACGTATTAGTTGTATAGGGAAGTTGAAGAGTAGGGATCCTTGTGCTTTTCCTCAAGGCTCCGTATTGCAAGTGGGTGGTTGTCAAAATTATGGCCCCTTTTTTGGGTACCCTATGTAAATATTAGGTGCCGTATTATAATAAGGACCCAAAAAGGGACCCTAATTTCGACAACCACCCAAGCACAGCATAATGTACATCGAAACCCGATTCTAATTGTCAAGGCCTCATTTCTGCAACTATCAGGCTGAGGAAACGGGTTCGCCGGCGCGATGTTGCAACCTAGTGGTCCTAGTGTACACAGGACCCGTGCGTGTCCCTACACCGTTGCACCCTAGCAGAAAATGCTGAACTCCGACTATCCTGCAGCTCAAGACCCAAAGTCCTCCACCCCATGAAACGACCCTGTGCAAAAGTGCCTGATTTCTTGACATGGTTCCTGATGGTCCGTAGTTTTTCCTCGTGCAAAGCAGCCTCCAAACCCCCGTTCAACTTTCAAGCCCCTCTATGTCACCTTCGGATTTTTTGAGGCCCCCTTGTAACCCCCTATATGTCGTCATCAGCCTTACTATTGAGCCCTTAAACCCCACTTATGAAGACGGCGGCAACAAGGTCCGGCATGTCCACGCTTGCCCGGACATTGTGCAAGGAGGACCCGGCCTCATCCGGAGATGTCGGTTCTTTTGTGGGTTCCTTTCGAGCTAAAACGATTTCGATAAGTTGTACTTACTTGGACATTGAACTTGAACCGGCTTTATCTCAGAATATTTGTCAGGTTTCTTGAACAACAGTGTAACATACAACATACCCAGACGAAAACCTGTTCCAATTCTGAATACACATAATGCCCGAAGACTGCCAAGGATTCTGAGGCTTTAGCTGGGGCCCAAAGTCCATGCATTGAAGGGCATTTTGGGCTTTTGCGGTTCGAGTTTTAGGCTGTTTTCCCGGATTCAGCTCAAACCGGGGTCCCGTTACACGTCCATCTTCCAAAAGCGAAATAGTCCTTTGGCTTGGGCAACCTTTGACCCTTTGGGGTAGTGTAAACTAACTCGCGGCCAAGGTTACGCAGGTGTTTTGGGAGAGCGACGGAAGCCAACCAATCCTGTACTTTGTAGTCCCAAAGCGTTACTCAAAGCCTGAACTGCCGTGCCTTTGTCTGGACTAATGTAGGAACCTGATGAAGAAGCCCTGGGCCTATAGCCCCAGAATAGTAAGATTGATATTAGGAACTTATTACGCCCAAGGTTTCTTAGTCAGCTTCCTACATCACCGTTTCATGGATGGAGTCGCACGCTGTCAAAATGATGAAATGTCCGAAGTGAACAAGCCCAAGTCAAGACTCAGGCAGCCTAGAAAGAAACCCTACAAGCTAGCAACACTGCACAACAAACATAAGAAGTGTAGCAGCCTATATATGATTATATATATTATAACGTACCCTACACCAATGCCCTAAACCTCAAACCCTGTAAAGAGCACCACAATTGCAAACCCTAAACCCCTAAACCCTAATTAAGCCTTAACCCAACTCCTGGCTTCTGTAGCCTTCCGGTCGGGATATGAGCGGGCGGAAAAAAAGGAGTTCAAACAAAAAAAAACCTGAACCACTGGAACAAACCGGCAGGACAGCCGGCGCTTGCTGAAGATCGATGCAGTCCTGGACTGGGCCCGAGAGGCACCAGACAATCTAAGAAAGGGGCCTTACGACTTAGAATAGGGTTCCTTTAAAAGGGGTCTATAAGGGCTACTATAAGGGATCTAGAAGGGTTCTATTCAGGGGCCTGAATGGGTTTTGAGGCCCATTATACTATACTTATAATAAGAAGCCCCTGAAATAGTATAGGTAATTATGATATAAGGCCCCTAAATACAAAAAATCTGACTTCTGGCAGCGTTGCTTTGGGCCAGTAGGGTTTAGGGTCTAGGGCCCTTGGGGTGTTGGGGTTTGCAGGGTTTGAGAATTAAAAGTGCTCTTGCACTTGGAAGTGGCATGGACAATTTGCGAACAGTGTTAATCCTTTGCAGTCGCCACGTTCTAGACAGCTATACTAGAGCCTTCCTCAAAGACCCTATTCGAATCATTAAATTAAGGCCTCTTGTTTCTGCCTGTGGTTTCCACTTGGACCATCGTTCCCAATCTAACAGCAGCGACATGGAAGTGTTGTGCTATTTCCTCCGGCTTAGGATTTAAGGATTTGTGGGTGTGATGCCGGCAAGTGCTGGCGCTTGTTTTTTCGGGCTTGTTCTTTTCTGCTTTGTTCTAAATCTAAAGCGGAACCTATAGTCATAGCCTCTCCGGTGTTGCCCGCTGGCAGACCCATCCATACTTTCGCATTTCGCAGGTTGATGCACGTGCCCTGCAAGCTCTAATCGCAGTTAACCCTGAAGGCCTCAAACAAGCTTTAAACCCTGCAAACACCTTAAAGCCGTGACACCGGTCTCCCTGAACCCTAAAAACCCAATCACCATCACCTTCCGAATTATACATACCCCTCGGCCTCAATCCACCAGAAAGAACAAAAACAAATCCGGGGTCAACGAACGCCACACATTGTTCCCCCTCCATTCTCCCACACGAAACCCACGAAACCGAAAACAAACACAAGGACGAACAACGCCCCTGTAAGCCTCAAAGACTATTACTAGGTATCGATTAGTGTCTAGCCTAGAGCCAGAATAAACGTTTTTGGGGATTGTTGAAATCGACAGTGAGTATAAGACATGAAACACATCACAAGCAGTGACGAGAGGCTCCGCCGTGCCTCCACAACGACTGGAATGCTCGAACCACCGGCAAGAAGCTCCAAGGCCAACCGTGGGTCACGATGTAGGGTCAAGATTTCAGGGTGTACGTAGGCACTGCGATTTGGGTTTGAGGTCGCATAGTTTTATGGCGTTGGGATGGCAAGATTTGGTATATAAGTTGTGTTCTTAGCGGTTTAGCTGCCTCCCTGTCGTTTTGCAGACCTGTTTCGAAATACCTTCAATGCTGTGTTGAGTCGGTGTAACACTCTGCGTGTTAAGCCAATGGAGGGGTCCTGGTGTAACAAAGAGGCCTACAGGTTTTGACGGCCTCCATGCCGATGCAAGCAAATTGAATCAGGCCCGATTCTCGACAGGACGTTCTCACTGATTTGACGACATCTGTAGGATGTGGTAAAGTTTAGGCTAGTATTCCGGCGCATGCTTCGGGGTTCGTTTCAGGGCGTTTAAGATTCTCAGCACACTCGCAGTTTCAAAACTTGTGCTCAAGCTGCAGTCTCGGAAACCTGCACCGCACACAACACTCTTGTCGAGCCCATGATGCTGCAGGAATAACTTACCTGTTTAAGGTCGTCCTTATAAATCATAATAAGGATCCCTAAAACTGTAGGTTACCCAGGGTTAAGGTAGGGTTTAGCTTTACGGTTCAGGGTTTAAGGGTTTAGGGGCTTAGGGCCGAACTCCAAGCCCTTCAAGTCTTGCCCTCTCGCAGGAGGCCAGACCGTGACCGTTCATGAGGCCGGCACTTTGAGGGGACCTCCAGTCTCCACTGTAGTTGTTTCTCTTCAGGTTATTCTTTAGGTTATGTGATTATAGGACTACAATGGATACGGGTCGTTGGATTCCGGCAGGGCGGTCTTTGGACTTCAGGATGATCTTGTTGGTAGTATCTTTAAGGGCTCAGAGGGGTTTAGACTTGTTGATTTGATGGGGGGCGTGGGGGGGGGGACGGGGAGCAGGTTTGAGGGCACATTGTGAGACTTACAGTTCGCGGCCGGCGCCTCTATCTAGTACTCTCCTAGAGCTCTGCAGCCCAAGATACGATTGTCTCTTTAGGGTGTCAGGGTTTCGGGTTTAGGGCTATTACTCCCGACCGAACGGGCGATCTTCCCGCTACCGGTTCACAACGTCCACGACAACTTCCCCGAGCTCCTCAATCAACTACAGCACATGACCGAGTGGGAAGCCGATTTATGCGACTACCAGCAGAAGGAACACGCAAGAAGGATGTGCTGCAAGACGTGTGACATGTCTCTGAAGCCACCCTTCACCGTCTTGTAGCTGTTCTGCCACTTAGCATACGGACAGGCCGAAGAGGGCCACAAGCTGCCGCTGGAGATCGAGAGACAGCTCACGGAGATCCACGTCCAAGTGGGCAAGAGCATTATGCACATCTGCCGCGAGCGGCAGCGGAGCTCCTCGACTTCAGCAAGCTTCCCCAGCACACCAAGTACCTCCAGCTGGACTCGCTGGACCACCTCGACGTTCAGGCCAGGCTTGAGAATTCAGACTCAGACTCATCAGCGAGCCCGGAGGACCAGGAGTGCGCCGTTGGAAATTGGGTATTGTCACTGTTGGCAGCAATGCAAAGCCCTATAAACCCCTAAACCCCACACCCCTCAACCCTAAAACCCCAAACCTAAACCCCCAAAGCCCTAAACCCCACACCCCTCAACCGAAAGACCTACCGCAAGCCCCTAAACCCCAAGAACCCAAAACCCCACACCCCCAAAGCCCTAAACCCCCGGACCACGACCAGGTCGCTCACTTGCTGAAGAAGCGCTCGCAGCTGGCGGACTGCAACACTGGGCCCGCCGACCTGGTGCGGGCTGTTTTTGTCGCTGTAAGGTTTGATAGGAGTTTAGGGTTTAGGGTTGATAGGAGTTTAGGGTTTAGGGTTGACAGTAGTTTAGGGTTTAGGGTTGATAGGAAGTTAGGGGCTTCGGGGGTTTAGGGGTTTAGGAGTTTGGTTAAGGGTCTATAGGAGGTTAGGGGTTTGGAGGTTTAGGAGTTTGGGGGTTCAGGGTGTTTATGGGGTTTAGGGTGTTTTTTTGTGCTTATGGGTTGTAGGGCATCGGGACGCTTAGAATCTGGCCAGGGGCATTTTGCTGTTTGGTAGTTCAAAGGGTTTAGGATTCTGGAACTGGCCGCTGCCTCAGATAAAGCTACTCCCGAAATCCTCGCCCCGCACCAAGTGCAGTAGGAGGACATCAGCGATGTCTTTTCTGAGTCTTTTGGCGCTGAGTATGGGAACGGCCGCCATTATCGACACGCCGTTTGCTGTTCCAGCTGGACCGTTGCACATGAGGCTTGGGAAAGCCATGTTTGTTACCCAGGTCTACCTGCCCTTGTAGTCTATGACCTGTCCACTTGGGAATCTAAATCACAACGCATTGTCGACAAGCGAAAAGGAAAGACCAGCATCTGGACATCAGGTGCTCTGTCAAGCGCTTTTCGCTCCATCGGCGCGTTCGCAGAGGGCATTGGCGTGCTAGTCGAAGACAAAGTTTTGCACTTTGACACGCTGCCAACTCTCGGATCGTCTGAAGGCATGAAAGAGCTCGGGCTCTGAAGTGCTTCCCGACAGGCCATCGGTACGCCTACAGCGACAATACTGTGACATATATTTTGTGTGTACTTTGGGACGACGAGGGTTTGGGTTTCGGCGGAGGATTTAAAGGCTTTACGGCGGAGGAAGATTCAAGATTCGGGTCTTAGGGTTTTGGGCCGTGTCGTCGAGTTGAGGGCTTTAGGCTTTAAAATGGGGCCTCAATAATTTCCTAAATTATTTTGGTGGGTTCCTTATTACAACTATCGTCGAATCGCCCCCAAAATCCTACTGTAATTGAATTAGAATAGGATCTTGGGGCCGATCCTATGATCGTTGTACTGTAATTGTTAAGGCCCCAAACCCTAAACCCTAGCACCCTAAATCCTAAACCCTCGGCCCCGAAACCCTAAACCCAAGGCCCAAAACCCTCCCTATGTTATGTGAGTGTGGGGGGTCATGGAGTTCGAGGAGCAATTCCTATTTGGGGTAGGGAGATCTTCGGATCCGGGGATGGGGCTGAGGTTACTCGGTAGGCTTTAGGACTCAAGGTTCAGGGTTTGGGATTCAGGGATTAGTTGTTGGTGGTGGTGGCGGCGGCGGTGGCGGCGGTGCTTGGGTCGTTGTTCGTTTGTTGTTATGCTATGCGGCTCTACCACAAGCAGATTATTCCGAGGTGCGGCGTTTTACGTTTTACCAGGAAAGACGTAAGCCGGGAGGTTTGCAGTTGGAGCTGGGGGATCCCACACGACCGGAGGGCAACACTCCGTCAACTTGGGCGTCGGAGTTGGGTTTTCTTAGTTCACACGCGCCTAACCTAACAAGTTCTTGGCTTGCTTATAATTCTGTAGTATTCTGAAAGTTTCTCATTTCCTCACTTGGGAGAAGTAAGCCAAAGCACTGAAACTCCAAGGCGAACTTTGAACCTATGGACCCGAAGTACAGGGCTGTAGATCCGAAATCCAAGAACCCAGAACCCTAAGACCCTAAGTTCTTGAAGCGGCCTCCATCATTGCAGTTGCTCAGTGTTGCAACTACCCCCTGAGAGTATAGTGAGTTTGAGAGGGTTGAAACACGGATTTGGTGCGGAGATTCCTTGTACTTTATGTTAAGGCCACGAGGATAATGACGTTCCAGTTTTCTGGTTTCTACTTTGTGTTCATTGGTGTTGATACGGCTGTAAGCGATGAATCCCTACACCTAAGCTCTGAACCCAACTTAACATTCATAGGGCTTAGGGCACTCTTGCATGAACCGCTATGAACTTGCACCGTCTTGGTCCATGTATTCACTACAAGTAACCTTCAGAGAGTACCAGCACTCATCATGATGTTCCAGTTTCCAGCTTGTTGTGGTTTGCTTCAAGGTGTCTGGGGCATGTGGGGGTTGGCCTCAGAGTTCTGGTTGCAGTATGGTTGTAGTTCTTAGTACTCGGTTGAGTTTTAAGGGTTTAGGTTTGAACCTGGAGTTTAAGGTGTACAGCACGCTGGGAGGATCGAGGGACTTTTGGCAAGTAGCATCGCGCAGCTGGGCGCGCACCACTTTAAACTCAGGAGGCTCAATAACCAGAGTAGTCCCATACCGCAGCTACATGACAAGGAGTCCCGAAGAAACAGCTTTTTCTTTTAGCAGCTGGCGCTCACAACATCTTTTGGATTTCGGAGGATGCGTTGAACCCTACAAACCCTGTAAGAGAGTAACCGTAAGGAAGTTTCAGCACGCCCATGGAGACTGCAGCCCTACTAAAGTGTTATGAGTCCCCATCAAGCCCCTCACAAGCTTTGGCATGGCCTTGGGTTCAGCCGTGCGGGCACGCATTCGTCCTGAGGATCATCTTGGATGGGCTAGAGAGCCAGCATCTACAGCCCAATGAGGTGCGGTCCGGAGAAAAGGGATCTATAGGAGTGCCTTTAAGGGATCTATGAGGGTTCCTTTCAGGGTATAGGGTTCAAGGTTTAAGTTATCATGTTACCATGATAGGGATCTACAGTACATCATATGGGACTGTATAATAACCCCGTGCTGTTAAGTTTGGTCTTTGACATGTCGGTGTTAGGTTTTGATGGCTTTCCGTGGAAAAACGATAAGAAGAACATAAAACGATAACAAAACATAACGAAACGGTAACGCATTTTTCGTGGTAAAACGATAAGAAGAAAATAAAACGATAACAGCACTCAGGGATAAGGATTTTTATACGGTGTTATTATACAACCCCATATGGTTTCTTGGTTATTGTCACTTAAACTAAACTCCTTAACAAGAGCCCAGTATGGGGCCGTGTCAAGGGGGGCTTGGCAGCCCGATCGAGATGATAGGAAGCGGTGAGGTACAGCTCCCACCAGGAGCAAAAATCGAGCCTCTGCCCCAACTCTCCCTTATCATGGATCCCTTTAAAGGAACCCGACCCACCTTACTCTAGATCCCTTTAAAGGAACCCTATACCCACCTCACTCTAGGTCCTTTTAAAGGAACCCTATACCCACCTTACTAGGACCTAGAGTAGGCCCTTATTCCCTTTTTCTGGGGTCTAGGTTCTCTCAGAAGCCCCTTTACTACAATTTACTGATCCCCGAAGCAGCCGGGAAATCTGTGCAGGTCGTCGAGGCCCTGATCGAAGGGTTCAAGGCCGAGAAGGTGGTTTTGATCACCGCTTGGGGCCCCAAAGCCACGGTTTAGGGGTTTAGGGGTTTAGGGGTTTAGGGTTTAGGGGTTTAGGGTTTAGGGGTTTAGGGTTTAGGGGTTTTAGGGGTTTTAGGGTTTAGGTTTAGGGTTTAGGGTTTAGGGGTTTTAGGGGTTTTAGGGTTTGGGGTTTAGGGTTTAGGGTTTAGGGCTTAGGGTTTTGGGTTTTGGGTTTAGGGTTTTAGGGTTTAGGGGTTTTAGGGGTTTTAGGGGTTTAGGGGTTTAGGGTTTGGGGTTTTGGGGTTTAGGGTTTAGGGTTTAGGGTTTAGGGTGGTCTGGCGGCTTAGGGTGTAGGGTTTACCACCTTTGGTCAGTAGGGAATGGAGGAATGGGGTACAGGTATAACTACTACTACTACTACTACTACTACTACTACTACTACTACTACTACTACTACTACTACTACTACTACTACTACTACTACTACTACCATTCTTCCATTTCCTACTAACCAAAGGTAAGCAAAAGTGCTGAGGCTCCTTTGGTTCAGGGTTCAGGGTTTATGATTAGGGTTGAGGTTTTAGGATGGTTTTTAGTATTTTGCGGCTGAGGCTCCTTTTGGTTGAGGGTTTAGGGTTGAGGTTTTAGGATGGTTTTAGGTATAAAATTTGGGGTATAGAGTATAGCATGTAGGGTGTGGGGTTCAGGGTTGGAGGTTTAGGGTCTAGGTTCAGGGTTGACCGTTCGAGGTTTATTAGGGCGTAGGCAAGCGTAGGCAAGGTTTAGGCGTTCTGGCTTCACGTCGAATCTGCGGCGTCTTGAGAATTATGCCGCCAACCGGCTTGAAGTAGGTTATGGGGATACCCTTAGTTGATGCCTGACAGAGCACTGAGTGGGGCTTGAGGTGCGGGGTATGACGTTTCGAAGTGAATCCACAGAATCCGAAACCCTGAACCCGCTCAAAATCCTAGAAGCCGCCAATACCCAGAGCCCAAGCCCTGAAAAAGCCGGAGCCATCCAAAGTCCCGAAAAGTATGAAGCCATTGGACCGTAGAGTACTCCCTCTTGCTGAGGCAATGCTAAGGGGCCCATATAGACCGTAAGTAGTAGGATTGTTGTTTCAATACGACCCCTACAGCGCTAAATCCTCAAATCCCCGAAAGCCTTATAAGCACTAAAAGTCTAAAAGCCCTGAAGCCCTCAGCCTTCAATCTAAAAACCCAATCCTGGAAATCCTAAATCCTAAAGTCCCAACACCACAAGACGGCCCCAACAGCCTACTTTACATAATTATCCATATCATCCCTTAGGGTGCCTTAGTATAACTTACATCATGGAACCCTATTGTAGATCCCGTATAGAGCCCTTGAAGGATCTCCTTAAAAGGAACCCTATTCCAAGTATTCAGGCCCCTAACAGCCTAAGCAACTGGGAGTTTGCGAAAAAAGGGGATCCTAACATAGTACCCTTAATAGTGGGATCCTTAATATAAGTAACCCCTAATAAGGCACCCCTAATTTGGGAAACTCTAAACCCCAAACCCTTTATAGAACCCTTTATAGATCCCTTTAAAGGAACCCTTTATAGACCCCTTTATGGAACCCTCAAAGGATCCCTTTAAAGGTACCCCCTAACTTTCGGAAACTTCGAACTCCCTCGGTGCCGAGGTGGATCTTCCCAGCCAGGAGCAGAAGTTAGGGCCGACGCCTAAGCAGTGCAGGGGGGGGTGCTTACAGGATCCTGGGACTGAGTAACAAGGGTTATAGTTACAGTAAACTCCAAAAAGCTGGAAACCTAATTAAGGACAAATCGTGCTGGGATTCCCCATACTTTGCTCTTAGGGATTGAGGCCATTGGGTTCCAACTTTTGGGCTTCTAGTGTAGCGGAACGATTCTTGTAGCTACTCATAACCACACTTAAGGTACTTATAGCTGTACTTCTATTACTAAGTCCTATGATCCTCCAAGTGTTCGTGGGGCTCCCGGCCGAGCGTCAAAGCACCACCCCGCGAAGCTTCAACGAACCACCCAGATCTTTGCCGAAGCCTTAAGCCCCAAAGCCGTAATTGCACCCCTCAGCCCTTACCGCAAACATTACCTGGAACCCCCCACGTGATAGCCTCTGTTGGACCCTAGATGCCCGCCAATGGACCACAGGGGTTCCATCAAGGGTACCGTAGAGGTCCAGATAGATGCATGCCCAAACGCCAAGCCGAAACAACACCAAACATTGAACCCGAAACCCTAAGACCCCATAGCCTAAGCCCCAGACCCAGAACCATAGGACCCTAGAGCTTAGACCCGCAACCCCAATCCCAAGACCCCATATAAGACCCTTACAGAGCCCGTACACATCTACTTGAAAGGAACCCTTCAAGAGCTCTCATAGCCTGAGTGCACCACCGGCTTCAGGGACGAAGAGGGGGAGACAACAGAGGAAGCCGACGCCGAGAAGGAGCCAGCGGAGAAGGTGGGGCACACCAGGACTACTACTGCCATTCCTTTTTGAATGACCTTCACTATATTCTTACAGGTGTCGGCATGAATGTTAGTATGACCCTGATTAGTAGTCTTATCCTGCTGGTGGTTAAAATCATTACCATCAATATCATTGACTACTATTATCATCAGCAGCATCGCCATCATCATTATCTTTGTCTTCTTTATCATCATCATTATCATGATTAGGATGGTTGAGATTATGATTTTGATTCGTAGTGCTAGTATTACAAGAAGCACTCTCAGTACGACTACGACTCCAATTTCTATGAAAGCTGCTAGTACTTCTATTTCTCTTGGAAAGAGGCACCGAGACGCTGCCTGAATCTGAAGAACCTGAAGCTCCTCTACCAGGATAAGAAACCCCTGAACACTCTCTAAATCGCGCACGCAAAACCACCAGCCATGCCTGATCTCCAAACCTCCGAAAACCGTAAATCCTACTACTTCCCGAAACCGACCAATCCTGGCTTTAGTAACCTTACAGAACCCGCAAACCTTTATAGAACCAACCCTGGTAGAACCTGTACTAAATCCTTGTGATAGCCCTTATCGTAGCCCTTATATTATAATACTCCCTTAAGCGAGCCCTATTCTACTTATGAAGGCCCCCATATCACAGAACCCTATCATAGATAGACCCCGTTACAAGGATCTCTTTAAGGAACCACTACAGTATTCTAATTGTTGAGGCCCCTATATCATAGAACCCTATTACAGATCCCCTATAGACCCCTTTAAAGGGATCCCTTTCAAAGGAACCACTATTCTTAGATGGCTTATTGAATCCTCTAAGGATCCCTTTAAAGGATCCCTATTCTCATTACCCTATAAAACCCTTTAAGGATCCCTTTTAGGGAGCCCTCGTCTAGTTATTAACCTTTCGGCGACCCAAAGGGTCCAAGTATCATTATGGTATATACTTATAGGGTATTTTAAGGCTCTAATGGCCCAAAACCCATAAAAGGCCATTATTCTACATACTTTTGGTGTCCAGGTGGACCCTTTGGGTCAGCAATCCAATGTCCCAAACCCCCGGCGAGGCCCCGGCGGCGGAGGCCGAAGGCGATGCTGTGGAGCAGCCCTTAGTGCTGCGGCCTTCGGCACCGGCACAGGCCACGGATGGGGGTTTAGGATTATAAGGGTTATAGGGGTTTAGGGGTTAAGGGTTTAGGGTTTAGGAGTTAAGGTTTAGTGGTTTGGGTTTTAGGGTAAAGCTTGCGGGTAAACGTGCCGGTTTAGGGTAAAGGTTGCGGTTCAGGATGGAAGGTTCAGGGTTTATGGTAAACTTTGCCGTTCTACTGTTCAGGGTGTATGCGCGTGAGATAGTTCAGGATTTATTGTACCCCGACGATTGGTAACCCCGGCACCCTGACAACCCAAAGCCTAAAGCCTGAACATACCTGAACCCAAAGCCCGCATGCTGCTCCTGAACCCTGAACCCTAAACTCCTAAACCCTGGACCCCTGAACCTTAAACGCTAAACCCCTAAACCCTAAACTTCCCTAAACCCTGAAGTGTCCCTGATGAAGGCCTTGTCGCGCATCTACACGTCGCTGCAGACAGAGCTGAAAGACTATACGCAGGAGACTTTGTCATGGCAATTTACATTTTTTATGGGTACTTGAACTCAATAGGAACAAAAATGTACATGTTTAATCCTATCCCAACAATGGACTGGGAGACTTGTTGCACGTTTTTGGGTGTTTGGGGTTAGTCGTAGATCGCCCTCGGGACCCTTAGGGTGAAATGTTTTGTGGAGTACTCATCAGAGGATTCCCGAACACGTAAACTCCGCCATGTAAGAAAGTTCGCGCAAAACCGAGTCTATGCAGTTCGCTCGTCCTGAGCAGAACCCTGCATACCGTAAGCTTTACACCCAGCAACAAGAAAACATCAACCGCGACAGCCTTGCATGTTACGGCCTCAACCTGAAAACACCACATGCGACCTCCTACGGCCCCAACAAGGCAACAATCGGAGAAAGCTTGCAAGAATGCGTGTAAGCTGTATGATATGCATATACGTACACGCATTTTGAGATAGAGCTAGAGCTAGGAAGCAGAGGTAGAGATGGAGATATATGTATACACCTATTTTGGGACATATTTCTGGGGATAAAGAGCAAACTTCCATGTCTCTGCATATCCTGCTGACCCTGATCATTTAACCCTAGGCCTATTGCAAACCCTAAACCCCGTTAACCCTAAACCCCGTCCCTCAACACCTAGACCCTACACCCCAAAGTCTAAACCGCTACTATAAACCCTAAACGCCTAGCCCCTGAACCCCTGATCTCCTAAATCCCAAACTCTAAACACTCAACCCCTAAACCCTAAACCCCTAAACTCCTGAATCCTAAACCCTAAACCCTTAAACTCCCGAATCCTAAACCCTAAGGCCCTAAACTCCTGAATCCTAAACCCTAAGCCCTCACCATCACTCTCGAAACTCCCTGAAGGAGCTCCGAGCGGGCCTTCCAGCCCTCGAGGTGCCCTGACGTCGGCGTTCGAAGGGTTTGGGTTTGCAAGGGTTTAGAGTTTACTTACCTTTGTACTTGTACCCCATTCCTGCATTCCCTACTAACCAAAGGTAAGTTTAGGGGTTCAGAGCTTTGGGTTCAAATGGGGGTTAGGCGTTCAGGGTTTGGGGTTCAGGTTTTCAGGGTTTTTGGGGGTTAGGGTTTAGGTCTTAGGGGTTTAGGGCTTCCTGGACCCCAGAAAAACCTGCCGTTTTAGGGCTCCCTGTTTTGATTTCTTTTTGGAGTCCGTAAAAAGGTGGGTCATTTGGGGTCCAGGTAGGGGCTTGGGGGTTCGGAGTTCAGAGTTTTAGGATTCAGGTGTAGCTTTTAGGGTCTATGTACGTCTCCCGTAAGGTGTCGTCTAGGCTTACAGGGTTCAGGGTTCTGACAGGGTTCGCCGATTTATCGGCCTTAGGTTGATGCAAGGTGGTTCCTTGTGCTGTTGTTTTATATTCTAATAAACCCTAAACCCCTAATGTTGTCGCAGTGCGAGGCGAGAGACCCTGAAGACAACACAGCCCCAGAAATTCGCACGCGATCCACCGCACGCCGCAACCGTGCGTCTGCATCCGGTGTGTGATTGAACCTTATACAAACTTAACCCTAAACATATACATATAAGTTCATATAAGCTTTCCCCTTGAACTTCAAAGTTTGGGCATTTTCCATTATTAGCCTAGCCTTCGGAATAACTGGTCATGAAGTCGTCCTATAGTCTTCAATTCAGGTATAGTGTATATATATGTATAAGAATTACTTCCGATAGCCGTACTTCTAGTATCGAAATCCGAAGGCTCATGCTTAAGTGGGAGGGTTTAAGTTTAAGGTGTAGGGCGGAGCTTGTGTGTCTGGACGGCCCGCCCCAAAAACCCAAAACTCTACACGCTTTAGGACCCCTTAGAGGAATGCTTCAAACGGCCCCAGTGCCTCACTAAAGCCTCCCTTTTGAAAGACACCCGAAAGGCAGCACAGAAGGCTGCAGAGGAGGCTCTTGCAGAGCTGATGGCGGAGAAGGCACGGACTTAGAAGTTGTGTTTAGGGAGGGTAATACTGCTTCTGCACATACGAACAAAAACACCGGACAATTTGCAGTCACTGGCCAAGTGCCAGAAACCTTTAACACCGTAAAGCCCCAATCTTTACAGCCCTAAGCGCCCAAAGCGCAGAACCCTTATAGGCCCTTACCTTTTCGCAACCACATTTAGCATATTACTAACCCCCTAAGCGCAAGGATCAAGAATCCTAAACCCTGAAGACTGCCTGACCTAAACCAGGCTAGGTTCTCCGGAAAGATCTCTTTAGACACTGTTCCGAAGCCCTAACCACAGGATCAAGAACCCTAAACCCTGCACCGTAAACCCTAAACCCTACAGCCCAAGCGCAGGATCAAGAACCTGTTGAGCCGGGAGCTACTTTGGATCCCAAGCTCTTGGAGCCCGAGGACCCGCGCGCGCGCGCACGGGGGTGGTTTGGGTTGGTTTGTTGTTTTCTTGACGATAGGGAGTTCTACTTGTAGAGGGTTTGAGGCTTATGGGGTGGTTTGAGGCTTATAGGGTTCTAGAAGGGTGCAGTTGTTATTTCGACAGGTCTAGAGTTACGGTTTCTTAGCTCTCTTCGGGTGGTTTCGGGTTAGGGTTTTGGAGTGTAGGGTTTCTTTGGTTTCTGTTGATGGTTTGGGATCTAGGGTGGGTGTTTATCGCTCGTTGATGCTAAGTTCACACAAGACTAAGAGGCTCACTACTCACTACTATCAGAGGATCAAGGGACTTAGTAAGTAGGTTATCATTGGGGTTATAAGTCCCCTAAGTGGGGTTATCCTAATTAGAACCTACTTTAGACCTTACTTACTACGTCCCATGAGCCTTCACGTAGGAACCTTTCCTTCCGACCCCAACACCATGAAGCCTAGTAAAATAGGGGCCTTGAGAATTGCCAATACTATTTGGGGGCTCCTTATAATGATGATAGTGTAATTAATGGGCCCCCAAACCCTCTTCTATAGTTGTTAAGGCCCCTACAGTAAATCTAAACGCTTAAGAGATTCCAAGTTGAGCTCTTAATCCCTCACCCTCTATGCCTGTAGCCTAGCGTGTTCCGTCAGAAGCTGGGATGGTGGGGTTGAATTTTCTCTCATCTCTTTTCAGGGTTTTGGATGCAAGGTGCACGCTTTCGGGTTGAGGGCCTCATGGTCGTGTGCGTCTAGGATGCAAAGTCCAGGCTGAAGGTCTACCTTAACCCTGAAGAACCTACCTTTTTAGGGTTCCTTATTATGGTTTCTTTTTATAAGTCCCTAAAAATGTAGGTTCTTCGGGGTTAAGGTAGGGTTTAGGGGTTTAGTGCTTAGGGGTTTGAGAGCGCGAGATGCCCTGAACACTCAATGCATCCATATGCCCTCAAACCCAAACCCTATAGAATGCTTATGGAGCCCCAAACCCTGCAAATTGATATTGTAGCAACCTAACGGAGAAGTCCGCTTCAAGCGGGTCCATGGCGAGCGGGTTTAGTTATCGGGGTCTGAAGAATCATGAATTTGGGTTAGGGTTCAATCGGGGTATGGTTGAAGCCTCTCTCGTGCCTGGTATGACAACACAAGAATGTGCAACATATTCCGGTAGATACTACTATAGGGATGATCGCAGTGGACGCGGGCAAACGAGGAGTAGCCTTCACTGGCGAATCGAGGTTAGGGTGTACGGGTATGAGCTAAACTCGAAACCCTCGAACCTCATCCGCACGGCAGTGCTAGAGTCTTAGAGGTGCGGTTTCCCCGCTTTCTTAATCGCTGGACCCTAGACTCGTGGCGATCATCAAGCCAACGACATCCTAAATTTATCCTGGATCTTACTCCGCAAGAACCTTACCCTACAACTCTACACCCTGAAGCTCCAAACTCTAGGGCCCCTTGTCGAAGCTCTAAACTCCACCCTGAAACCGCCGGGCCAGCGCCATCCCCTGTGAGGAGGAGGTTGAAGCAAAGCAGGCTGCCATCCTCCAAGCCAAGAAGGCCAGAGGGCTTAGAGTTGCGGGGTTGACCAAGCAGCCAAGTTTGGGGGGGGGTTTTCCGAAAATCAGGGGTACCTTATTTTGGGGTCCTTCTACTAAGGACCCTACTATTTCGGGTACCATTTTAGGGCCCCCTTTTTTCGGCAATTCCCACAGATATACTAAGCCGTTCAGTGATGTGCGTGTTTTCCTTGTTTGTGCCTGGGATCCTGTTACAACTTACATTTAGATAATTATACATGCTAACTTTTTAATTTCCCAGAAAGTATATAAACATCTTCCCAGTGGGTTACTGAACAACTGAGCACAGACAGAGACCCCCGAGACCTGCACCTCCCTATCTAGCGGCGACCGTCTTGAATGCTCTGAGTTTCTTGGTGCTGTGTGTGGGTTTCAGTATCTGGTGTTTGAGCTTCAAGTGTTTATGGGGCTGCAGGTTTTGAATGTACATGTGCAGTTTTCAGGCGGCGTCGTAGCTGATGGAGGATGCAGGGCATGTAGTCTTGGGATACAGCGCCCGGTAGCAGGTGGAGCCTTGAGAAGCATGATGCCCCTGCTGTTTCGTGACTAACTAGACCCCCAACAGTATGCAAAATAAAGGCCCAAAACCTATAAAAGGCTATTATTCTACATCCCTATAAGGTCCAGGTAAAAATTATGAAGTTTTCCCTGGCCCAAGACATGAGTTTGATGTAGGCGTTGGCCACCTCGCCCGCGCGAATAATTTCAAGGGGCAGCATGTAGGGTGTGGTGTCGGCTTTTCGGTTGGGGTTGAGGGTCTAATGTAGGGGCCGGAATCATTGCAACTATTGCTAATAGTATTCCCCTATAGTCCATGTACGGCTCTATTCAAAGATCCCAAGACCGTAATTGGGGTCAGTGTAGCAGTGTATGGTTGAACTATAGCTAAGCGGCTGTCGTACTGTAAGACTCGGATTCGGGTTTTTGCAGAGAGTAGGTTGTTTCGGTACAGCGAACCGACGCAAGCGTTGTGAAGACGACTCTGGGTCTGAATCCATTTACTGGAAGGGCAGCAGGAAGCATGCGCTGCTTTCGTGCATCGGGCTGAAACGATCGCCCCGGCAGACACAGCGGCCACAGGCAGGAGAGATCCCAGCTTTCTGTGGTCCAGTCGCTGATGCTCAGCTGCGCCCGATACCGCGCACCGCAAGGCACGCCTTCACTGCTGCATCGGCAGCTCATGGCGGTTATGGCGAGGATGACGGCACCGGAAGACATGTGCACAAGCACGGTCACTGTGCCCTCCACCACGGATGATGTTCACGGACCTGCCTGACCTATTTGTGGCGGCACCCGTTCAGTGAATTACAGTACACCCGTGGGAAATTACCGACAGTATTCCAGGGAGATCCGTATCATAGCCATACTTGAAGGCTCATGAGACTTAGTAAGTACGGTTATAAGTAGGTTATAATTAGGATAACCCCACTTAGGGGACTTATAACCCCAATTATAACCTACTTACTAAGTCCCTTGATCCTCTAAGTAGTACCATACCCCCCAAATTCCTATTCTCATTATTACGGCCCCCCAGGTTCCTAGTAGCTGGTACTAGACCGTGCTCGGTTTCAGTACTATATTATAGGTATAGGGGCCTTTATAATTAGAGTAGGGTTCCTTTTAAAAGGGGTCTATAAGGGTCCTTCAGCTGTTCAGGGAGGGTCATCGGGTTGCGGGGTGTAAGGATCCTTCGTCGCTAGGCCCCTACCTTAAACTACCAAAGCCTACTTTTTTGTAGGTTCTTATTATAAACCCTACTATGGAATTTATAGGGACCCTACAAAAAAGTAGGTTTTGGTAGGTTAAGGTACCTATAGTCTCGATTGTAGTTCCTTTTTGGGGTTTCCTTTTAGGATCCTTAATATAAAATTGGTGAACCAAAAAAAGGAACTGCAATGGAGACTATAGGCAAACCCTAAGACTCCACCCCAAACCTCAGGACCCTAACACCCGAAATCCAATCCGAACACCCTCAAAGCGTTCTTCCTCGGGCAAATATAGACCCGGAGGGTTTCGAATTTTCGGGTTTGATGTTTTGGGGGCTCCTTGTTATAATCATCGTATAGTATACCTTAGAAGCTGCCCCGGCCCTGTAATAGTGGTATCATAGGAATATACAAGGGCCCTAATTTAGTCCTATATAATCCTTATGGTCACTATTACAGGGTGGGGGCAGTTTCTAAAGTATACTATACGATGATTATAACAAGGAGCCCCCAAAACATCAAACCCGAAAATTCGAAGCCCTCCGGGTCTATATTTGCCAGCAAATTGGCAAGGCGGAACGACCTTATTGTGATTATTAAGAGGGAACCCAAGGGCTTCCAACCTCGGAGCTTACGCACTCCATGCCTTCAGCTAGTCCATGGGGTCTGGTGGTTGAGGATGTAATGTAAGGGTTCCTTGAAGGGATCTAGAAGGGTTCCCGTAAAGGGATCTATAAGGGTTCTATAAAGGGTTTAGGGTTTCCGAAAATTTGGGATTAGGATGCCCAGTAGTTCCTTTATTCCCTTTTTTGCAGTCCTAGGTTCCTTATAGAGTTACCCAAGACCAAAAAGCGAATCCTTTTCATTCCTAGGTTACAGGGCATCCCAGAGGATTGAGGTTTTAGGGTTGGGTCTCGCAGAGGTAACCAGAATTTTCGAGCAGCCCTGAAACCCCCAAAGGTTAACCGAAACCCTGCCTTACACTGATTCTTACAAATCCACGCTAGACCCTGAGCGAATCTTTGGTTTTTTGGGGTTTAGGAAGATTCTGTTTGACGTGTGTTTGTTTCGGTTTGAGGGTCAGCAAGTATCAAGGTGAAGGATTCGTACTTTGTACAGGTTGCAGCCGTCCATATCTGATGTGAGGGACGTCAGCAGATAGTGCTAGCTGGATCGAGTAAAGAATCTGAGTTTGTAGGACTACTCTTCTATCTAGGTTCGACTGTTACCCGAAGCTTAATTCAATGATCTGTCAGGACCGCAGACCATGAAACCAACTGCCTTTAATTGAACGTCTCATCAAGGCCTTTACGATCGCGACCTGCTCTACTTAGTTGTGCATGTTGCATCGAAAGAAGTGGTCCTTCTTATGCTGCTCGGAGGTTCATGGGCAGCGATTATACATGGGCCTTGTAATGATTACATGGGTTGTAAGGTTATAAGTGGGATAAAGAAACATATATATATATATATATATGTATATATGTAATCTTGTCACCTGTTTATGGGACTTATAATCCCACTCATCACGTAAGCTCTTATTGCTGTAGCACCTTCAAAGGAGCCCTTCGCCCGACTCGGCAAACTGGAATCTCCCACGAGCCCTAAGTATGATTGAAACGGTTGATGGTAAAAATCTTGCATTACCCATAGTAATAATACCATAATTCCCATAGTTTAGTGTCCCTAATGCAGGATTTGTATCATCAACCGAATCAACACCTCGTATAGAACCCACAAGCCTGAATCCTTACACTCCGTAGAAATGAAGAGCCCTGTAGAGCCGTGGAAGTCCCTCACTCTCAACCTCAAGAACCCGCGGTTTAGGCTTTAGGGCTTCGGGGTTTCAGGTGTCTGGGGGTTTGGGGCTTAGGCCATGGCCTTCTACAGCCAAATAGAGTCACGTGCTTTGAACCTCGAAGACCTAGCCCGACCGTAAATCCGAAAGCTCTAAGCACAACTCAGCACCTCAAACCCTCGCGAGAACCTTGAACCCTAAACCCTAAACTCTAAATCGTGAGCCTTGATTTAAGACAAAAGTCACCGAAACCTTTGCAAGATCCTAAAGACCCATAAACACCCAATCACCGTACAACCTTGTAAACACCCACAACCTCATAAAACTCTATACAGCCTTACGGCAACCCCCCATATCTCTAAACCCTAAAACCCTAAACCCCTTACTCTAACCCCTGTGTCCCTAAACCCTACACCTCTAGACCCCTAAACCCTACAGCCCTAAACCCTACGGGCTTTTAACGAAAGTCCCTGCGAAGCTCCGAGGCCCTCGCAGAGGCCAAGCGCGACTTGGAGTTTGCCCAGGCCATGGTCCCAAGAGTTCAGGAATTTGGGGTTCGCATGTAGCGTTTAGGGTTTGGGGGTTTAGGGTTTAGGGTTTGCATGTAGGGTTTAGAGTTTTGGGGTTTGGGGTTTAGGGTTTAGGGGTTTAGGAGTTTAGTGTTTAGGGTTTTAGGTGTTTAGGGTTTAGGGTTTGAGGTTCGCATGTAGGGCGTGTTTACGGCTTGGGATTTAGGATTTGGATTTGGGGCTTTGCTTGGGGTCCAGGCATCTATCCCTTTTAGATAACATATACCTGTATGCATCTATTATATTTCCATGCATACACACAAACACATTTCAATTACCGACGTAGTTGCGCACAGACGCTCTCCCTGTACATCTATCATCTGTCTGTTTGTTTGTTTTACTATCTAGATTTTCTATCTATCTACCTATCTATCTATGTAGCTATCTAGTAACAAATAGCTATCTTTCCAGCTCTAACTACCTGTTCACCTGCAAGAACCTGCCTAGACCTACCTACCGACCGGCCGACGTAGCTACCTACATCTGCCTGCATTCTGCATCTAGCTACATCTACCTACCTACACCTGCCACCTAACCCGTAACCCCAATCCCCAATCCCCAATCTTCATAGAATCGAGATCATACATCACGAATATGAATGCAACCTCTTAATCTGTATTGTTCACGGACTTCAGTCGTTCGATCGCACGAAGCACTCAGGTGCACATCACGACGGCGTGAATCTGCGGAGGATTTCCCTTAATGGAGGTATACAGTTTTGTCCTGTAGTGCAACACAAATTTTCTACTTATCGAGGCCCGAACTTTACCCATTTCTCCTTATGAAAACTTCTTACGGCCCTTTACAGCCTGTAAGGCCCTATGAAGTCCCCTATACTCTGAACTCTAAACCCCTAAACCCGTAAACCCGCAAACCCACCCATGAACCCCTATAAATCCTTCTAACCCCCCTATAAAGCCCCTGGTAAACCCCTATTGGTAAACCCCTATAAATCCCTATAAACCCCAAAAAAACCTTCAAATGCCCCTGTCGCAGGCAGACCTGGCAAGCGCAGAGGCCGCCGTCGGGTGGAAGCCCCCTGAGGTCGAGGCAGGCTCGTTTTTTTTGTTTTGTTTTGTGTGAGTGTGTGTGTGTGTGTGTGGGTTTTTGATCTGTAGTCTCAGAAATATTGTGCGGCTTCAACTGCCTCTCTCTCTCTCTCTCTCTCTCTCTCTCTCTCTCTCTCTCTCTCTCTATCTATCTATCTATCTATATACTAATATATTTATACTAATATATGTATATATATATACACACACACTATTTTGAGCGATCAGCCCTACAGTCAACTACAGGGCATGTTAAGGTCATATCCTATATAACCTCCTGTGTTAGAGTTCAGCGTGCAGTATGTCTGAACATTTCGTATCCGGGGTATGAACCGCAAGTTTGCAAAGTTGCCGATCGCCGCAACATCGTGGGTCTTCAGTTGCGTCGTAGGTTTTCGCTTTGAGCTCAGGGGCTGGATAGGCAAGCATTAACCGTCGAATTGCGGAATAAACTCTCTTTCGTAGCATGTTTTTCTGAGAGAACTTTTCAGGGTTGCGGCTATAGGACATTTCAGGTGTCGCGATTTTGGACTTCAGGCTTTGGTTTGGTTCACATAATGTCGACACAAGATTTGTACAAACAAGACATCACCAGATTCCTCCGAAGCGTTTTGCGGTTTGGGGTGTCAGGGTGTAGAGGCTATGGTTTAGAGTTTAGACCTGGGCCTGTAACCCATAGCCCTGGATTCATTAATATTAACCTTGCTTGAGGGTCGATGCGCCACAAATTGCCCTACTAAGCCCTGAACCCCCATGGAAAACTGTGAGCTCCGACGGAACTTGTTTTGAATTTGCACAAGGGTGCTACAGGGTCGTTCTGGATTAATAAGGTTTATTTAGCTCGCTCTAATCTTTAAATTTTGTCAGTCCTGAAGCACTATCCTGAACGTTTAACAGCCCATGTCCGTGGGTATTGAGCCTGAAGGAAGGCACAAGCAGTCCCTCCATAGCACATAGCGGCAGAATCCTGCAAACAGAGTATCCCGCCATAATTTCAACGTTTTAGGATATACCCGGTACTCTAGAATGTTGTGCCCAGAGGCTTTATAGAAGCCATTGTAGAATCGGTATAGCCCCTTGCATGCCCCAGTCATAGCCCAAGACTGTTGGCTTTTCTGGGTAGTATGGGGGTCTGAAGCATAGATATAGAACCCTTGTAAAGCCCTTGCAGGAATCCTTGAGTCACGCAAAAGAGTGCCCTTCAACACCTCGCAAAGCCCATGCAAGCTTATGACACCATGTTTTGAATCCACTACAGGTGCCTCCTGAATGTAACTATCATGTACTAGCAGCATTTCCCAAAACCGCGCAATAAGCTCGTAGGTCGATCCGGAAATCGCCGCCGCCTTGGAAGCCATGAAGGAGCCGGAGAAGCCACCGTCTGCCAATCCCAAGGCCACTTTTCCAGGGGTCTGAAAGGTCCCCTTCAAGGTGCCTATAACAAGGGTTTATGGGGTTTAGGGTTTGGGGTTTAGGGTCCTTTCAGGGTTTGGGGCGCAAGGCGCGTATAAGGGCTTGTCTACACAACCGTCTTCACTCATTGCGATCTTTTGAAATCCCGATGTAGACTCCTACTTGCGTGCCTACCCGATTCTTTGGCTCAAGCATGCAGATCTCTGTCCTCCAAAGCCCAGAAACCTAACCCTTAAACCCCATACGTTACCCCTAGGCCCTAAACCTTAGACGCTAAAGCCCTACAGCCCTAAATCCGAAAACCCCATCCACCAGATCTTATGTCTAAGAGCCCGATGTCCTGAACGTTCAAGACCGCCCGAAATTCCCATGCTTGGCTAGACCCCCCAACTACCCTCTAATAGACCCCAAATACCACAGTATTAAGGGCCATAAGGATTCTACCACCGGGCCAAGCTCTCTAAATCTCTATTTCTAGCTCCTGTACGTATTTCTTGAAGACTCCTTATGAAAACCTCATGAAGCTCGTGACCAAACCCAATATAAGCACCTCATAATCCCCTTGTGAAAGAAACCTAGACCTTCAAGAACCCTTCAAGTTTGCAGATTATACACCTTAACACCGTAAAGCCTCAAAAAAAACCTGAACCCCAAACCCAGAAACCCTAAACCCCTGAACCCTAAACCCCAAACCCTAAACCCCAAACCCCTAAACCGCTAAACTCTACATGCGAACCCTCTAGTGAAAGGATAGATTTTTGCCTCTGCGAGGCCAAAGCGAAAGCCAAGGAGAAGCCTGAGGAGGAAGAGCCTCCAGCGCCCGCAGAGGCCGAGATAATGCGATGCTTCTGGTCGTAATGGTGAGGGGTCACCCAACGATTCAATCATCGTTCATAGTGCTCAACTGGATTTCGTGAGGAAAGCACAGGTGTTGATACTCTCATTCCCCCTCAGAAAGCAAATGCGTTCGGCCATTGTGGTAGTGTAGGGGCCTTAAATAGAATAGGGTTTTGGGGTACATTATACCATTATGGTAAGGACACCCCCTCAAAAACAAGTAATACAGTAATACAGGTGATTTTTAAGGCTCCTGTATTAGATGACTTGAGCGTTTGAACCTGTTTTCCGATGTCTGGTCTGGTCCTACAGACCGTGTCAAGCCCTAAGCCCTAAACCCCTACACCTTGAACCCTAAACCAGACCTGTGGCGGGTGGACCTGTGGGCCAGTTCTGTAGTCCATAAGGAACCAGCAGCAGCGCTTCTAACAAAGCGTGTTGCATCGATCGAGCAAGAGCTCCGCCGGCAGCAGATGGCGTCAGCATCATCAGCTCCTTCAGTGGTCATTGCAGCTCCTGGCGGCTTTGTGCCTGCACCGCCCACCGAGAATGTCGGTGGGATGCTGCAGCAGGAGGAGCCTTGGCAACACAGACCACGCAATTTTTTTGGGGCTTTAGCCTGTTAAACCCTAAACCCTAAACCGTGTGATGCTGAAGCTTTGTTGAAGTTTGTCCGGGTGCAACTACTCGGCGGCTGGACCGTGGCGAGGCTGGTCACCGGAAAATCGTACGACCTCCACGCTAAAGCTCGCGTGACCTCTTACCAGAAGCCGTGCCACTACGGGTTGCCTCCGGTAGAAGAAATTCCAGCAGCTTTGCAACCGTGGCAGCTGTGGAGCAAGGTGGAAATCCGACCGGACTGAGCGCTGGTCTTATAACCCGGACACTGGCGCATCTCTCGACTTCCACCACTTCGAATCTTGGCGTTTGGGATTGTTTTAAGGGTTTCAGGGTTGAAGGTTTAGGGTGTTGTGCAGGGTTGATGTTCTGCCCATGCACTCCTTACTCCCCGTGGAGCGGCCCCTTTCCTAAATCCGATGCCCTTAGGCGCCTAAAGCCTAAACATGCCGACGTTATCCCGAAGCCCATTACAATCTAGTGCCTACACTCTACAACCTCAAACCCACATGCATGATGAACTTGAATACGCTCCAGAATCGGCAAAACCCAGAAGTCCCAATCCCGCTTTGGGGTTTCGCCTTACTGGTTTGGGTTGAGGGTCTTTAGGGTTTGCGGCTTTCAACCGATTCATGGCTGGTCGGGTTGATAGTTGTCTACACTACTGCATGGCGCCCTAAACCCTAAACCCTAAAAACCCTAAACCCTAAACCCTAAACCGGCAGTTTCCAAGCCCATCCTGGCATCCTACCTAGAACGAGAGCGATTCGAAGCGTTCCTTAAGTGTTACGGCTTCGTGTGCAGATAGCTCGTGCAGATAGCACGAGGCCTGCACCATAACCCGAATCTAAGCTATGTGAGAACCCCACAGTCGTTGTAACATGACTTTCCTGTTTTTGAGGCTTGAGCCCCTACATGTTCATTTTTGTGTTGCCGGGAGCCCTAAACCCGAAATTCCAAAGCCGTAAACCCTAACCCGAACCCTAAACCCCATAACCCCTAAACCCCCAATTATACCGTAAACCCTAAGCCCCTGTACCCTAGTCAACCCCCTAAACCCTACACCATAAGAACCCTTAACCCCTAAACGCTTCCCTCTGACGCAGCCTGTCTACGATCCGGCCGTGGAAGCCTTGGCAAAGGTGGGCGGCCCCAGAAGGGAAATCCGTTAGAACCCCGACCTCAACCAACCAAAGCCTATTTTTTGTAGGTTCATATTTTCAACCCTATTATGGAGTTCAAGGGAACCTACAAAATACTAAACCCTAAACCCTAAACCCCTAAACCCTAAACCCTCTAGGTTTTGGTAGGTTAAGGGTAGGAGAAATGGAGCCCAGGTTCCAAGGTTCAACCGTTCAGAGGAAGTTCAGAGGCTTCCTTGAAGGCTCATGGGATTAGCCGTTATCCTCATAATGAGCAGCCCCCAAAATGGTATTCGCAATTCTTAAGGCCCCTATATTACTAGGCTTCATGGTGTTGGGGTGGGAAGGAAGGCAAGTAAGGTTCTAAGTAGGTTATAATTAGGATAGCTCCAGTTAGGGGACTTATCACCTCAATTATGGCCTACTTACTAAGTCCCATGATCGTCCAAGTAACCAGTCACACTGAGGGTGTGGAGATTTATTTCCGTCACGTAAGACCCAAACCCAGGGTTTTGTACCCTAAACCCTAAACCCTTAAAAAGCCAAATCCTAAACCCTAAACCCTAAACCTTTAAGCAACTCTGGTGAGTCTATGCCGACGGGTTCAGGGTCTGGGATTCGGGCTTGACCATCAGACTGCTGGCTTTAAGTGTTCCTTTAAGGGCTCGTTTGAGGTTCCTACTAAGGGTTCATATTAACCAGCACCCCTATGGTCATTGATAGTGGGTATTTGGGGTACAGTAGGGGGTACTGGGGGGGTCTAGGAAGGGTTCCTGTTGAAGGATCTATTGGAGTTTTGGGAAAAGCTTTGGTAAGGTGCTCTTTCAAGATTTCCTACAACTCCGGAGTTGCATCCTTTAGTAGGTATCAATTTGGGATAATGTTTAATTTCCCTACTTGTTTAATATAGAGCCCTAATTGTAAATAACCTTGCGGACTGCTGAAATCGACGCCTCGTTTATTCAGAACGGTTACGTACCACCCGCATGACAGCATTTCACGGTTTAGGGTTTAGGGTTTAGGGTTTAGGGTATATCACTATAGCAGAATATGCCCCGAAGCCTTATTCTAATCATCAAGGTCCTTTGTTAGGCTCGCTGCGACCGAGGCATATTTGGAGCTGCGCGACATGGCTGTCTCCACGTGCGAAAGGCAGATCTTGCGGGGAATGATTTCGGAGCTGTTGGGCGTTTCGGTTTTATGGGTTTTGAGTGTTCTTTGGTTTGGGGTTCGGACCAGGACGATTGGCCGGCCAGTAGATCATCAGTGAGCCATTTTGGTCGCTGGGTCAGATCCTACACTTTCCTACACCTGCCATACCGAAGTTGTCGATCGCACTGTGCTCCTTCGCATCCCGAAACCCTACACTTACCCCTAAAGCGAGCTGTTTGGGACTAGCGAGTACTTCTTGCAGAGGCCCAAAGAATCAGAGCAAGCCTTCCGTTGAGGGCATAATGTTGTATCGTACAATATTTATACGTGGGTTTGAAAGGGATAGGCTACTTCTTCAGGCCTCCGCATCAGAGAGAATCGCCAGTTTGATCATGTTGCGCTATTCACTTGTCTTCGTCTACGCATCTATCAACCGATCTATCTACCTACAAACAAGTATATCTATATATACATATGTACACGGCAGTTTCAAGAATGTAGATACAATGTAGTCACGTCTATAGTATCGGTATGTTTACACGACTTAACTACATTTTACAAATATATATATATATATATGTATGTATGTATGTATGTATGTATGTATATATATGTGTGTATATATATATATATATATATATATATATATATATATATATATATATATATTTGTATACACCTATGTATGCATGCATGTATGCACGTATGTGTATGTGGATGCAATGCATGGACGGATGGATGGATGTACCTATGTACCCATGTACCTATATATCTATGTATCTAGTTTTTACTTACGTTTGAGCATTGATTCGTGTATTCGTGTTGTTTGTATGTACTTATGTGCTTACGCAAGTGTGTGTGTGTCTATATATATATATATATATATATATTAAGAAAGTCAAGCGGTGCCTCGGAAGGCACAACACCCTCTCTGCTGAAGCTGAGGAGGCTCTCCGGGGGTTTCTCCTGTGGTGCGGAACCACAAGTAAGCATACGGTAGTGAGCTCAACAGAGGGAAAACTTAAAGAGCGTGGTTGTGTTTTCGTGTTTTTGTGTTTTGGGTTTGGGGATTCTGGGTTGTTGTGGGTGTAGGGCTGGAACCACAGCCACAAGCGCACCTGCGAACCCGCAAAGCACAAGCTGAAGGACTTTACCGGTCAGAAACTCAATGAAGTCTTCGGGGACCCTAAAGCCTAAACCCTAAGTGAAAGTTTAAGAAGTAAAACAGTCTTAAGAAGTAGGGACCTGATGCAAACCCTGAGTCGTACTACGAGACTGAATAACAAGCACACACACACACATATATATATATATATATATATGTATGATATATGCAACGTAGACATCCCCTCTATCTTTATTCATGCCATCACTTATTTCAATATGACAAGAAGGCACATCAAAATCGACTACCCTGAATCTATCAAGAAACCCATCAGTTCCTTCTGAACACTAAAGACGGTAAGTATTCGCAGTACCTCGAATTATTCGGAACTTCTGCAAGTTTTCCAGAAGATCGACGCAGGAGCGGCAGAGAGATCTCGAACGCCGGCGCCGCCAGCGGAAGGCATCGCAAGCGAAGCTCTGGAAGCCCTGCGGGCCTTGATAGTTGAAGGAGTATAGTAGGTTTTAGGGTTTTCGGGGTTTAGGGTTTAGGGTGATAGTTGAAGATGGGTTTTGAAGAGGGGTGCCAACAAATGAAAAGAATACGGTTTTTTTGGAGTTTTCACTCACATATGGTATATCGTTGAAGGAGGGTTTAGAAAACAGGTGCCAAAAAATGGAAAGAAGGAGGGTTTTGGAGTATTTCTGTTATATATGGCATATCTATCCGTTGAGAGATAGCTTGGGTACTCTAAGTAGGCTTTTCCGGAATGTGTCATATGTGGTATTTGTATACAGAGGCTCCATATAGGGTTTCCAGGGCACTCGTCTAAATAAGTTAGGTTTCACGGCCAGTTTGGGATAAGGCTTTGGGATCGGGGTTTTGGAAGTCGCGATTGTGGAGGGATTCAAAAGTTTAGTGGTTTCAGGTCCGGCGCAGTTAGGGATTATGGGCTTCGAAGGGTTGGTTTGAACGTCTGACGCCTGTAGATTGCCCAGGGTTAGGGGCGTAGGCTGAAAGATGCTTACACTGGAGTGTATGGGGGCTTCATGTCTAATTGGTTACCAGCCCGAATTCCGAAGCTGTCAATCCCACATGTAAACTCAACACACTCTTTCCCACGCTGAATCCACCACACACGCATATTGCCAATCCCTAAGCTCCCGGATGCAAATCCCTGATCAAGCTCAGAAGGAACTCTGCAAAACATCTTCAAACCTCTGAACTCCGAAGCAGATTATTAAGCAAAAGAGATAATTAAACAACAACAAAACTAAAGCCCTAAGCTTAACACTCCATAGTTCCTAACACCCTGAACACTAACTAAAGCCCTAAACCCCATAATTCTAGAAACCCTGAACCGGTTAACCCTAAACCCTAAACCACCTAAACCCCTGAGACCTAAACCACCTCGGCCAGCGCTTGAACAAAGCACCTACACCCTGAAACCCCTATAGATCCCTTACAGGAACCCTTAAAGGAACCCCTGTAACCCTAAACCCCTGAACCCCCAGACCCTAAACCCTAAAACCTAGAACCCTATAGATCCCTTGAAGGAGCTCTTCAAGGGACCCGTACAGAACCCTCACAGCCACCTGGAACCCCCCAACTACCCTCTACATACCCCAAATACCCAATACTCAGGACCATAAGGGCTCAATTAGAGTGCGGTTGGGGGGTCCTACTCTACTACAAAGTCTAAACCCTAAACCCTAAACGCCTAAACCCTAAACCCACTCTACTACTAAGTTAGGGTCTATACTCCTTAGTTCATTGGGGGGGTCCTGATAAAGCCTGCGACTTCGATGCCAGGCCGCCGCCCAGGCTGCGAAGGAGGCCCAGCGGACCCGCTTGGGACCGAAGCTGGGCTCTCCTTAAGGCTTAGGGCCTTTCTTAGAGCTTACGGTTTATAGGGTTTAGGGGTTAAAGTTCAGGATTTAGGGATTAGGGTTTAGGGTTTAGGGGATAAAGTTCAGGATTTAGGGTTTAGGGTTTAGGGGTTAAAGTTCAGGATTTAGGGATTAGGGGTCAAGGTTCAGGGTTTTAGGCTTTGAGGGCCTTTAGGCTTGAAGGTAAGGTTTTTTGGGGCGGTTTAAGGTTTTAAGTTTCAGGGATGCTGAGGTTTGGGGTTTAAGGTTTAGGTTTTAGGGTCTAGGCTGTAGAGGTGGTTTAAGGTTTAGGGTTTAGGGTTTAAGGTTCAGGTTTTAGGCTTTAGGCTGTAGAGGTGGTTTAAGGTTTAGGGTTTAAGGTTCAGGTTTTAGGCTTTAGGCTGTAGAGGTGGTTTAAGGTTTAAGGTTTAGGGTTTAAGGTTCAGGTTTTAGGCTTTAGGCTGTAGGTGGTTTAGGGTTTAGGGTTTAAGGTTCAGGTTTTGGGGTCTAGGCTGTAGAGGTGGTTTAAGGTTTAGGGTTTAGGGTTTAAGGTTCAGGTTTTAGGCTTTAGGCTGTAGAGGTGGTTTAAGGTTTAGGGTTTAAGGTTCAGGTTTTAGGCTTTAGGCTGTAGAGGTGGTTTAAGGTTTAAGGTTTAGGGTTTAAGGTTCAGGTTTTAGGCTTTAGGCTGTAGGTGGTTTAAGGTTTAGGGTTTAGGGTTTAAGGTTCAGGTTTTAGGGTCTAGGCTGTAGGTGGTTTAAGGTTTAGGGTTTAGGGTTTAGGGTGGGTTTAAAGTTCAGGATGTTCAGGTTCAAGGGTGTACCTATAGTCTCCATCATAGTTCCTTTTTGGGGTGACCTTTTAGGATCCTTAACATAAAATTGGTTACACCAAAAAAAGGAACTACAATGGAGACTAGAGGTAGGGTTTCAGGGCGGTTTACGGTTTATTGATGTGGGAGTTTCCAAAAATAGGGGACCCTAATTTAGCACCCCAAATAGTAGGATCCTTATTATAAGGACCCCAGAATTTGGTACTCCTAATTTCGGGAAACTCCCATGTTTAGGTGTAGGGTTCAGGGTGGTTTAGGCTGGCTCAGAGATTTGTAGGGTGTAGGGTAGGGCCCGTATGGTCTTCAATGCTGGGTATTTAGGGTATAGTAGCTTATATAGGGTTTAGGGTGGTTCAGGTTAGGGTGGTGGGTGAACTTAATGAAGTTAAGTTATGGCACAGTTCTGTTATCATGGTAACTTAGGCTCCATTCCTTAACAAGAACCCAGGAAGAGCGCCCCGGCCGAGCCCATTGACGTCACGGCCGCGGACTTTGTTCCAAACTTGGAGGCACTCCGGGATGTTGTTTTTGTCTATAAGGGCTTTTGCAGTTTAAGTTGAGGGGTTTAGGGATTAGGCTATAGGTTGGGTACGGCCCCCACTCAGTAATAGTTGAAACATATTCATAATATAGATATGTTAGGACATAATAGTAGGCCTAAACCCTAAACCCTAAACCCTAAAGGGGGCCGTAGCTAGGTTATTGTGCTGTTGAGGCTGGGGTTCAGCGCATTGTTGGCTGCTTTTGCAATCGGGCTCAAGGCTGCCCAGAGACTCCAATACCCCTTAATTAGGGAATATTCCTTAACTCATATTAAGGATCCTACTAAAATTTAAGGTATATTCCTGAATTAAGGGATATTGGAGTCTCTGGGTGCTTGATTCGGATTCGTCTGTTCTTGTTAATGGTCTTCTGCCTGGTCGTTCAGAGTTTGGAAGATGGCCCACAATTCTTCATGGGTTTCGGGCTTCGAGTTTGGGCTTTGCAGTTTGGTGGTTGTGGTTAGGGTTTAGGATTTAGGGGTTAGGCTTTAGTACTAGGGTTTTGGGATTTAGGGCTTAGGGTTCGAGTTCTGGGGTTTATGTTGTCTGGTTGGGTGCAGCCAGAGGGCTTGGGGATGGGGGGGACTGCCAGGACTTCGTGCCACCTACAGAAGCTCGTGCCGGGAGCTGAGCCGAATATGGGAGTTTCCGAAAATAGGGGACCCTAATATAGTAATCTAAATAGTAGTATCCTTATAATAAGGACCCCGAAATAAGGTACGCCTAATTTTCGGAAATCCCCATATGTTGTCTGCACGACTTGGATCGCTCCGAAATCTCGTGATGTCATGGAGTTTACTCCCTGTGAAGCCTCGAGTGGGCCTTCACGACAGAGGAGCCCGCTGCGAAGTAGCATCCTCAAGACGGGCCCCGCAAGAATGGGACCCCTTATTGCCTGAAGCCCTAAAATCCTCAAAACCAGAGTTCCTCCATCCGCACATGTATGTTATTTAACGGTTGGAGTTCTTTTAGGTCTTCTAAACCTTAAGATTAGGGTTTCATTCAGAGTTTCAGTTTGCGTGTCAAGTTTCCCAAGTGCTTAAACATAAAAACTGGTATGAATCCTACTCGCTTCGGTACATGGCCATACTTGAGAGATTTTCCTTCTCGCTCATGCGTCCTGCACAGCTGTCAAAGCCGAAAGCCCGCCTTACCTCCCGGCTTTACACCCCAACCGCCACAAGAGTCGCCACCCGCAAGCCCTGAAGCCCTATTCCCCCCTATACTAATGGAGGAAGCAGATCAAGAAACTACCCTGGCCCTACAACCCCAGACTCTTAGGATCCAGAAAATGAGCCCGAATAAAGACCCAGGTTTTCTTAAACAGGCTCCTATAGTACCTATAGTATCCATTGTAGTTCCTTTTATGGTTTAACCAATTTCATATTAAGGATCCTAAAAAGGTAACCCCAAAAAGGAATTACAATGGAGACTATAGGTCAACCCGAAAGCCCAAACCAACCTGAAGCCCCTGGGATCGAAGTTCTGGTTCCGGGCTGCGTGCTCCGGGATCCGTGAGCCATGGCCATCATCAGCGAGGAGGAGTACGCTTCTGTCTTCGAGGCTTCGCACCGAGTTCCTTCAAGGGCTCTGTCAGGACTCCAGGGGCTTTAAGTCCCCTAAGTGGGGGTATCCTAATTATAACCTACTTATAACCTTACATACTAAGTCCCATGAGCCTTCGAAGGCTCTGTGAACCCAATAAGTCGTATGGATTTGCTTTGATTTCCCATTTGCAGGTGTATGGGCAAACCGGATTTGCTGTGGATTTCACCAAGCATGCCTTGTACGAACAAGCAGGACTCCAGTAGAAAGAGAGCTTTACGGTACAATTTAGTGGCCAAATATGGTTTTTCGGCTTGAGAGCTGTCAAGTTGAGAAGATGTTAGTGCTTCTTGGGTGTGGGGTTTAGGTTTTGGGGCGGGTTTTGGGATTTTCTTGATCCCTAAGCCCACCCTAAATTGCCTGAAATGATGAATTCGACAAGCTAAACCCCACGGGCCAAAGCCCTCGAGCCTAAAGCCCTAATGGCCCGAAAAGCCGTAAGCCCTGAATACTAGACACCCTTCTCGGAGGTTCATGGGTAGTTATAAGCGGGGTGCAAAGTCCCATAATCTAGGCTATGAATCTAGCTTTCCTAGTACACCCCTCCCCTAAAGACCCTACAAGCCCTAAATAATGAGCACCCACCCTCAGCCCAAAGCCCTCAACCCTCAAACCCTCTCAAGCCTAAACCGTATAGCACTACAAGCCCTAAATTCTGTCACCACCCTGAACCCATAGCCTAAAACCCTAAACCTGAGGCGCTACACCTTAAATCCTGAAAGCCCTACAGCCGAACACCAGGCTTTGGGGGCTCCGTCAAAGGGATCTGTAGGGTCAGCCCTAAACCCTAAACCCTAAAACCCTCAACCCTAAACCCGAAATCCTAAAAGCCGAAGCCCTAAACCCTACAAACCCTGAACCCTATACTAAAAGAAGCAACTAAGTCCCAAAAAGCCCTAAATCCGTGCCTTAAAAGGAAGCCTAAATCTTAAAAGTTCCTACAACCGAAAGCCAATTATTGCCTTAAACCCTTTAAACCCTGAACCCTCAGCGTCCCCCCGAATGCCAGGCTCTGGAGCCCATCCTCGCAGCGCTGGGCGCCGCCGTGCGCGCCTCGGGGGAGCCCATGGAAGGCCGGAGTCCGCACTTCGGAGGTTTTAGGCTTTTGGGGTTCCTTTTAGGGTTCCTTTAAAGGGGTCTATAAGGATCACTATACAGGTTTTAGGGTTTTAGGATTTATAGGAGTTTTAGGGTTTTGATTATATAGATTTTAGAGTTTAGGCCCGGCTTTTGGGGTTCCTTTAGGGTTTGAAAAGGGTTCGGGTTTAGGGTTTAGGGTCAAAATAAGGGTTACAAAAAGGGGTTAACAGGCCGGAGTCCAGACTTCAGAGATTTAGGCTTTTTGGGGTTTTACAGGGTTTTAGGGTTGCGACGATATAGGGTTTTAGGTTTGAGGCTTCAGGGGTTGAGGGTTTAGGGTTGGGGTCCTGGCGTTTTAGATTAGGGATTTAGGCTTGAAGGCCTAAGGCCGTTCAGCCTTTTGGGACAATAGTCCCGAACCACAGCCCCTGAAGACTGCCCCATAAGAACCCTTGTAAGCGAAGTCTCGCAAGGCTTCCGCAGGTCCTGAGCCTCTATAAAAACTCCCCCCAAAACCTGAGTGCTAAGACTCCTGAGCCGTTACGCCATGAAGGCAGCACCGCTTTTGCATGAATCCGAAGCTCCCAAACTCTCAACTACCGGACCCTCAGCCCCTAAAGACTCAAACCGACCATCCCAAAGCCTCAACCCTCAAGCCCTAAACCGTAACCCAAGATCCTTAACCCTGAAGCCCTGAAACACCTCCCTGGAGGAAGCATCCTCTACACCCTAAACTTACCTTTAGTTAGTAGGGAATGGAGGAATAGGGTACAATTATAACTACTATTACCAAAGGTAAGTAAACCCTGAAGGCCGCATCCTCTACACCCTAAACCCTAAACCCTCTACACCCTAAACCCCGGAGGAAGCATCCTCTACACCCTAAACCCTAAACCCTAACTCCCTGAAGCCCGCAAACACCCCTTGCAGCGCCCTGACTGAAGGCAGCATCCTCTACATGCATCACAGCCTGGATCCGAATCCCAAGAACCTCCCAAAGCAGCGGAACCTCTGGAGCTTGGCGGCCTCGCTGCCACTGGAGGAGAGCTCGTTCCCTTTAAAGGAAGCTTTAAAAAGGAAGCCTTAGAAGAGTAAGCCTTAAGGGCATCACCCGGGTTCTACAGGCTTTCGGATGAAATTTCAGTGCGTTCAAAAGTTTCCTTCAAAGTATTTTCAAAGCAAGCCTCACAAAAGGAACCCTCGACGGCAATACAAAGGTTCTACAGGCTTTTGGACGACATCGTAATGCTTTGATATACAGGTGTTGAGAGGGCTTTTATGCTCTCATTTCGAGCTCCTTCCCAACGCAGTACGAGGACTTCGGATTCCTTTCGGCAATGCAATCAGGCTAAGCCCCGAGCTGCAGGCCTTCCAGTTTCACTTTTGAAGGATTTGGCTGTTCGGTTCGGAGCTTGAGGTTTCGGATTTCAGTTTAGGGTTCAAAGCTCAAGGGCTTGGGATTTAGTCTTGAAGGAGGGATGAGTTGCTTGTGGGGTCATGCTCTGGCCGGACAAAACAATCCGAAGCATGGCCCAATATGCCAAATAGTTATTGTGCTGCCTTCCGTTTTTTTGTGGCATGGTTGGCATGTTCCGTATATGTTGGGATGACCTGGTGTCACCCCAAGGGTTTGTTTGGTTTAGGGTTTAGAGTTCAGGCTGGGTCACGTTCAGAGGTGTTGATGTTGATTGAAATCTTGGGGCTTGGACAAATAGCAATAGAGCTCCTTGTCGTTACAGCATGAAGCTTAAAGCTGCAGGACAGCGTGGCCGTGGAGATCGGCTTCAACGCTGGCCATTCCGCTCTCCTGATGCTCCTTCGAGTGGGTGTTAACGGGTTTCGGGGCGAAGGATTTAGGGATTTAGACCTTTACTGGGCTTTGGAGTACCATACTTGAATAGTTCTTCCTTAAAGGGAGCGATTATGAAATAACAGTTTATCTGGGTTGTCCTTTGGGATTTCTTTTAGTTTCCCCGACTATTTTGTAGAGAACCATAATAGTAAATAATTTTCAATGGGCTTAAAGGACAACTCAGTTATACTTTTTTGTCCTCGGTTACTTAAAAGCTCAGTTTAGGGCTGCAGCACTTGAGGCTTTTAGGGTTTGAGGAAATAGGGTTCAAGCGGTCTTGAGTAGCATCACGAGGACGAGATCCACTGTTAACAGAAGCAGTATAGCTTATAACCGTTCCCTTCGAGTGGTTGAGCAGAGTCCTTAGTTCTCTATATAAACCCTACTCCCAAAAACGCTGAGCTCTGAAACCCTAAACCCTGATCCCGCAAACCCGAAGCCGTAAAGGCCCCAAAGCACTATGCGCTACAGCCCCACTCCTGAATCGAGGCCCAGAGGCTCACCCCCGAGGCTTTTGCCAGGATTTTGGGAATTAGGGTGTTCGGCGCCTGATGGCCCAAGGACATAGCGAAGACTTCGGGCTCAATCAGGGTTCCACCGACCTTTTCCGGATTTCCATGGCGATTGCAAGGGCCCAGAGCACCCAAATTTGTCGGGCCTTTGGGGATGCTGCGAGTTGGAGGTTCCGAGGTTTCAGGGCTTTAGGGTGTGAGGGTTTTAGGGTTTCAGGGTTTGTAGGGTTTTAGGGTTTTAGCATTTAAGGCCAGGGTTTGTAGGGTTTTAGGGTTTTAGCATTTAAGGCCAGGGTTTGTAGGGTTTTAGGGTTTTAGCATTTAAGGCCAGGGTTTGTAGGGTTTTAGGGTTTAGGGACCCCAAGCCCGGAACCCTTCCGATCTTTTGCTTCGGTACCGAGGCTCTCAGCCCATCCCAAGCTGCAGCTGATCGCCTTCGACCTGTGTCTGGTCTCGCAATGTCGGAGTTTGTGGGTCTTAGGGGATCAACCTCCCCAAATGTAGGACTTGAAATCCTTGCAATGCACATAAAAATACACAATTTCACATCCTCTAAACTCCTTGTTAGAACCTCGTCAAGCACCAGGTGTGAGCACGCCTACACGAAGCCTTGCTTCGACATCTTAGCAGCTGCCTTCCCCGGTCGTTTGCGGCTGGTCCCTGGAAAGTCGCAGCAGACGCTGCCCAAGTGGACGGCTGACAACCCTGAAAGATCCTCGGTTGCACCGAACATACTTTCAAATGGGAAAAGGAGGGACCCTTAATGGGGACCCCTACCCCAAAATGGGCTATATAATGGGTATATAATAGCTATATTAAGGGTATATACCTAGGGGTCCTTATTAAGGGTCCCTCCTTTTACCCTTGGATACTTGGGTGGTTGTCAAAGTTATGGTCCCTTGTTGGGTCCTTTTCATACGGCACTTAATATTTAGGGTACCCAAAAAGGGACCTTGATTGTGACAACCACCCACTTGGGGTCTAGGTTTAGGTTTCGGAGCCTTGGTAAACAGGGTAATGAATGGCTTACTTGTGGTGATAAGTAGATACAACTAGAGTTACTTTACTCATAAGTCTCCTTGTCGGGTAAGTAGGGGCTTGAATGATTCCCCAAGTAGTGCTCTGGGCTGCCGGCCTAAGGAGCTGGTGGTTTAGTTTCTGGTAGGGGCCTGGGTATTTCGCAATAATGCCGGAGTAGTTCCTATGTAGTCTACCACGCTATACCCCAAAACCACATTCTGATTGTTAAGTCCCCTGTCGCACCCTCTTCTAAACCTGAGCCTAAAGTACAAAACCTTGCAAAACCTTGGTCCGCCCTGAACACTTAAACTTACATGGCCAGCCTGACTAAAGCAAAAGTCTTTTCAGAAGAGACCAAGAAAAGCCCTAGAGTTCTAAAGTGCTAGAGCCCGCAAGCTCGAACGACCCAGGGGCGGATCTGGTGCACATCGATGGGGACACAAAGTAGAGTTTTAAGTCCTGAAGCCCTCTCACTCTACCCAGGGGCAGATTTGGTGCACATCGATGTGGACCTAAACCATAAACCCTAAAGTTCTAAAGCCCTACAGCCCCAAAGTCCCAAGCGACCCAGGGGCGGATTTGGTGCACATCGATGGGGACCATGATCCCGCCGCTGCCCGCACCGACCTGCGGAATGCCAAGGCCCTGGCCAGATCCGGAGCGTGGGCGGCTTGGTGGGGTATTCCAGGGGCCTAAGTAACTATTCCAGGGGTTTCCTAGGGCTCCTTCAAAGGGTTACTAGAAGGGCTACAATAAGGGCTATTATAAGGATGTAGTATAGGGGCTTACATAATTACCAGTACTAGTTCGGGGGCTCCTTATTATATTTTTTCGTCCATAGTACAGCATACCCCAAACCCCCATTCTAATTCTTAAGACCCTTGCACTATTTTAGGTCTACGGGTTTGGGGTTTGAGGGTTCCTTTAAGGGTTAAGGGTTTATTGTTTCGGGTTTAGGTTTCAAGGGTTCTTTCAAGCATTCCATGCGGAAGACTGTAGAACCACGGGTTTCAGTTAATTGTGTTCAAAGCAGCAGCTTGAATAATTTGAATATGGTTTGCTTGTGGGCGGGCTAGTACTCTGACATCCAGCCGATCCTTTGATCGTGCTGGGCTGTCGTGGTGTAGCATGATGTTGACAGCTGATTCTTATTATTTCTCTGGTATAAATTCCAAATATGTTGCTCTTCGATGATGTCTTCGGACTGTAAGGTTGTCTTTGACGACACCTGCTTCTCGCCCTTGAAAGCAGTGTGGACCGAAACGCTGGAGTCCCAATTGATCGCCTTGCCAACGAGGCAGTTCTGCTTAACGAGCCGTCATGGTATCGCCAGATACCAGGCCTTTTGTGATCATTCCTCCTTTCTAACTTGTTCTTATAAACAGGAGCAGCCAAATATGCTGTTCAAGGGTCCCCCAGCGACAGCACAGGATACTCGCAGCAATCGTGCAAGCAAGAGGACCTACTTTCTGGGCTTCGGCCAGCACTTGAGCACCGTGGGCGCATGCGCCATATCCTGGTCATGGCACCGACCGACCACGGTCAAGATAGCCTTCTGGGCTACTTGTCTAGACACCGCTCCTGCACCGGGAAAGCTGTGTCTAAGAAGCTTCTGCCGAACACAAAGGAGCGTCACCAGAGCCAGTGGATTTCGCTCCCTCTGCGGTTCGAACCTCCGGATGACCTGCCCTACTTGCTGAACCTCGTGGCCCCGCATTTTGGGGACACTCAGCAGATCACAGACTGTTTTCCGCTCGTGGATGGCCTTTTAGTCGTGGTGGATTGTGCAGAAGGCTTGACTGACAATTTCTGTACCGCCTTTGGGTCCGCAGTTGCATGTGGGTTGCAGCCGGTCCTGTTCCTGAGCCTTGGTCCCACAGCATCCGCTTTTTTGTCTGGAATTTCGTGGGTTCCCTTCTTAAAGCTGAAGAACATACCCTAGGGATCAACATAGCCCAAAAGCCTTATGTGTTATGGTCTTTGGGCCGAAAAGCCGTAAAAAATAAGTCCTTAGATCCCTGGGGAAAGAAGGGGATCCCGGGAGCCAAGGAACAAGCTTGACAAGCTACTGGCACTGGAGCCTGACAACGAGCTTTGCTACCAGCGGCTTGCCCTGATTCTGGACAGGCTGAACCTTCGGGGTACTTAGAAACAACTTTTCCATTTTTGGTTATTATAATCCCTAAGAGACAGCTAAAATTACAATTGTTGCTAGGGTTCTAAGTTCAGTATAGGAACGGCATGATGGACGGTGTGCCATCTTTGAAGCCTTTGACCGTGGAGGATGGTAGCATCGTCTTTGGACGTGGCTCCTTAAGTGTCGCGGAGACCCTTGGCTCTCTTCTGGTATCCTATCCCCTTAAAGCCCCCGCGAAATGATACTACTTGGATAACTGCTTGTAAGTTTACGTGTTTACATGCATACGTACATATAGGCTTCTAAGTTTACGTGTTTACATACATGCATACATACATTTCATTCAGTTACATTACATAGCATACACGCAAGCATGATACAGACATGCATACATCATACATGCATACATACACACAGACATACATACGTACACACATACACATCTACATACCTACATGCATACTACGTACAGTGTGCTGGCAGGCACTCTTCTGGTTGTCTGTAGGTGCAATAGTTCGGGTTTGGGGGCTATCAGAAGCCTAGGCGCCCAGACCCTAAACCCCACACGTCTATAGACCTCAAACCCTGAAGCCCTAAACCCCACCCCAAGCCCAGGTCTATTGGTGGTTGGGGCTTCACTTTGGAGCAGTTCTTGATGGAGATGGCGTCTCGAAACTCAGCCGATCTGCCGGCAGTTCCTCAATTTCTTTAATGCGTTGTATTGCGTTTATAATTCATATGGGTGTTAAAGAAATACGCGGTAATCACACTACTTTACGTCCCCAGTCTCAGTTCAGACAGTTCAGCATCATATACCCCCCCTTTGCAAACACAAAAATGTTACAGGTATGAAGGACCCCGCATTCCACTCATTGTCCCGATATAAGTACACCGCACTATACGCCCAATGTATTACCACCAAAGAACAGACGTATGATACTCAATTATTACCTCCCCTGTGCAAAGCCCTTGTCGCGCCGATTTTCAAAGCCCTGGCCTTCCGCAAACACTGCGAAACCCCGCATACGGGTGTAGGGCTGACGGGGCTTTAAGGTTTAGGCTTAGGGTTTAGGGCTTAAAGCTCGGGAGAGGGACTATCTGAGAAATTCATGGAAATCTCTAAACATCTAAACCCCTAAAACCCTAACCCCCCAAGCCCTAAATCGCTAAACCTTAAACCCCACGAACCTCCAAGTGTGGCTGGAGAGGAAAAGACTGGAGCGCCGAGCAGGTCGAGAAGTTGCGTCCTCGCTGCTTGGTCGGCCTCGCTGATCCTTTTGACTTCTTTGATGTGGGGTTTAGGGCTAAATATCCTCTTACTGATCCTTTTTGCTTCTTTGATGTGGGGTTTAGGGTTTTAGGGTTTGGGGGTTTAAGGTTATCCTCTTGGTTTAGGGTTTGGGGTTTAGGGCTATCCTCTTGGTTTAGGGTTTCGGGTTTGGGGTTTAGGGTTTTCCTTCTCCAAAATGTTGTAGAAAACGTCGGCTCGTAAAAGGATCCTTGCTTCTTTCCTTCCAGAAGGCCTAATCTTAAGCTCGAAACCCTATTCAAAGGATCATGGGACTTAGTAATTACGGCAATAATGAAGAGAAACTATACTTTTAACCCCAATTAAGGTACGTATAACCATACTTACCTAGTCCCATGATCCTCCAAGTAAACCCCAAAACCAGGCCTCTGGGGCGATCATTTCTACAATGGCCGCTGGCGGGACTCCGACGGTGAGCGTGGCTTTTGCAAATTGGCCCCTCTGCTGGTTTAGCCTGAGCCTACCTCGACCCTTACATGCAGCTCCGGTTGCTGCCTGGTTTCAGCTTGTAGGACCCGAGCCATAGAATAGGTTACCCGAAGACAAGTACTACAATCTAAGGGAATCTAAGGTCGTGTTCAATAGCTGCTGTGAGGACTACTTAAACCTAAACTCTACAGGAATCCGAAACCCAAGCTAGTACCCTTAAAAGGGAACCCCAGAACCCTAAAACCAACTACCAACTTTCGATCAGGTCCTTCAGCAAACCTTAAACCCTAATCCCTAAACCCTAATCCCTAAACCCTAAACCCTAATCCCTAAACCCTAATTTATCCCTAAACCCTAATCCCTAAACCCAAACTTTCACTCAGGTCCTTCAGCCAATCCGAGGCATCTACGCCACCCTCGAAGCTCCGGAGGCCGTGGGCCTGGCCCGTTTGCAGGACCTGAGTTCCCAAAGCCCCCGGGAGCCTGGGGATGTGGGTTTAAGGTTTAGGGTTTAAAATGTAGGGTGTAAGGTTTAGCATGTAGGGTTTAAGATTTAAGATTTAGGGTTTAAGGTTTAAGGTCTAGGGTTTAGGATCTAGCCTTCTTGCTTGAAGGAGCTTGGCGTCACTCCCAAGGAAGGGCTTACCGGAAATGCCTGGAAACAGAGCGCGATGGCAACTTGGCAGCTTAAGCCGTAAACCCTAGGCCCTTGAAACCGTAAACCCTAAACCCTAAGCCCTCGCAGCTCTAAACCCTAAGCCCTTGCAGCCGTAATCCCTAAGCCCTTGCAGCCCGGATTTCGCATTCGGCGGCGTCTGAATTGTGGATTTCGGAGTTTCCGAACAAATTAGGGGTACTTTGTTTGGGGTCCTTATAATAAGGGTCCTACTATTTAGGGTACTATATTAGGGTCCCCTATTTTCGGAAACTCCCATTTAGGTTTCAGGGGTTAGGGTTTACGGTTTAGGATATACATGTAGAGTAGGATTCCGATTTCCGATGACAACTTGCTAAAGTGCTAGGTTTTGGGGTACAAGTAGACCCAGAACCTCTGAGTTCCTCTTTCGGAAATCTGGAACCGCAAGGTTTAGAGCTTCAGCAAAACAGGGATCCGGATCGAGGTCCCAAGTATCAGCCTCCTCCGTATATAGATATCTACATGAAGGCTCATGGGACTTAGTAAGCAAGTAGGTTATATTTAGGGTAACCCCAGTTAGGGGACTTATAACCCCAGTTATAACCTACTTGCCAGAATCCCATGATCCTATATCTGCGTACGGTACCCTTCATGCTACGAAGCCCTCATTTCTGAGAGAGTGGGCTTGGGGATTCAGGGCTAACGTAGGGGCCTCACCTTTCCTCGAGGCTCCCTACTCCCTAACTATATAGTTATGTTTATAGTAACATGTACCCCCAAAACCCTGTTTGAACCATTAAGGTCCCCATATTCTAGAACCCTGTAGTATAGTTCGCTTATTGACACCTCTATGGAACCCTGTGAAGGGAAACTATTCTGCCGATTCGGGTCCCCTGCATGAGGGTCCTTGAAAGGAACCCTTTAGGCGGTTTTTGTGTTTCTTTAAGGGCTCTTTTAAGGGATCTATGGGGTTCCTTTCAAGGTTCCTTTAAGGGATCAAAACACTTCCTTTAAGGGCGTCTTCGGTATTTCGGGAGCCAGCTTCGGGATTCAGCTCGGGCCTTCGATCGTAGGACGAGTGCTGCCGTTCGACATTGAGTACTAGGCTAGGACTCAGAGTAAGCCCTTATTCCATTGTTTAGGGACCATAACTTCCTTTAAACCAAAGAAGTGCACCCTTTTGATTCCTAGGTCCTAGGTTACTCTTCGGTCTGTTAGGGATTTAAGGTTTCAGGGGTTAGGATTTAGGATTGAGGCTTTGGGGTTTAGGGCTTAAGGTTTAGGGCTTCAGGGTTTCAGGGTTTAAGGTTAGGGTTTAGTGACTTTAGTTTTTCAAGTCCCCAGGGTTAGGAGATTCATGGTTTAGGGTTGGTCAGATAGACCCGTAGTTAACTGTCGCCTTTCCCATCAGTCAGGGCAGTAGCAAAGAACGCATGGGGTGTTTGGGATTGTTGAGTATTTGGGCCCTTGGGGAAATCTTGACCAGGCACTCTTGGGGATATGAGGATATCGAATGCACCGTTGCATGTAGGAGTTTGGGTGTTCTTGGGAAGCGTTTTTATTTGACCCAATTCAAAGGACCATGTACCCAACTAGTATAAACTTTGGCCCCAATGTACCTATATAGGAACTACTTTAAGGCCCAAGTATATACTGTTTGGGTACATAGTCCCTTCCCAGACCCCCGGGAGGATCTAGAAAGTAGATCCCCTAATTTGGGGCCCTATACTACTAAGGGTACTTTATAGGAAGCCCCATTAAGGGATCTACTTTTTGGATCCTCCGGGAAGTCTGGGAAGATTCAACCCCTAAGCCCTAAACCCCTAAAGCCCCAAACCCCTAAAACCCTCAAGCCCTAAAATCCTAAACCCCTCTGGGTTAGGGAGTTAGGCAATCAAGCTGAGAACCCTCTCTTTAACCTCAAAGCCCCAGAGCTGGGGGACCCTCAGCCTGTCAGCCCTCTCAGGCCCTTAATACAGGGGCGTTAATAATTTCATTAATTACCTATACTATTCTGGGGGTTCCTTATGATATTTATAGTATAAACTTTACATAGGGGCCCCAAAGCCTATTCGAGTTGTTAAGGGCCCTATATGAACCTTAGGAAGCGTGGATGCCCTTGGCAGACGTCTTGCTGGGAGCTGTCACTCAGCATGTGCCGGCACCGCAGGTGCACCGGCTGGTGATTAGGGATTTTGCGTGTAGGTGGTGTTATCTGGAAACCCTCTTGCCCGTATACAGCTTCTGCGTAGTTTTCAATATTTCTTGCACTTCGAAGTAGGTTTTCGAATAAACCCTGAATCCTGAAGTCTAAACCCCAAACCCGAAGCCCCAAACCCAAGGCCCCCCCAGCCCCAAGCCCTGAACCCTCATAGAACCCTTATGAACCCTAAGAAGAGCCTTCCAGTACCCTCGAATAGGGGTATATGGTCCCAAATAAGGGGGCATTTAGGGTCTAATAGAGGGTATGTAGATGGAGGGTCTAGGTTTACGGATCCCTTGGACGAACCCCTTTAAGGAACTGGATGGCTCGAAGTTATGGCTTTTGGTTCCTGGGATGGGGCGACTGACTCAGAGGCTCCACTGCTTTCAACAACCTCCGAAAGAGGATCTTGTAAGGGGCTTATCATGGGACATAGTAAGTAGGTCATAATTGGGGTTATAAGTCCCCTAAGTGGGGTTATCCTAACTGTAAAGTCGTTATAACCTCACTTACTAAGTCCCATGAGCCTTCAAGTTGGACGCACCTGATCGTCAAAAACTTGGGGCCCTGCACCTGCAACCCACAGCCCTGTGCTGTTAAGTACGTCGAGCCATGACCACATGCTGTAGTCCGTGAATTGGATGATGTGGTTTTCGTCCACCAGCCTCATGTCCGAGTTGCTTCCAAGCATTAACTCTTCTCTGCAAAGGTGTGTAAGGCTGTGTGCATCCCATCTGCATGTCGGGCAGCAAGAGCCAAACATCAACCCAAGCATGGGTTGATGCTATGCCTTCCGCCCTCAACGGACATAACCAGATTTACGAGTTCCGTCAGGGCGCAAGTGACGACTCTTCGTGTTATCTTCACATCCTTTACGCCGTTTTTGTTGATGTATGTATTAGAGTTATTGTTTTCATTATTCGTTATATAAATGTACATATATGTATATATATATATATATATGTATAGAGAGAGAGAGAGAGAGAGAGAGAGAGAGAGAGACAGAGAGATCGACACATTCATCGTTGTTATAATTGTTGTTATCGTTATTGTTATTGCGTGTTATTATCTTAGGCCTCAAGAGAGCCCACATGTACTCTGGACCCTCAGATAAGGAGGGAACTTCGGTATGAGGCTCCGCCATCCAACGCCGTCTTCTACGCGGCGCGATGCGTTGAGTCCACCGACGGACAGTGCTTCGCCTTCGGTCGTCAGGCGTGCAACAGGGCTTGGGGCTCTACGGTGTGGGTTTAAGGTTCAGGATTTGGGGTTTGGGGTTCAGGCTTTACGTTTAGGGTTCAGCGGTCTCTGGGTTATTATTCTGTCCTGACGGAAGCAGATTCCACAAGTTAGTTGCAGTAGCCGAATCATCCCAGAACACCATTCTAAATCAATGCTCCTATACAGAGCTGTTCGTGGCGTCCATTCTCAATTTTATGTTTCAGTGTGCTTCGGGTTTGCCCTCAGGCTCCGAGGGCTACTGCGCAACTTGCCCCGCTCTTGCAAGACCACATAGTAAGGCTGCTAGGCCATCTTTGAGCCCTTGGGCGCTGTGGAGGTACCTATATTTGTTTATTATATTATACATAAATGTATATATATATATATATATATATATATATATACATGTATTTATATGTGTGTGTAACACATTATTTGACATGTGTGTGTGTGTGTGTGTGGGTCTCTCTACAAAAGTTCACAAATGCAAGTTAACTAGGTATCTAAATGTATACATACATGCATGCATGCATACATAAACCCCAAAGCTTTACGCTCTAAATCCCTACAGCCTCAGAGTCTCAAAACCATGTTTCCATACCTTAACCCCCACAAAACTGAAACAACCAAAAGCCCTAAAACTCTGAAATTGGGATAGAGATATCCCATATAAACCCCCTGATAATGAAGTCCAAAAAGGTAAGGCTATCCCTCTAAGACCCCTTTCGAAGCCACTAGAAGCTCCTTTGAGCATGTCGTTTCGCCAGGTTTGCCCGCAGAAGCTTCGCACTGCTCAAAATGTTCCTGAAACCTCTGCTGCTGCCTTGGCCCCCTGGCTCCTGAATGGAGCCTCTGAAGAATTCAAAGTTGAGGGTTTAAGGGTTCAGAGGTTTGGGGCTTTGGAGGATCGGGCTCTTCACAGGAGTTTACGGTTTAAGGGTTTGGAGAGCTTTTTGGCTTGAAGGTCAAGTGTTAAAGGTTTGGGGAGATTTGAGGCTTTGAAGTTCCCCGAGCTAATGATTTAGAGTTTAGGGGTTGAGGGTGTTGTTGGGTTTAGGGGTTGGGGTTTAGGGGTTTAGGGCTTCGGGGTTTAGGGTTGCAAGGTTACTAATCCATGTTCCAACCCCATGGGGTTATACATCTCAAGCCCCAACATGACTCGGGATTTGTTTTGCAAGGATACTTTTGGAATTTAGGTTTAGGGGTTGAGGGTATTGCACGGATTTAGATCCTATACACTCCGCTCCAAATGGCTGGTTCTATTCTTATGAGTTAGAAGGACAGTTTTCTGTGGCCCGGGTAGGGTTGACGCAGAACTTTCAGCCTTATTGTCTTCCTAGGAAGAGCCTCAACCGTGAGCCACATAGGGACCTGAACGATTGTTGACTGTACCCCTTATACAGTAGTAGAACATACCCAAAAACCCTCGAATGGTACCTTTGCAGTACGCTACACCGCACAGCCACCCTGAACGCCTGCACCCCGCCCCCCGCCCCTCCTCTCACAAAACTACTCAAAAATGGCGGCAAAGCTTAGAATCCTAAACATTGGTCCCTGCGCCCGGAATCCGAACTCTAAGTCCGACTTCGCAAATGCCATGTCCTGAAATCTGTAAACTGTACCCTCGCAGAAACCCTGAGCCTCCAGACAACGAAGTAATGGCATACTGTGGTACAGAATATGTGATTAGCAACCTATCAGCTACATATGTAAGTGGAGCCCTTGCAAAAAACTTACACACACACAGACACACACACACACAAAGAAAAAAAACAAACAAACAAAAAAAACACACAAACCACACAAACAAAATTGAAGTTCAGGACCCGCAGCGGTGCCCCTGTCATCGGTCAGAGCGGCACACGGGTCACTGATTGGACTGCCGATCGACAAACCGCCGCAGCAAGGAGCGATGACGGTCAGATAAGACGTAGTCTGTCTGGTTCTTAGTAGGGACGGGGGAATGGATTATGGAGGATTATATAGGGACTGCTGTAGGGATCCATTCCCTGCCCTACTAAGCACCAGACAGATGAGACGTAGTGTGGAGGTTTCTTATGGTTTAGGGTTCAGGAAAGGGAGGGGTTGTGCAGGCTTTCGTGTTTAGGGAGGCCCCTTTCCCACACACCCGTAGGATACATCCCGCGGCGTGAATATAGGATTTGTAGGTTTTTGGCTTAGGCGTTTTCGGAGGTTACTCTCCCGACCGGGTGGCTGGAAGCACGTGCTTTTCCGGACCGGAGCCGTTGTGTACAGTGTGCAGATGCCGAGCTCCATGCGCGTGCGCTTCCGAATATCCCGGTAGATAGCTCTTCATCCTAACCTCTGAAGCACAAGCCGTGGAGTGGTTACTTAGTTGGTTACCTAGACTCCAGGCCCTACCATCATTGTTTTGTTGATGTAGGATCCTAAGCAGTAGGTTAATTAACAAGAAAAGTTACTATACACTGAAGCGTCTAGGTAGGATATTACAAGTTTTGAAAACTTGAGGGTGTCTTGGTGAAGCCATGGTGAGAGAAGTTCTCGGATGTGTACAGAAGCCGTCGCAGCCGCATCGTGAAGGTTCAAAAACACAGGGGCCAAAATGTGAATACACAGCGTGCTGAGGACTCTGAATTATATCTATATATATTTATATATACATACAATAATGTGTATATATATATATACAGGTATTATTGTATATAAAGGTATGTGTATATATACATATATATATATATATATATGTACAGATCATACAAGAGATAGTGCAGGAGATACTGCCTTCAATAGCTCACTTACTAGTTGGGCGACGCGAAAAGAGAAGTAGGACGAGCGCTTAAACGGCTTAGGAGTGTCTTCTTATTGTCGCAATATTGCAGTCTTTCAGAGGGGACTGCAATAGGTCAAAGGACTGTCTGGTGCTTAGTAGGGAATCCGGGAATGGATCCGTATAGTAGTCCCTAGATCATCCCCACTAGTCTCCATGATCCCCTCGCCCATTTTCTACTAAGATCCAGTCAGAGGACCCTATGCTGCGATCGATCAACTGTAGACTCCGAAGCAGCAGGAGGGAGTTATCCAGTTATCCCGCCCACTCACCCACCCGCCCATCCACCCACCCTACCGCAACATTCACCAATTCCGGTTATGAACGGTCTCCCCAAAGATCCCGAAGGCCATGCCCATTGACAAAATGAGCTAAAGCTCTGCTATCATGGGGGCCTGGATATATAATTACCTATACCATTCCTGACAGCTCCGTAATATTCTTGTGTATACTATACTTCTTGCCAAGACCTTCTGAGTATTAAGGCGCCTTTTTTAAGATCTCGCTGAAGTCGAAGCACAACTCGACATTAGGCCTAGGATTCAATCTAGCGTCTTGCGCCGTGCAGATAGCTCATGATAATTAAAGCCTTCATGGGCTTGAAAATGAGGAATCCGCACAACCTTCAAAGAGTATGTGTAAACCCTAAATCCTAATATGTGATCTCTTAGTGATATGTCCGATAGAGGCGGATAGTTTAGGCTCTCCGCAACCTGCCGAACCTTCGTTCAACACTCCTAAATCCCGTGTAGAGACACTTCTTGGTAATGGCCATAATCAGAATGGGAGCAAACGGAATTACAGTCATGGTTAATTACCTCATAGCACTAACAACAACAGCAATAATGACAATGATGATAACAAAAAACAAAAGTAATTAAGAACATACCCTAAGGCTCCATAGGAGCCTCTGGGTAATTGTATCAATCTTGGGGCTCTTTGGGAAGCTTCAGGTCCTCGAGTTGGTGCCGCCGCCCTTCGAGACATACCCGGAGTCCGCGCGCGAAGCGCTGCCAATGCCGGCGCGGCCCTTGTTGGTTTGGGGGGGTTTAGGGTGTAGGGGTTTGGGGGTTCGGGATTTAGGGTGTAGGGGTTTGGGGGTTCGGGGTTTAGGGTGCTGCGGCTTGTGCGGAAATATCAACCATCAGGTTCATGTCGCAGGTTGATGATCCAAGCCGCCCTTGCTTTGCGACGTGAGATCCTGTCTACGAAGCCCTAGACCAAGAATCACAAACCGTAATGAACCCTAAACCCTAAACCCCTTGTCGCACCCTTGGACCCTTAAAGGAACCTTTAAGCAAACCTAAACCCTACCCTTCAAGCCCAGCATATTGAGTACTTGGACCCTTAGGGAGCCCTTGAGGGTCGGGCTTTCGGGTTTAGGGCTTAAGGCCCAGACTTCAGGTTTCAGGCTTAGGGCTTTGGGTTCAGGGCAGCTTTGGGCTTGGGCTTTAGGGTTGAGGGCTTAATTGGGCTTGGGGGTTTAGGGCGTAGGATTTAGGGCTCCGGTTCAAAAGTTCAGGGCTTGGGGACGAGGTTTAGGTCTTCGGGTTTATGGCTTAGGGTTGAGGACAGTCCGATCGCGAACTTCGTGCCACGGCCGCAGCGCAGGCAGAAAGTGGGCGATCGCCTCATGCAGAGCACGTTCCCTTGCCGAACAAGCTCATCACACCTCGCCCCTACCACCGGCCAGCACCATGTTGATGCAACCGTCACGATAGGCACAACGCGAGCGACGCATCCGCCACCTCACGTTCGCTCATCGTAGAGATTGGGCCGCGAGAGGCTAATGCCCTAAGCATTATTGTCGTTTCCATTTTTATTACTACTATTTGTATTACGACTAATATGATTGCTCTTAGTGTTATTCTTACTAAGAAACCCTAAACCCTAAACCCTAAACCCCTAAACCCTAAACCCTAAACCTTGGGGCCGGCCGGGCCCCTGTAACAGTGACCACAATGAAACCCACACAAAAAACACAACTTCTTTATAAGGGGTTCATGCAAAAACTAGATTTACAATTGTCACTGAAAAAATGGGTGCAGAAAAAATCTGGTTTGTTTCCCTTCCCTGCATAGTTCTGTGATCTGTGCATCGATATTATTATAGTCCCACCACCTTCTCCCTATGCCATAATCACACAATCTTCGCAGTTGGTGTTTCTGTTCACCTACTCTTGTTATTTCTTTTTTTATGACCACGGAGCCCGAAACAGTGTAGGCCTCATAGTTAGCTGTAATGTCTTAGAACTTATAACTTATAAGTTAATCGACTTCCAGTCATGTAATGTGCCATTTTGGGATATAAACACAGATATTGATATCAATCAATATGAAAGCCACAATGCCGCTAATCAGAAATTTCGAAAATTAGGCCATGACTTCCTGCAGCATGCCTAGCAGAAAGGATGCTGCTGCATCCCCTGAAAACCTGCAACTGAGCATTCACTCAGCACCATAAGTCGTTTCCCTTCTACACACGCATCGAACATAGACAATCGACAGACAATGACACTGCACCTTCTTTTTGGGGGGAATGAATTGAGGGGAGAAGGGATGAGTCTAATTAACCCAAACTGCAAGCTGGTGAGGTGCAGGGAGGCCACAGAGGGGGCTGCTGCCCGTTTACGGTCAAGGGATTTAGGGTGTACTTGGAGGTTCATGGCTAGTTAGAAGTGGGGTTATAAGTAGGGTAACTCTTCTTGTAACCCATATTAGGGGACGTATAACCCCACTTATAACTAGCCATGAACCTCCAAAAACAGGAGTTCAGGTGTAGAAGAGTGGCAGGATCCAGGATGAAGGATTCAGGAGAGTTTCCCATTCTGCCGGATCACGGTTTAGGCTTAAGGGTTTACCCAGAGGGGCCAAGTACCCAAATAGTAGGGTTTTAGATCCCAAAATCCATACTCTGAGTGGTTTTTGGACCTTGAAACCCTACTATTTGGGTGCTTGGACCCTTAGGGTTAGGGTTTAGGGCATGAAATATTATCCACAACGAAAGTATTTCTTCCTTACAGGAAACCCTGTCCAATACCGTACACATACCCAATATCGAAATTCGATACATTAGATCCGTTCTCAGCATATTCCCAAACCCTGACATTTCGCACCTCCTCAAACCCCACTACCTCTACCTGAACATGAACCTGGACGGCAGAGCAGGCTCGCAGGTTTTGGGTTTAGCATGAATTAGGGTCTAGTATGATCCAGGGTTCAGGGTTTATTGTAGGTTAGGGTGTTGAGCGCTCCTGATTTTGGTTCGGATTTCAGGAAGGTCTCGGGTTTTTGGGAGTCGCATTACACGAACCAAACCTACCGCCGCGCAGCACGTTCCACTGGAGCCGCCTTTGCCGCCGCCCTCCACGGTGCAGACCATCGTGTCACCTGCCGAGAGCAGGAGGGTTTCTTGGGGTGTTTAAGGGGTTTGGCAAGGATTCATAGGGTCCTGCTGAGTTCTACATGAGTTCTCGACGGTTTCTGTAGGATGGTGGAACTAAGCATACTTCTCATTATCAGAGTCTTGTTATGCAGTGTGTGTGTGTACATTATTCGAGACAAGGTGCAGCCAGAGACGCCGTTCGTACTGGTTTTCTAAGCTTGCAAGGTCAAGTCGCCTGTAATGCCCTGTGCTCTGGGCACGCTACTACGTTCTATACAAGGTTGTCATATGTTTGAGGCAACATCTTTGTCAACGTGTATGGGCAGTTTGGTTTTGTATGCATGAGGTTTGACTCGTCGCTTTTATCTTTTGATCCAGGGCCCGGGCGACTCTGCAAACGCCTAGTTTCTAAAGCCTGCATGGGGCTAAATTTAATTAGAACCCAAGCCCTCGCAAAGGAATCAGCTGTAACATTCAACAACCTAGCTTAGAGCCTTAAAGACCTGCGATCTAAACAACAAGCCTTAATCCTCTTGGCTTAGATTTCGGTCGCCGAGTATTTGTGTCAAAGATCCGAAATGCTGGACCCTTAAACCTTAGGGCTTAGGCTGTCAGACTACAGATTGAACCGTAGAGAGGCACGATGGGGGGGGAGTTTCCGAGACGGGCTATAAGTAGGAACACCGTCTAGCTGTTCTCATGCCCTGAGCTATTCGTTCGTTTGAATGTGTGTTTGTGTTTGTGTGTGTTTGGGGTCCAGTACTCTGCCGCTTCGTAGGATTGCAGGTACGGGTCTTTGGCTTGTGCTGATTTTAGTACTGTCTTGAAATAGTAAATGGCTAAGGGGCTCAAGAGGTGATTTTTAGTAGTCCGCAAAAACCCCTAAGCAACCTATAACTATACTGCCTTTATGGGTACTGGCAACCCTCATGATATGACCGTCGGGGGTTAGGGTTTAGGGTTCTGACAGCCAAAAACCCATTGACAGCACCTCCAAAAGCCCTTTAAACACCCCATTGAAACCCTTAACCCTGAACCCCAAACCCTTAACTAAGCCCTTAGCCCTAAACCCCTAACCTCAACCCTGGACCCTAAACCCTTAACCCTTACCTAAACCCTTAACCTAAACCCTGAACCCTAAACCTTGAACCCTAAACCCTTAATCCTTAACCTAAACCCTGAACCTTAACCCTAAACCCTACACCATAAACCCTAATAAGCGTAACCCTAAACCCTGAACCTTTCTTAAAGCGCGACGGAGCAAGGCTTCCTTCGGAACGCTCTCTGGTGAGAGCCGCCTTGCTGGGAGGGGCTCGGTTTGGGGATGAAGGGGTGTGAGGGTTTCGTGGCTTAGGGTTTTGGGGGTGTTGCGGTTCGGGTTTCGGTTTTAGGGCTGTTGTGGGTTTCGGGTTTAGGATTTTCCGGTTTTGAGGTTTGGGTTCTCGGGTTTAGGTTGTCAGCATGTTAGGTTTTAGGGGGTGGGGATGATGTTGTTCCGAAGGTTCTTCATATAACGGGCTCCTATAAGCCTACACACTCCATCTACCCTCGATTAGACCCTAAATGCCCCTTATTTGGGACCACATACCCCTATTTGAGGGTACAAGGAGGGTCATGGAGGGCTCCAAAACCCCATTCTGATCATGAAGGTCCCTTTAGCAACCAGAAGACTGATGCTCGCTTGAGAACTACCTATAGTCTCCATTGTAGTTCCTTTTTTTGGTTAACCAAAATCTCTATTATAGGGTCCTAACCATAAAATTGGATAACCAAAAAAAGGAACTACAATGGAGACTATAGGTAGCACCCAGATGCGGGCTTTGTTTGACTTAAGCCAGTCTGGCCGCTGCCCTTCGGCTCAAATCGCGATGCCGCAGGTGTACACGCAGTTAAAACAGTGCACTTCGGGTTTGGACTTACGCTTTGTAGCAGCTGCGACAGAGCAGTGACATAAAAGGAGGATTGGCCAGGCAAAGAACACGAAAGCTGAAATTCAATGTTTCAAAGCACCCCAATCCCAGGAGGGTGCACCCGGCACAACACGTCAAAGCGAGGAGTCCACCTTGCAGGAACGCTCTACAATACCCCACTCCCTACGATGCAAGATGCAGATTTTGCGCGCCCTAAACCCTAAACGGTGTCGGGCTTCGGGTTTGGGGGTGTTTCCGAGTCGCTGTACCTCAAGACCTGCGCTTGCGAGCCATGACGGGCCAAGGGTACAAGGAGACAGTGCAGCCGCGAGGGACTCGGAAGTTACTCCGAAGGCTTTGGTAAATGGTTTTTCAGTTTATGAGGGTGAAGGTTTATCAGAGTTCGTCGGCTTCCGTAGTTCTCGGGGGTCCTAAATCTTTAGCCGGTGATTCTTGGGGTTTGTTTGAGCCATTTGGGTAGACGTCCCCCCCTGTAGGAACCTGAAAGAAGGCGGCACCCTTAAAACAGGACCCTGCAAGGGACCCTAATTTGGATAACTACGGTTGCTGATATAAATCCTGCCTTACCCATAAAATGGAATATACCGTAGTTCCTATAGTTCAGGGTCATTCAGGTAATGCAGGATGTATATTGGGGGGTTCCGAAACTCAGAGGTACCTTGTTTTGGGGTCCTTGCAATAAGGATCCTACTATTCAGGGTACTATATTACGGTGCCCTATTTTCGGACACTCCCACAAAAATCAACCGTACTTGGAGGATCATGGGACTTAGTAAGTATGGTTATAAGTACCTTAATTGGGGTTATAAGTATAGTTACCTTAATAAGAACCGTAATTACTAAGTCCCATAAGTCCCATGGTCCTTTAAGTAACCCCCAAACCCATATATAGAACCCTTAATATAGATCCCTTAAAGGAGCCATTTTAGGGAGCCGTAATTACTAAGTCCCATGGTCCTTTAAGTAACCCCCCAAACCCATATATAGAACCCTTAATATAGATCCCTTAAAGGAGCCCTTTAAGGGAGCCGTAATTACTAAGTCCCATGGTCCTTTAAGTAACCCCCCAAACCCATATATAGAACCCTTAATATAGATCCCTTGAGGGAGCCCTTTAAGGGAGCCGTAATTACTAAGTCCCATGGTCCTTTAAGTAACCCCCCAAACCCATATATAGAACCCTTAATATAGATCCCTTATAGGAGCCCTTTAAGGGAGCCGTAATTACTGAGTCCCATGGTCATTTAAGTAACCCCCCAAACCCATATATAGAACCCTTAATATAGATCCCTTAAGGGAGCCCTTTATGGGAGCCGTAATTGCTAAGTCCCATGGTCCTTTAAGTAACCCCCCAAACCCATATATAGAACCCTTAATATAGATCCCTTAAAGGAGCCCTTCAAGGGAGCCGTAATTACTAAGTCCCATGGTCCTTTAAGTAACCCCCCAAACCCATATATAGAACCCTTAATATAGATCCCTTAAAGGAGCCCTTTAAGGGAGCCGTAATTACTAAGTCCCATGGTCCTTTAAGTAACCCCCCAAACCCATATATAGAACCCTTAATATAGATCCCTTGAGGGAGCCCTTTAAGGGAGCCGTAATTACTACGTCCCATGGTCCTTGAAGTACCCCTTAAAGGGTCCTCAGAGGTAAGGATCCTCCACTGTACGGCCCAGCTCGGCTCTCCGATTTTCATAGGGACCCTTAGGGGTGTAGGGGGAGGGGGGGTAGGGGGCCTTAATGCCCATAATAAGGACTAATAAGGCCTATTTGAGGAAATATAGTCCCCTACGCCCTCCCCCCTACACCCCTAAGGGTCGCTATGATATTTTAGGGAACTCACTAAGCGACTGCGTCTAAGCATCCTCCTGAGGTATCCTAAACCTCCTAAACCCTTAAATAACCGTAGAATGTAGGCTTTTAGGGGTTAGGGTTTAGGACATGAATGGTTTAGGGCTTAGGGCTCTATGTAAGGTTCACAAGAGGCACGACGACAGAAATGGCCTTGTTTGGTTTGTGGTTGCTGCTATGCAAGTACAGTAAGCCGGCAAGCCCAAAACCGCAAGCCTCTGTTAGTTTTCGGGCTTGTGGTGATTTCAAATTTTGGTGCTCTCAGCACAAATCCCCTCGAGCTCTACACTCGCCCTAAACAAACCCAAAGGGTCCTAAGTACCTATCTAGTAGAATGTAGGGTCTCTAGATTAGAAGTTAGTATTAAGTATTATGATTTGGAAAGTTATCCCCCATAACAGTACCGAGGACCCTTTGGGAACGGCTGCTGGTATATATCCTGCATGACCTTAAGGACCCTAAACTACGGGAAGTATGGTATATTCCTTATTGTGGGTAATGCAGGATTTATATCATCAACAGAAGCTCTAAGCGAAGCTCAGGCCGGTACCGGCTGTGCTCAAGCGGTCCATGTTCGCACCCCACGGCGCTCAGCTGCGGCCACAGCCGGACCCCCAAAGCCTACACTGCTCTCAAAAAGGGCCCAAGAGTTCGTCAACTTCGTAGAAGCGTCGGTCTTTTTGTTTGTTGCATGTGTCTGGCAGCAGCTCGAGAAGGGCTTTCTGAAGAGTCTTGGAGGGTTTGATACGGGCTTTCGGCTGGTGGGTTTAAACTTGAATGCAGACCCTTGGTAAGAACACACTTTTCCTTCAAGGGCCTTCGTTTTTGGATTCATGACACAATAGCGTTTGAGTGGCATCCGTAAACTATTGTCTCTTAAGTGTTAAGGTATTCCCTAGGTTAGGATTTGGGCTTTCTGCATGTTAGCAGGTATCTTCAATCAGAACTACTTGCACTTGCACCCTGAAACTCTTCCTCATAATCGAAAATGGAATGCCATACGACACACATCACTTCTTCAGTTGTCTTCAGCGAGGAACCGTATGTAAGCCTTAAACCCCTATACTCGTACCGCTAAACCCTCAACCAGTCTTTCAATATCAAACGTGGGTTTGAGAGTGTCTTGGGTGCCGGCCGAAGCTGTCACAGAACACAGCAACCAGGCCTCAGAGGTATAGGGTTTAGGGCTTCAGGATTCAGACATGTAGGACTTGGGCTGTAGGCCCGGCCGCCTTCAGCTGCTGGATGTAGTGGGTATTTAAGGGTAGTCCAACATCGGACCTCTATAGGGTCCTAAATTTGTACCAATACCAATACTTTTTTGGAGTTCCTTATAGCAGAATGGGCCCCGAAACCCTATTCTACTTATTAAGGCCTCTATGCACGCAAGATTGACCAAGCCTGACAACGGCAGTGTCGGGCAATTTGCTGTCGCCTCGTCGTTCAAGCCGGCATTATGTGGACTGCTTGGAGACCTCAACCATGCTGGCAATAGTATTAAGAAGAACATGCCTACAGTAGCATGTGTACCCCTCACCCTGCTCATGTTGGCCACAACAGCAACCCTCTTTCAAGACGCAAGGCCGCAATACTTCACCGAATTGATGGGTTCTGCGGATATTTTCAATTTGCGATTCTGTGAGCCCTCAGTCTTGAAGCCTCAATCCGATGCCCTGTGCTCTGTTACCGGAGATCCTTTTCCAAAAATCGTACATCCTAGGACTCCTTCATCCTAAGCCCTCAACATGACAGTCCTTATGAAGCCTTCAAAAGCCGAATAAAACCCTAAACCCTAAATCCTACTTGCCTTCCCACTCGCCCACCCTATAACCGGAGCCCTTAAACGCGACTATAGGGCTTGAATAATTGCCAATAGACTATTTTGTTCTGATTATCGTATCATGGGCCTCAAAACCCTGTTCTAATGATTTAAGGCCCCTATATTAAGCCGGTAAAACTGAAGCCTGCAGATCCCTACTAGGACCCAGAGTAGGCGCTTATTCCATGTTTTTAGGGTTTAGGTTCCCTTATAACTCCCTTTAATTCAAAAAGGGCACCCTTTTTATTCCTAGGTTACTCTTAGGTCTAGCCTAAAGGTACGAGCAGGAGGACGAGTGGAACGAGTTCCTTGAGAAGACGGACACCTCCAAGGCTTTGTCCAGAAAGCGATTCATCGGTTAAGGTTTTGGGTTTAGGTTAGAAGGAGGGGTCATGTCTTCCGTAGGGTTCTGATGAGGTTGTTCGGCCAGACAGTAGGCAGTCGGATTTGGGGATATTTGGGGTGTAGGGGTGTGCGGCTTTGTGAGGGAGTCTTTGGTTATGTAGAGCCCCAGGGTTCACACCCGTAACCCTAACTCCGAACTCTTATGCCAACCATGTTCTGTTCAGGGAGCCCAAGCAGACTGGTTCCGATCGGTGGGTTACATCCATCCTCGGGGTCCTTCGGTTGATGGTATGAATCCTGCATTACCCATAATAAGGCATATACCATAATTTCCATAGTTTAGGGTCCTTAAGGTCATGCAGGATTTACATCATCAACAGTTCTTCAAGACCTCAATCTTAGTTGCTCTCATAGGGGCATATCGTAAACAATAGGTGTTATGGGAACCCAGGCTTCCGGAGGATCCAAAAAGTAGATCCCTTAATGGGGGGTTCCAATAGAGTACCCTTACTTGTATAGGTCCCCAAATTAGGGGATCTACTTTCTAGATCCTCCCGGGGGTTTGGGAAGATTTAACCCCTAACCCCTAAACCACTGAAACCCCAAAACCCTAAAGCCCTGATCCCCTAAAGCCCTAAAGCCCTACACCCCTAAAACCCTAAACCCCTTAAACCGTAAACCCCTAAAACCCTAAACCCCTAATGCAATACCCATTATATAGCCCATTATAGGGTGGGGGTGCCCATTATTAATGGGTCCATCGTAGATTACAAACATAAGGTGCCAAACATTTCTGCCTTAATTTAAGGGTCCCTCCTTTTCCCCTTTGAAAACAAGTTCTGCAAGAAGAACCCAGTCCTCAGGTTCAGGGCTTCTCCAGAGCTCAAGCCTCGTAGAGTTTACATCCGGGCAATCCAAAACTGCCAAGCGGAGTTCAAAGCTGGTACATGCTTTTATTGTTTAGGGTTTGGGGTTTGGATCTAGGGTTAAGGTGTTAGGGTTTGGGCTTTGGATCTAGGGTTAGGGTGTTAGGGTTTGGGGTTTGGATCTAGGGTTAGTGTTTAGGGTTTGGGGTTTGGATCTAGAGTTAGTGTTTAGGGTTTGGGGTTTGGATCTGGGGTTAGTGTTTAGGGTTTGGGGCTTAGGCTTATGAAACGTTCAACCTAGCCTTTGGTGGCTGTCTGCGGAGGTCCATGACTTTGGCAGCCGCTGAGCGGCCAGTGGAAATGTAATCCCCCACCCGTCCTTTAGTCGGTTCTTGTTAAGGAATCTAATTTAGGTTACCATAATAAAGAAACCATATTGTTTACTATGAACCGCTGTTATGATAATCGGTCCCCTAGCCATACTACGCACCAGGAGGAGATCTAGCACAGTCTCAGCAGGGGTGCTTCAGGGCTGAATAGCTGGGTTTACAGTTTCAGGGATCGGTTTCATGCATCGGCAGAATCGGGCGAAGGTCTTCGTAGTATCATAGAAAAGCCAGGTATTGTGAATCTTCACCTTTAAAGCCTCCTCCAAACTAACGTGGAATCCGGCATGGTCGTTCATTTTGGTTTTCGGCATGTGCGGTGCATGTCTCAGGAAGCCTAAGTACTATCCCCATCTAGTCTCTAGTATCGTACCCAAAGAATAATGCAGCCCAAACTCCTGCTTCAAATTACAAAGGGTCCTTACATTTCAGCCCGTAAGCCGGACACTTGACCCGCTTCTTCGGGTGCGTCATCTTCCGGGCAAGAATATCCCATTCTAGGACACGTAGGGGCTTTAGGTCTGAGGGTTTAGGGCTTCAGGGTCTACGGGGATTTTGCATTGAGCCTAGGGGTGCAGAACGCATCTCTAAACTAGAAACATGACGTCGACAGTCGAAGGGACGAAACATCATTCTTGTAACAGAGATCCTGGAAGCCACTTATGAAAACGCATCCTCAAGCTGGCATGAATCTAGCACACGGCATCCTAAACCCTCTACCTAAATCCCAAACCCTAAGGCTAAATCCTAAGCCCGAAACCCTAAACCTAAGCCCTAAACCTAGATCCTAAGCCCAAATCTGTATTTTGTGGAAGATGTAGCTAGTCAACTGCACCTACCGTCATTCATTGGCTCAAGAAAATATGCGTCTGCATTCTGGCTGTTCTGCCTGTAAACATAGGTTATCAGCCGTAGGTCTCACTTCGTTTGTAGATCGCGATGGATGCTCCCGTAAATCCTGCAGGTATTCCCGCGATAGACATTTCCGCGGCTCGCGTCGATACCGAGGATCTCAATTCTCTTCCTGCCATGTCCGTCCAAGACGATGGCACGGATCAGGTTGTCCCCGGTACCCGAGAGGGTGGCCAAGTTGTTCCTCTGACGGCAGAGACCTTGGCCGTGATGGCCCAAACAGATCCCCGAAGAGGTGCACCAGGAGCGGTGTCAGAATGGGCCTATGTCTCAAGCCCAGCGCACCAACTCGCATCCCTGGCGGGATCGCCTCAACAATATAATACGGCCCAATATTCACCCAGCGAGATCAGAAACGTCGCGAACTACTATCAACAAAATGTCCTTGCGCCAACGGTGCAACAAGCAGTCCATGTGCATCAAGTAGACACAGGACCAGCCGTTGCAGCTGAAGCTGAAGCACGCCACAGATTGATCATGGCAGAAGCAAACAATTTGCATAGGGAGCAATTCAACCAGCTTCATGCACAGGCGCTATCCGGTGCTGCCCAACTTCGGTTGGAGTTTGCCCAAGCGGAGAGTCGTCTGCAACAGAAAGAAGAAATGCTTCGAGCAGCCGGCGAAAGCATGGCTAATAAACACAGCGACGAGTTGTCGCAGATGCGACGTGAAGCCATTGACTACAAGCTCAGGCTTCATCAGGCTGAGGTTACAGTCTCCGACGTTGTAGCCCAAGCTGAAAGAGAGCTGGCTAATCGAAGTCGGGCTAGCCAAGACACCGTTGCAGTCATGAATGGCGAACTAAGCCAACTCAAGTCTGAGATGGGTGCATTCATGCAAGTGCATCGCCAACAGGCTGAGTCGATGACGAAGCTTGAGCGCACCAATGCGGAGCTTCGTGATCGCCTGGCGAAAGCCACGGCATATTCACCAACTGCCGTAGGAGATCAGTCTCCCATTGAACACCCTATTCATACCCCTCCGGGTCTGGGTAAAGTAGATGGTGGTCCGCCAGGCGGAGGTGGAGGTGGAGATGACTCGCCTCCCGAAAGCGACGGCGACGGGGATGAGCCCGAAGACGATTCCCGTGACAAGAAGAAGAAAAAGAAAAAGGACAAAAAGAAGAAAAAGAAAAGAGACTCATCTGATTCATCATCATCGTCGTCTATTTCCCTATCTAAAAAGGACCTCCTGAAGATGTTCAAGAAAGTCGTTAAGTCTAAGAAAGACAAGGACGATGACGAGGAAACCGAGGCGACAAGGGGAAGGCCTAAGGTGAAGGAAGCTGAGAAGATTGTGTTTCCGAAGTTTCCCCAGCCAGAGAACTATCGTAACTGGAGGCTTCGCGCACGCGAGGCTGTGGTCGCCGCCTCTGACCGTCCCGATGAGGCTTTCGAGTGGCTCGGTGAAGTGTGGAAGGATGATACCACGGAAGAGTCCCTTCGTGATCCTAGCGGATTCACAACGCTTGATGCGAAGATCCTCTCGGCAATCACAAACATTCTGGAAGGTGATTTTGCTCGCCAGATTGACACTTTTAAAGAGAGGGAAGGGCACGAAGGGCGCTTAGTTCGTGGCCGTCAGATTCTGCATAAGCTCAATGCTTATTTGTCGACCAACGCACTCCACGGGTCTGTGTACGATATGGAGGATCTGCTCAATGTCGTCATGCTTAACGAAAACCTCGTGCAATTCGTGCGTAACTGGGACACTGTTCTCTCAGGCATGAAGAAAGCACCTGCTGACGATGTTTTGCAACCCTTGTTTCATAGACAGGTTAAGAAGTGTAAGCTTTTGGCGCACGACATCGCCATCTATGAAAGGGCAGTAGACGGCACACAGGAGAAATCCTATGAGTATTTGTACAATGCCGTTAACCGGGTCATCAAGATCAAACGGCTTGAGCGCAACCGGGAACGGATTGCAAGGCAGGCCGCAGCAGGTATGCCATCGGCACCCGCACCGCTAAAGCGTGTGCCCAAAGGCTTCTGCATTGACTTTGTTCGGAACGGTTCGTGCAACAAAGAAAAATGTTCCTATAAGCATCAGATACCCGAGAAGCCACGTGGTAGGACACCAAGCAAAGGTAAAGGCCGAGGCAAGTCGCCCTCCGGAAGGGGGAGCCCATCTCCTGGGAAGATTAATGCCGAGTGCAAATTCTTCAAGCATGGCAAATGCAACAAGGGTGACAAGTGCCGTTTCATACACAAAGGCCAGCCTTCTGCTCCTGCCACTGGTAGCGGTAGAGAGTCTAGCGGCGAAAAGAAGAGTAAGAAACAGAAGAAAGAAAAGAAGCATAGGAAGAAGTCTCGTTCCAGCTCTAAAAGTTCCAAGGGTAGTGGAGGCTCCAAGGGGAGCAAAGGCTCTGGGAACAGCAAGGGCTCGGGGGGGCGGAAACCTAAGGCTTCGCTTCCTGCCGCCGTCTGCCTCTTAGGCGCACTTGTTGCAGGTTCGGCATCCCAAGCCGATGCACACGCTTTCCGGAAGGAAATGCCGAACTACATTGACTCGTGTGCAAGCACCGCTCACGTTGCTCTGGCATCTGTGCGATTCTCGAATGCTCCTGAGTATCACTATATTCCCACGCCCCCTGAATCTTCCAAGTGGCGTGAGGTTGAAATCGAGCCGAGGGTTTTCAGTGAAGAATTTCCTGTTAACTACAAGCCCAAACCTGATGGGCAGGATGTTCGGGATGCTTTGGCGACAGCTAAGATGCTGAGGTCAACCGTTGAAGGTATGAACCAAGGTACGAATCCAGCATGTAAGTTCATGTGTAAGACTGAGTTCGGTTGTGCTCATTGCATTGCGCCCGGCATATCTGTCGGATGCCCAGCAAAGGGGAGCAGGTCAGATCCTGTGATTGAAATGGAATGGATTGCCGACACTGGCAGTGCCCAGGATTTGATATCGAAAAACGTTCTCGGTGATGTAAAGGATTTCTTGTCGGATCGGCCTATCAACATGATTACCGCCAACGGACCTAACTATGCTGACAAACAATGCAAGGTTAGGATTCCTTCGATCAATACGACCGCCGAACCATATGTTCTACCCGATTCACCATCCGTTCTCTCGGTTGGACAGAAGTGCATGGAGGAAGGGTTTGACTTTATCTGGAGAGCTAATTGTAGACCCTACTTCAGGGATCACAACGGGAACAAGGTTTATCTCGATGTGAAGGACAACGTTCCCTACCTGAAGTCTTGGAAGGAAAACGTTGCGCTTCCCGCGCGACCACGTCCGGAGCCCAGCCTTCCTGCATCGCCGGTTGAGAAACCTGGCAAGTGTGTTGAGGATTCAGAGAGAATTGCAAAAGAGTTACTTGAGAACCTTGACTTCCAGTGTAAGTCTTGTCTGAAGCTACTGCAATCTATGAACTGCAAGCCCTCCAAGAGCAATCGTAAGTCAATTACAAACAACGAGGGTCGCACCGACGGAAACGTCGAGTATCTTGTGCTTGGCGCTTTCGCTCATGGTGGCGTCCAGGGCATTACTAACCGTACGCAGAAGTATGCCCATTCTACCCGATACATCAATGCATTCCTCCAGAATCATGGAATGACGGGAGATTGCTCATCGGTTTGCATCAATCACGGTTCGTCTGTTAAGGTTCACAAGGATGCTCACAACATGAAAGATTCCACCAACTTCACTATCAGTCTTGGCAGCTTCGAAGGTGGTGAACTTTGGATTCACGACCCCGCTGCCCGAAAGGGAGAGCACAATGTCATTACTCAGAAGGTAGGGTTGAAGACTTTGTATGGCAAGAAACGTGTCTCCCGCAACAAACTTGTGAAGTTCGATCCCAAACGTTTTCACTGTGTTCTTCCTTGGAAAGGGGATAGATGGAGCATTACCGCGTACGTCAATCGAGCTGTTCCCAAGCTTCAGAGCAATGAAATAGCCAAGCTTCGGAGTTATGGGTTCAATCTCTCTAAGCGTACTGCGATTCCTGCCCTCGCTCCCGATTCTGAGGACGAACGGCCGCTTGAGGACCTTGTCACACGGGGTTCTGCGGTAAGGCCTTCCGAGCCTAGGACC